CGCTTTAACCACTAGACTACCCCCACCGCCCTGGCTACTCCTTGTCTTATCCCCTTGAAGCGACAGGCAGAGAAACAAGCACCATTTTTAACGTCTTTTAACATAACCAGACCGGGGATACAAACACCGTACTTCCACATTCCGTGCCGACACCCTATCCACTTGACCACGTATGCTGTCTGGTATAAGAGTGTCTAGTATTGTAAGGGTGGCCCATCGTGCCTATGTATTAACCTCAAGCGTGGTGTTGCCACGTGTTTTTGGTTCATTCACGCTCGCCTCAGAGGTGAATTCCGCGCATGGATGACCACAATTCCTAGAGGGAGGTCCCTTCTTCCACAAGACGAGACGCTGACACGTGGAATCTGAATCACAATCGTTCCTCGTCACGCCCAGAAGCCAATAGCGGAAGACATTGTACGTATGCTTCAGTCACTTTCGAGCACCTCTGTTCGGCTTGTTTGGGCATATACGAACTGCTATAGTCTGTTTGCAGTGAAGACGTACCGGTGAATTGCACTTTAAACAAAAATGTAAATAGAATAAAGTGAAATTATGATTGCGAATCATCATAATTCTACCTTGCCAATTGAACATTCAAATCTTAGATTTGTATTCCACTTAGGAAAAAATTTGTTTAACAAACGATCATAGTTTCAAATCGCTTACATTGGTTTGTATTACAAGGGGGTAAGCGCAGTAGTTGGAACAGTGAAACAAATGCACGTGCGGTAGGTGATGAGCGTCAACTTAGACCAACCCTCCTTGTTCTCGGTGTTTCATTTAATGTGCACATCCCCTTGTAATACAAACCAATAATACCGATTTGAACTTTGATCGTTTGTTAAACAACTTTTATCCAAAGTTGAATAAAATTCTGAGATTTAAATTTTAAAATGCAAGGTAAAATTATGAGGATTCGCAATCTTAATTTCACTTTATTTGATTTACTTTTTTGTTTAAAGTGAAATTCATCGGTACGTTTTCACCGCAAACAGACTATAGGTGGTGATGTCTATGTATTATTACAGGAAGGTTTAAAAAGATATTTTCCGTTGATATTATTGTTTACAGACATTGATACAACATACCTTTTGTTGTAGTCAAACGTGCCAGTAAATAGTTTATGAAAACATTTATACCAAAACACTGTTTAAGGGAACCAGATAAATACTTTGGGGTATTTCAGGTTCAACTCAAACGCAAAATCATTAATTGAATAAAGAATATGATTTTACTTCCACATAACGGTAAGTTCAATACAACAGTGGTTGGCGGTGTTACTCCGTAATCACTTCTGGCAAACGTTTGGAATTTTTATAATCTTGTTTTCTGTCTAGTTGTAGGTTGTTTGCATGATTTTCGAAATTGTGGTGTTTCAATGAGTGAGTGAGTATGGTTTTCCTCCGCTTTTAGCAATATTCCCACATCACCATGAGGGACACCAGAAATGGGTTTCACACATTGTGCCCATGTGGGGAATGGAGACCAGGTCTTCAATCAGCGAAGTGATGCTTCAATGTTGTATGTTTAAACAAAGACTCTTAAAACCTATGTGGTGTGAAAGTTTGACCTGGAGCTAATGGCAATCTTATAAAACTGCTCCACATGAGATGGATAAGCTCTCTTCTCTTACCCCTCAATACACAACATCCCTGTAATCTTAGTAGTTAAGTGTTGATAATCAACAAATTCTCTCCAAGACTAACCTTACACTCACATTTGGCACATGTTAAAGGTACACCACCATGCAAGTACTAGACTTCTTTCTCGGTTTTGAAATTCTAACTTATATTTTGTCATCTCAAGATGAAATCATCAGTATATTGATCATTTATTTGACACTTGTCAAATGGTCACTTGTGCCTGATGAGCAACTGCACACCAAAAGCATCTCCACTCTCATGTAATTCATGAAAAGACAACTAAATATCTATTTAATACAGACTAAATGTGTGAATACACAATGCCCATTAGAAAGTGGTCAAATGTAATGTTATACTCGGGATTAAACCTTTTCAATCAAGTAGATTCTAGTACTTTTGTTAGGTTGGGTTCCATTCAGGATTCAAACCCTCACTCTCAGAGTCAGGGACAGAAAGTCAGCAATCTAACCCACTCAGCCACCGTAGTTGCCACACACAAAAAGTGTATTACTGAGGTAACTGTTTCTTAACAGTATAATTTCTTAACCCCAGAAATTTGAGTGCCACATAAATGTTTTGACAGGAAAAAATATATATTAAAAGTACCAGTATGAATTTGAGTTAGTAAATTTTTAATCTGCCCAAACAAAACATCAGTGTTCACTTGACCTGGTAGCTTTATCAGAATTCATCAACCTCTGGCAGTAAATACCAAAGGGTAAGTTTCTAGGTCAACTTTAAACTGAAGCACAATAAAGACTGGGTCATTAGGCTGCATCATGAAGAAATGTTAAAACGGCAATAGAATCAAGATGCTTATACTAATGAAAGATTGAAACTTGAAATGTCAAATATTATTACCCTGATAAGACAGTAAAGTTGTACCAATAAAATGCGAAGTAGGTGTAAATTTGAAAGCAACAATTAATCTTATATGGCATGAAAGTTATTAATCTCACAATACCAACTCATCACCATAACTTCTGTTCAAAGCCCAAACCTCCTTGTTATAACAGGGGGGCGGTGGGGTAGCCTTGTGGTTAAAGCGCTGGCTCGTCAGGCCGAAGACCCGGGTTTCGAATCCCCACATGGGCACAATGTGTGAAGCCCGTTTCTGGTGTCCCCCGCCATGATGTTGCTGGAATATTGCTAAAAGTGGCGTAAAACCAAACTCAGTCAGTCAGTCAGTGTTATAACAGGAAACAGAAATATATTAAAAGTACCAGTATGAATCTTGTAAAACGTCTTGCAGAGATAAGCTCTTCAAAATTTTAGCCCATCATGAGTGAGTGAGTGAGTATGGTTTTATGCCTCAACACTCCAGCAATATCATGGCAGGGGACACCCAAATGGGCTTCACACATTGTATCCATGTGGGGAATAGAACCCTGGTCTTCGGCATGACGAGTAGACACTTTAACTATTAGGCTACCCTACTATCCCTTTAGCCTATCAAATGAGCTTTACGCAATAGACAATTTGCAGAATGTCTTACAGGGAAAGATTCACAAAAGCGTCCGTTTCAACCAACTAATCAACTACACACAAGGAGAGATTGTAAAATGTCTTGAAGGCCACATACTATTTGTCTAAATTCATTATTAACTGCTGTATGTCACCCATCTAGAACTATTTGCTAGGGGTGAAACAGTATGCTCTTACCATGGTATGGTACTATTGCGGTATAAGGCCTCCGGTTTGGTCCGTTTCGGTTTGGTATATGAGATTTGATCATAATGCAGAAAGTTTACCAAAAAGAGCTGTCTAGCAAAGAAATGCATAGATTTTGACAAAATGATTCGATTTCTAGACATTTTAGTGAAGGATTAAATAGGTTAATAACATGAGGGTACGAAAACCGAAAATACTGAATTTTTGGATTGCATTACAATATACCAAACCGAAGGCAAAATACCGCGGTTCTACTAATACCGCGGTATACCGTTTCACCCCTACTCTTTTTGACAGGGGTCATGACACAAACACAACACAAGGTTTTACAGTATACACAATTTCTTTTCATCGGACGTGATACAGACATAATTCACTGATGTACAAATGTGTTTTTACAAGGTTCTGTACAAAGTTTTACAATGAGATAGATGACAGGCAAACAACATTTCTGTATCAACATCATCAGCATCTGTACACAACAAAATAAACAGACCAGAAAACCAAGTAATCTTAGGGCATGTATATGGACATAAACTTAAGACTCATTTCACACTGCAGCAAGCACTAGGGGAACCGGATATTGAAACTTGAAACCAATCAGTATGTCAAAATTTTACAAACAATACATCAAGTTCTTGAATGGCATTTAGAGTGAGTGAGTGAGTGTGGATGGTTTTACGCTGCTTTTAGCAATATTCCGGCAATATCACGGCGGGGACACCAGAAATGGGCTTCACACATTGTACCCATATGGGGAATCGAACCAGGATCTTCAGCATGACGAGCGGATGTTAACCATTAGGCTACCGCACTGCACCCTGGCATTTAGAAGTTCGACGAACATGAATACGTGACATGTTTCATGGATAGCAACTCTATTCTTAATATGCAATATTATATTGAATAAAAAAAAAAGTTGTTATCCATAGTGAGTGAGTATGGTTTTATACCACTTTTAGCAATATCCCAATGGGAGACACTGGAAATGGGCTTCACGTATTGTCTGCATGTGGGGCTTTAACCACTAGTCTACCCCACTGCCCAAGTTATCCATAAAACGTGTCATGTATTCAAATAATACTGACAGCAACACTGGTTCTGTTTCTGAAGGCATGTCAATACAAGTACTACCAGTAGGATGAGATGGTAACTGTCCATAAACCCTCTAGCACCTGACAAGGCAGCTGAGGTTGTATACGCCCCATGGAGTTGAGACTGAAAATAGACACATTGATCCAACAATGCTAGCACTTTGAACATACACGACTGTAGGAATGTAGTGACTAAGTACTCTGCATTGAGTTTGGTATCCTCGTATCAGGGTTTTCAACCATGTAAGACAAAATGTAATTTTATCTGCAATATTTCAAGTTTTAACTTTACTAACGGATGATAAATGATATATTCATCTATTTCACACAAAAATATCAAGTGTTTCCTACAAAATAAGGTTGATGACATGTGTGATTCGAACTAAACTCTTCAGCCGCTGATCGCCAACGCTTTTAACCATTAGCCTAATGATCTCCTTGCTATTTTTGTTACAATTGATTTTGCACTGTAGGAATGCTAGATGTTTGTTTGCTTTTAAAACAACTTAACTTCCGTTTTCAATTGTCAATAAAACTTCTCCGTACTGGGCATCCACCCTGCCGATGAAATTGCTTGTGCTAACCGATAATATATAGCCAGCAATGCAATCGCCGAAAAACACCAGAATGTCGAATTCAGCTCGCTTTGGAATATAGGAAATATCATGCATGTACAGTCAATACATATCGTATGACTGCAATCTGGTTTAGGCTGGTGCAACAAGGTTTTGACACCACCATCTACTATTCACAAACTCTATCAAGCTACATAACACCAAGCACTGTAATGCTTTACTGAACCTGTGGACAGAAACCATCTTCAATGTACATCCACCTTTTCTCATTATCGTGGAATGAGTTTCCTCAGTACAGATACACATCTCGCTCGTACCTGTTTATTCCTGGGTCTCTAGTAACTGTTGATTGTCACAAGCTGACAAAAGTCAGGAGGTTACAAGTAGAGTCATCATTCTCTGTCCAATCATCACTGGTATTCCCGAAGACACTCGTTTTCAAATAACAACAGGTCGCCATGATGCAGGTGAATGTGCTATGTGCATTATCAAACACCAGCCCTCCACGCATGTCTTCAGCCAGATTTCATAATTATCTCTGTGAAATATGGAACCTCTTGCCTACATCTCTCAAACCTCCAGGGTGACAGTTTGGCACCTGCTTGATACCTTGAATGGGTTACACAGGTGACTGTTATGTAATGACCAATGCAGTAAGTCACCATCAACAAACTGCATGATATGCCAGGTCTATACACTGTCCTGGGTCATCAGTCCATGAGTCCTTCATCCGCTTATACTCTCCTACAAGGAGATATCAAGTCATTCCTTTCTGCTTCTGTCACAGATGATTGTTGTACAGGTGCTGTATCTCATAAGAAGTCCTGGACGCGGACTGTTCTGCGGACAGCGTTGGAGAATCCTTCCTTGAAATGGAACCAGACATCCGTGGCCAGCACATCCTTCTTGTCTGAAAGATCATACACAGGTGCTGGTAGTCATGACTGATGGTGTTACAGAAGGATCAGCCTCTCAAGTTCCTGTTCCAGCATGTCTGAAAGTAGCTGTGGCTATCAGGGAATTCTATGTAGTAGGTTCGTTGGTTGTTTAACACCGCACTCAGCAATATTCCAGCTATATGGCGGCAGTCTGTAACTAATTGAGTCTGGATCAGACAATCCAGTGATCAACAGCATGAGCATAGATCAATTGGGATATAATGATGTGTGTCAAACAAGTACTGAGCCTGACACCCGATCCAGATAGTCGCCTCTTACGACAAACATGGGTTGTAGAAGACTGATCCTAATCCAGATGTTCATGGGTAGAATTCTGTTTCAATACTACTGGTATACTAAAACATGTATAACATCATTTATGCATTGAGCAATATCTTACTATTCCCCAATCTGAATCTAATGGTTGAACTGATATATATCTGATCGTCTCCCCTATCTAAATCTGTTGGCCAAAATCTTATATATCTGATTGTCTTCCTGAAATATATCTAAACATCTAAAGGCCTCCCTGATATATATTTGACATTATTCCTTATAAACATCTAAAGGCCTCCCTGATATATATTTGACGTCATTGCTGATAAACATCTAAAAGCCTCCCTGATATATATTTGACGATAAACATTATTGCTGATAAACATCTAAAGGCCTCCCCTGATATATATTTGACGTTATTCCTGATAAACATCTAAAGGCCTCCCTGATATATATTTGACGTTATTCCTGATAAACATCTAAAGGCCTCCCTGATATATATTTGACGTTATTGCTGATAAACATCTAAAGGCCTCCCTGATATATATTTGACGTTATTCCTGATAAACATCTAAAGGCCTCCCTGATATATATTTGACATTATTCCTGATAAACATCTAAAGGCCTCCCTGATATATATTTGACGTTATTGCTGATAAACATCTAAAGGCCTCCATGATATATATTTGACGTTATTCCTGATAAACATCTAAAGGCCTCCCTGATATATATTTGACATTATTGCTGATAAACATCTAAAGGCCTCCCTGATATATATTTGACGTTATTGCTGATAAACATCTAAAGGCCTCCATGATATATATTTGACGTTATTCCTGATAAACATCTAAAGGCCTCCCTGATATATATTTGACGTTATTGCTGATAAACATCTAAAGGCCTCCCTGATATATATTTGACGTTATTCCTGATAAACATCTAAAGGCCTCCCTGATATATATTTGACGTTATTTCTGATCTAAAGGCCTCCATGATATATATTTGACGTTATTCTATAAACATCTAAAGGCCTCCCTGATATATATTTGACGCTATTCCTGATAAACATCTAAAGGCCTCCCTGATATATATTTGACGTTATTCCTGATAAACATCTAAAGGCCTCCATGATATATATTTGACGTTATTCCTGATAAACATCTAAAGAGCCTCCCTGATATATATTTGACGTTATTGCTGATAAACATCTAAAGGCCTCCCTGATATATATTTTGACGTTATTCCTGATAAACATCTAAAGGCCTCCCTGATATATATTTGACGTTATTCCTTATAAACATCTAAAAGCCTCAATGATATATATTTGACATTATTGCTGATAAACATCTAAAGGCCTCCCTGATATATATTTGACGTTATTCCTGATAAACATCTAAAGGCCTCCATGATATATATTTGACGTTATTCCTTATAAACATCTAAAAGCCTCAATGATATATATTTGACGTTATTGCTGATAAACATCTAAAGGCCTCCCTGATATATATTTGACATTATTCCTGATAAACATCTAAAGGCCTCCATGATATATATTTGACGCATTATTCCTGATAAACATCTAAAGGCCTCCCTGATATATATTTGACGTTATTGCTGATAAACATCTAAAGGCCTCCCTGATATATATTTGACGTTATTCCTGATAAACATCTAAAGGCCTCCCTGATATATATTTGACGTTATTCCTGATAAACATCTAAAGGCCTCCCTGATATATATTTGACGTTATTCCTGATAAACATCTAAAGGCCTCCCTGATATATATTTGACGTTATTCCTGATAAACATCTAAAGGCCTCCATGATATATATTTGACGTTATTCCTGATAAACATCTAAAGGCCTCCCTGATATATATTTGACGTTATTCCTGATAAACATCTAAAGGCCTCCATGATATATATTTGACGTTATTCCTGATAAACATCTAAAGGCCTCCCTGATATATATTTGACGTTATTCCTGATAAACATCTAAAGGCCTCCCTGATATATATTTGACGTTATTCCTGATAAACATCTAAAGGCCTCCCTGATATATATTTGACGTTATTCCTGATAAACATCTAAAGGCCTCCCTGATATATATTTGACATTATTCCTGATAAACATCTAAAAGGCCTCCCTGATATATATTTGACATTATTCCTGATAAACATCTAAAGGCCTCCCTGATATATATTTGACGTTATTCCTGATAAACATCTAAAGGCCTCCATGATATATATTTGACGTTATTGCTGATAAACATCTAAAGGCCTCCATGATATATATTTGACGTTATTCCTGATAAACATCTAAAGGCCTCCATGATATATCTATTCCCTGGTCCACACAGGACATGACTTACTTTTTCCTCCCTCCGGGGACTTCGTCTTTTCAGAACTGACAGTTGAAGAAGTTCTTTTTGTTTTTGTGAAGTTACCAAAGAAATTTTTCATAGGCTGAAATGAATGAAAAATAAATACAGATATACTTGTATTGTTTGTTAATCCTGCACTCAGCAATACTCCAGCTATACCGAAATATGTCCTGTGTAATGTCTCAGGTTGTCTGGGCACAACAGTTCGAAAGTCACAGGGTCCAACAGCTTGATCTGTTAACCATAGGACACTGAGGATCCATTCTAACCTTGAGTCAAGTCCCAGGGTCCAACAGCTTGATCTGTTAACCATAGGACACTGAGGATCCATTCTAACCTTTGAGTCAAGTCCCAGGGTCCAACAGCTTGATCTGTTAACCATATGAGGATCCATATTGAGTCAAGTCACTGTCCAACAGCTTGATCTGTTAATATCAAGTAACCCTCCAATCGTAAGTACTCTAACATAATTATCATAATACCTCAAACACCTCAAACTGACGACACGAGAACCTGTCTGATATTATGAAATATTTACTCTTAGGGGTAAAAATATCTACCAGATCACCGAACAGGGGACTTTTGAAATTTGACTGTCCGAGATGAAAATAGACCGTTCCGGACGGTCGGGCAGGCGGGAATGTTAAACGCTGGTTTTAAGCCCCAGAAAGAAGTGATAGTGAGCTCTTTCGTTGTGGTCACATCATTGTGTCATAGTTGTGTATCCATAAAGAAGAGTCAGTTGAGTGAGCGAGTTCAGTTTTACGCCGCTTTTAGCAATATTCCAGCAATATCACACTGGGGACATCAGAAATGGACTTCACACATTGTACCCATGTGGGGAATTCAATCCGGGTCTTCAGTGTGACGAGCAAACCACTAGGCTACCCCATCGCCCCGAAGTCAGTTGAGTACATTTGCTGTGACAAGCCAGTAAAACAAACAAGGTCCCTCGTATCAGGTATACCCAGTTAAATCTTAACACATGTTCCCTTCACTGCCTCTCAATAAACCATTTCCTGTCACTCCAATGTCTTATGTTCACTTTGACCTAAACTTGTCATGAATACAAATATTTTGTGACCTTCTTCTGAATCATCCAGGCCAAAATACCAGCCGTTTTACACCAGACTTGCAATCATGCCAGACTCACCTTATCCTCAAGGATGGGTTTTGCTTCCAGCTTTCTCTTGTGGTTGGGCACAGCTGGGATGTTGTCCTTAATCGTCTCTAAGTCTGGAGCGGAACCACTGGGGGAATACAAGTTGGTTACAACTCTTAGCTACAAACTACAACACACATTCAGGTCACAGTTTTCCTGATATTGTAAATATGCACATTCAAGAACAAGAAGGCCATTAAAGACAGGGAAACAGCCCAGACAATACATTAGAAGGGGGGAAGGATTTCATCCTGCATAATTTTGGTGAAATCGTCTCTCCAGGTCAAACACAAAATTATCTTCCAAGGTTAATACAGGTGAACTTTGTCACAGACAGTGTGTATGACTTCCATTGCTTAGCAATATGGGTTCCATGATTCGTGAAATTTGGAAAGAAGCAGAACATGATCCTGGGATTGAAATAGACAGAATTTGCTGCTTTGATATGTAAAGCTCAACTGTCATGCAACTCACTGTTTCAGTTGAATATCTATTTAAACATGCAAAATACAACATACAATTTGTGAACAGAGACCATATATGGTATGTGATATAAAGGACGCCTTAAGGCTTGCATTAGGATCATCTGTTCATATTTTAGAATAACATTGGCTGTTTACAAAGAAAAGTCATGTGATGAACCTGTATCCCTCATCTGTTCCTCAAACACAAACATGTCTGGCAGGCAGATCCGAGTAAACAAGCACAGGGTTTATTAGCTATAGTTTACAATAGTGTTGGGAATCGGTTGTGATTTCATAATCATCATCGGTTACAATCGATAGGCTCAACCGATCAATCATCGGTTAATAATCGGGTTAAATGAAATGACAAGAATAACCTCTAAATAAAACATGTTACACAAGACCATGTGTTTGGTATTGTCTCAGACTCCTAAAGGTAAGCAAGTTCAGTTCAGACACAGATGGTTGAATTTGAACAAAAGAAGAGAAAAGAATTTGTTCTTTTATGGTTTATCTTTTATTTACCATCAATGCCAGAGATGCAAACCTCAACAATTTTATCATACTAGTGACTACAAATTTTAGCCTAAACTACGCCTAATATACGCTTCACTAGAAATTCTACTTAAATTGGAAGAAAATTCATTGAAATTCAAATATATAGACACAAACATATATTTTCACGACTAAGTACAAGACAAATATCAATTATGTTCTTTGATTTCACAAATAAATAATCTCTTATCATTTATGAAATCAACTTCTCTCAGGATTTATTTCATATATTTTATGTTTGCAAGTAGATATATATCCAAAATTGACTCTGACATAGCAAAGTAAAAGGGTACTCAAGTTTTAACCTGATTTACTTATAATTCATGTCACAAGGCCTACATGTCATTCGCTTTCAATAACGCTTTAATTTGTTTGTATGTACTGAGTAGTTTCAAATTTCGCACTGATAGTAATAGACTTAAGAGTATGGACGGATTCATATCATGCACGATAACATGATGATACTTTTCTATTAGACCATTCACTTGATAGTATCACTTAAATTATGAGTCGATACCTTTGTTTGCGTGATTCCTTTCTCGACAAAATACGATTAAATCGCCTTTTGACATGTCAAGTTTTTCCTTCGCTAGGGACCCCTGACATTTCTTCCAAAATCCAAACACTTCCAAACGCTTTTGATCTGCCTTTCCCGCATGGGTAGTTGAATATTTCATCGACATCAACCCGTCGCCAGCCAGCCATTTTGTTTGGCTGTAAAGCTAACAACAATTATGATTTCACCAAAACTTCGCCATTATTTATCTTAACACATTACTGGCAGATCATTATTTATTTAGACTTTTTGTTCCTTTTGTATATTTTTATATTCTGCAGCTGCTTATTATGTATTTAGATACGTCCGGCCATGAATAAGGTAAGCAGCTAAGCAGCAGTTGTACCATGGAATGAGGTAAACATGCAAGTCATCGCCATGCCGGAGTGTGCATGCCAGTTTGTTGTGATCGACAGCTACAATAAATATGACATTGCCGAAAACAAAATATATACACTGTGTATCCATTTTCAGTCAACTTCACTTCATTTCAAGGCTGCAAGTAGGCTTAATATGATTGTGAATTTTGTGAATAATGCGACCGTTATAATCATTTGTAACTGCCAGTTGTCTCGTGGTCTGAGTTGGGTATTCATTACTGTTTTCGTAAAATTATTAGCTTACAATCGACAGTGAAATTTTTGCAATCGATTGTCGCTACCGGAAAAGGGTAACCAATCAATTTTCGATTATAATCGATCATCAGAACACCACTAGTTTACAAGAAATGCTTAAGAACAGTCAACATACTGTCACTTTAACATCAGTGGGTTAACAGTCAGACCTAGGGGAGACAACTCACTGAGACCTAGAAGGGGAGACAACTCACGTGTTCCTCACTGCCAGCTTCACCTCGGTCATCCTCATCCTCTCAAGCTCTATCTGCATAGAAAGTTGGGGCAGTAAAGTACACAAGTCATCTAATACAAACTGATGTGATATCATCTAGTTCAGGTGTTGAACAATATCAAATAAACATGCACTTAAGACTGTGTCAGTGGTGAGGCTTATCTCGCTATTCATAGTAGTGCAGCATTTCACTGCCAAGGTTGTGTGTTCAAGACGGGACATATTTATCAAATTTTTGTTCGGCTTTAACATGAAACATTTTCCAGGGATTTACAGTTTTCAAAGGTTGCTGCTTTTGTGTCAGGCAGTTGCAGTGGTAAATGACAAACCTCTCTGGCTATCAGCTGTTTGGCTGCGTAGGTCAGCTGCCGTTGTTGTTTCATTCCAGGAAATTTCACAATTTCTTCAACATTTCTGAACAGAAGATGCAAGTCATATAAGCAGAGAGTATGATAATTTATAAATAGAATATAAGACAACATGAGTGAGTGAGTGAGTGAGTGATGCAGGCAATTTGCCACTCTGAGGAGAACAATGAAAGGTCCTGCCGGATGCCAGCATCCCCGCACAACTAAGTGATGCAGCACTGTGGCCTCGGACAACAGGGACACTTCCAGATCCCCATGAACCTGACACATAGAGAATGTACAAGTTGTATGATCTGTCATGTATGATAAATATACAATATATAACAGGGCTCGATTTAGTGCTTTGTTACTTGCACTGATGCATCCCAGTATTACAAAGTGCAACCTAGTTATTTGTCTAACTTGCACCAGGTGCAAGTCAGTTTTTTAGAAATATATCAACAATACATCTAACATTACAAGCATAATTATGTCAGCTCATTTTTCTTCTAAACTTTGAATAATTGAAAAGCATATTTCTTTCATTACACATTGCAATAAAAGCAGTGCAACTGGAATTTGGCTGGTGCAACTAGGTTTTTATCTTAGGTTGCACCTGGTGCAAGTAGGTAAACATCTCTTAAATCGAGCCCTGCATAATCAACACCAAACAATTACCAGTCTTGGACATCTGGGGCAGTCCTAATGTTTTAGCTGCAACATTTCAAGCTGATGATCTATAAACAAGTTATCAACACATGAACCATTAGTCTGATGTCAGTTCAACTCACGGATCCAGCACATAGCTGTACTGCCCCTCAAGAGACTTTTCCTGCTGGTACGTCATGTTGTAGGCTATCATGATCCGCACAAGGTTAGACAACTCCTCCTTCTCTCGCTTGCTGTACAGCTGAGTGTTCACCTGGGAACGACAGACAACATTAGCATCTCACTACATCAGTAACAGAGAGATTTATCTAGACATTCTTAAAGGTTGATATGCAGCTGAAGCAAAAGTCATGTTATACATTTAAACAATGTTGTGACTCTGTCGAGGTGACATACATCAGTTTTACATTAAATATTTAAAAGCATTAGAGAATATCACACTTCTGAACCAAGTTATGCTTGTTTTCCCTTTTATCCGCTAAGGGCACTTAGTTTGGATCTCTGCAAAAATCACTGTTGCCAGCAAATTTTCAATTTTTGATAATCAAGGTTCCAATTGTGCTTTCTTGCCCATTTCATATGCATTCCTGAAATTTTGCACCTCATCAAGAATAATAGTTCAGTTCTTACATCATAAATAGCAACCAGAATCAATGTAAACTAATGAAACCCTGCATCTGTGGGCATTGGTCTGAAGGGGGAACACACAGGTGGGGCTCACAGGTCTGATGGGGGAACACACAGGTGGGGCTCACAGGTCTGAAGGGGGAACACACAGGTGGGGCTCACAGGTCTGAAGGGGGAACACACAGGTGGGGCTCACAGGTCTGAGGGTGGTACATGAGGGGGTACTCACAGGTCTGAGGGGTGGGGGAACACACAGGTGGGGGCTCACAGGTCTGAGGGGGAACACACAGGGTGGGGCTCACAGGTCTGAGGGGAACACACAGGTGGGCTCACAGGTCTGATGGGGAACACACAGGTGGGCTACACAGGTGGGGCTCACAGGTCTGATGGGGGAACACACAGGTGGGGCTCACAGGTCTGATGGGGGAACACACAGGTGGGGCTCACAGGTCTGATGGGGGAACACACAGGTGGGGCTCACAGGTCTGAAGGGGGAACACACAGGTGGTACATGGGGGTGGCATTCACAGGTCTGAGGGTGGAACACACAGGTGGGGCTCACAGGTCTGAAGGGGGAACACACAGGTGGGGCTCACAGGTCTGATGGGGGAACACACAGGTGGGGCTCACAGGTCTGAGGGTGGAACACACAGGAGGGGGTACTCACAGGTCTGAGGGGTAAACATGAGGTGTGGTGCTCACAGGTCTGAGGGTGGTACACACAGGGGGCTACAGGTCTGTTCACACAGGTGGGGCTCACAGGTCTGAGGGGGAACACAGGGGTGGTACTCACAGGTCTGAGGGTGGTACATGAGGGTGGGGCTCACAGGTCTGAGGGTGGTACTGACTGGTCTAAAGGTGGTGGGAACACACAGGTGGGGCTCACAGGTCTGAGGGTGGTACACACAGGGTGGGGCTCACAGGTCTGAGGGTGGTACATGTGGGTGGGGCTCACAGGTCTGAGGGGTGAACATCACAGGTCTGAGTACTCACAGGTCTGAGGGTGGTACACAAGGGTGGTACTCACAGGTCTGAGGGTGGTACACACAGGTGGTACTCACAGGTCTGAGGGTGGTACTCACTGGTCTGAGGGTGGTACATGGGGTGGTACTCACAGGTCTGAGGGGGGGTACACACAGGGGTGGCACTCAGGGTCTGAGGGTGGTACACACAGGGTGGGGCTCAACTGGTCTGAGGGTGATACACATGGGTGGTTCTCACAGGTCTGGAGGGTGGTACACACAGGTGGGGTACTCACAGGTCTGAGGGTGGGAACACAAGGGTGGCACTCACAGGTCTGAGGGTGGTACACAAGGGTGGTACTCACTGGTCTGAGGGTGATACACAAGGGTGGTTCTCACAGGTCTGGAGGTGGTACACAAGGGTGGTAGTCACTGGTCTGAGGTGGTACATGAGGGTGGTACAGGTGGGGCTCACAGGTCTGAGGGTGGTACCTGAGGGTGGTACTCACAGGTCTGAGGGTGATACTCACAGGTCTGAGGGTGGTACATGAGGGTGGTACTCACAGGTCTGAGGGTGATACTCACAGGTCTGAGGGTGGTACATGAGGGTGGTACTCACAGGTCTGAGGGTGATACAGGTCTGAGGGTGGTACATGAGGGCGGTACTGACAGGTCTGAGGGTGGTACATGAGGGCGGTACTGACAGGTCTGAGTGTGGTACATGAGGGTGATACTCACAGGTCTGAGGGGTGGTACTCACACAGGTCTGAGGGTACACACAGGTGGTACATGAGGGAGGTACAAACAGGTCTGAGGGTGAAACACAGGAGGGTGGGTACTCCACACAGGTCTGAGGGTAAAACATGAGGGCGGGGGGCTCACTGGTCTGAGGGTGGTACATGAGGGTGCTACTCACTGTTCTGAGGGTTGTACTCACTGGTCTGAGGGTGATGCATGAGGGTGGTACACTCACAGGTCTGAGGGGGGTACACATGAGGGGAGGGTACTCACAGGTCTGAGGGTGGTACATGAGGGTGGTACTCAGGTCTGAGGTCTGAGGGTACATGTGGCACTGACTGGTCTGAAGATGGTACACAAAGGGGTGGCTACTCACTGGTCTGAGGGTGGTACATGAGGGTGGTACTCACAGGTCTGAGGGTGGTACACAAGGGTGGCACTCACTGGTCTGAGGGTGGTACATGAGGGTGGTACTCACAGGTCTGAGGGTCTGAGGGTGGTACTCACTGGTCTGAGGGTGGTACATGTGGGTGGTACTCACAGGTCTGAGGGTGGTACACAAGGGTGGCACTCAAGGGTCTGAGGGTGGTACACAAGGGTGGTACTCACTGGTCTGAGGGTGGTACACAAGGGTGGTACTCACAGGTCTGAGGGTGGTACATGAGGGTGGTACTCACAGGTCTGAGGGTGGTACACAAGGGTGGCACTCAAGGGTCTGAGGGTGGTACACAAGGGTGGTACTCACTGGTCTGAGGGTGATACACAAGGGTGGTTCTCACAGGTCTGGAGGTGGTACACAAGGGTGGTAGTCACTGGTTTGAGGTGGTACATGAGGGTGGTACTCGCCAGTCTGAAGGTGGTACCTGAGGGTGGTACTCACAGGTCTGAGGGTGATACTCACAGGTCTGAGGGTGGTACATGAGGGTGGTACTCACAGGTCTGAGGGTGATACTCACAGGTCTGAGGGTGGTACATGAGGGCGGTTGGTACTGACAGGTCTGAGGGTGGTACATGAGGGCGGTACTGACAGGTCTGAGGGTGATACATGAGGGTGGTACTCACAGGTCTGAGGGTGATACTCACAGGTCTGAAGGTGGTACATGAGGGCGGTACTCACAGGTCTGAGGGTGGTACACAAGGGTGGCACTCACTGGTCTGAGGGTGGTACATGAGGGTGGTACTCACAGGTCTGAGGGTGATACATGAGGGTGGTACTCACAGGTCTGAGGGTGGTACACAAGGGTGGTACTCACTGGTCTGAGGGTGGTACATCAAGGGTGGTACTCACTGGTCTGAGGGTGGTACTCACAGGTCTGAGGGTGGTACATGATGGTGGTACTCACAGGTCTGAGGGTGGTACTCACAGGTCTGAGGGTGGTACTCACAGGTCTGAGGGTGGTACTCACAGGTCTGAGGGTGGTACTCACAGGTCTAAGGGTGGTACCCAGGTCTGAGGGTGGTACACATGGTCTGAGGGTGGTACATCTGGGTGGTACTCACACAGGTCTGATGGTGGTACAGGATGGGGGTGGTACTCACAGGTCTAAGGGTGGTACTCACAGGTCTGAGGGGTACTCACAGGTCTGAGGGTGGTACTCACGGGTCTGAGGGTGGTACAGACAGGTCTGAGGGTGGTACTCACAGATCTGAGGGTGGTACTCACAGGTCTAAGGGTGGTACACGAGGGTGGTACTCTGGGTGGTACATGATGGTGGTACAGACAGGTCTAAGGTCGGTACTCACGGGTCTGAGGGTGGTATAGACAGGTCTAAGGGTGGTACTCACGGGTCTGAGGGGGGTACAGACAGGTCTAAGGGAGGTACTCACGGGTCTGAGGGTGGTACAGACAGGTCTAAGGGTGGTACTCACGGGTCTGAGGGTGGTACAGACAGGTCTAAGGGTGGTACTCACGGGTCTGAAGTCAGTACATGATGGTGGTACAGACAGGTCTAAGGGTGGTACTCACGGGTCTGAGGGTGGGCTGCATAATCTGCAGCATGGGGTGCAGCATGTCCAACACAGCATTCTTGGTGTTGATGAACTTCTTCACGGCAGGGGCCATGTCGGCAAACATGCATGTCACCAAGTTGATGGACTTGGCGAGTCTAGTGATGTGCTGTCACACAAATACACTTGTTTCAGGAGGAAAACCACATGCTGCATATCTCAGAATGTCTCATACTTCATCAATCATCATCATAGTGGGGACTAGTTTGAGATGATTTGTCATATTGATATTCTCAAATAATTTTGGAATCTTTCTGTAATTAACTTAAAAATCTGACTCAGTTCCTCAAATAATCTTTAATCAACCAGGAAATTCATCATCATGATTGTAATCCCTGGGATTTTATGTCCGCATAAGGACATAGATTCATTATAAGAGCCTCTGACAATGTGTTTGAGGCACACTGACTTATCAAACTGCAGCAAAGACAAGTGAAATTATCAAAATCTGACAGTCATCCTGCAGTTTCCATGGCACAATACATGAATAATTGCTTACAAGCACTGACAATACTATACATGTTTCCTGGTGCATGTGTTACTATGGAGACTACACAAGACACACTGAACTACACATCAGACATAGTCTTGCCCGAGTTGTGAGTTGCCTCCCTTGAAATTCAAACACATACTGCAATTTATCAGTTAAATTTTTCTTATTAAATTACATTTTTGTCAAACCATTTCCACACTCAAAATATACCTAGTGGAGTCATCCCACAGATCAGCATGGTGACTGGTTAACCTATTTGGTCATGTGGAAAACGCATTCGGACTTCGGTACAGGAAAGGAAATTGTTTGGCCACCACCATGATTGTTTCAGTATTACTCTACCTCGTAGTTGCTGGATGGGTACTTAATCTTGGGGGGCTGGTATGAGGCGTACAGCAGGTGGAAGTTGACGAAGGTGAAGGGCACATACTTCATGAGGCTGTAGTCCTGCTTGTGCATGGTGTACTTGTTGATACAGTCGACGAACACCAGCCAGTCGTTAGCGCTGTTTAACTGGGGAACAACGTGTCATCTTAGAATAATGTTGGTTACATCCAGTGAGGTTGGGCAGAGTTGAAATTCTTTTATTTAAATGATTTATCAAAACAAATAGCAGGCTACAGACTGATTATCAAAAGAATTAGAAAGAAAACGAATGTCCTGTTGAAATGTATATTCAAATCATGGAATTGTCCCAAAAATTTTAAGCACAAACAAAAGACCAGTAAACAGAATCAATAAACTTAATAACTAATAAATCTCTAAAACCAGGATGTTTTACTCCAATTCCATTTCCAAGTCCAATTTTCCAGCTGTTGTCATGAACACACAAAGGAGGAAAGAGAGCTTCCTGCCTGGTACAGACCACAAGAACCTTTGTGGTGTGTGGTCCTGTGCACAGAGCTCAGGTCATAAATCAGTTGAAGCTAAGCAACATCGAGCTCAGACATTCCTTGGATGGGTGACATTGTTTGGCAGCTTGACTTGTGAGAGTTTCTAGGACTTCAGTCCTGCCCCACAACGAAGCAGCACATGTGATACATGTGGTCTCACCTTAGGCAAATGAGTTTGTTGAAAATTGCCTCTGTTCACCCAGCAGAAGATGGGTACCCGGTGGGATAACCTTCTAGCGCCTAACAGGCAGCTTGGTTATCAGGGGTAATAATCAGATTCTGATTAAGTGCCACGAGCAATCACTTGGTGTTTGGAGACTGTGCGCTATAGAAGATGACATATTATTATATAAAACTACTTATTTTGGTTTGTAGAACTGACATGTAAACTGCAGTGTTAGTACAAGTCATGACACTCACAGCATCAAGCCTGGGATCTTTACACTTGGCCTCCAGGTAGTTCTCAAACACTCCTTGGGTCACCTTCTCGTACTCCCCTGCAGCCTGTGCCGCCAGCAACACTGTGTGGAATCTGAACATACATTTTGTACAGTACAATGTCTGATTCAAGGAAAGAACTTACACTGACTCAGCCATTATCAATTGGCAGGAAAGATGACCAGTTTACCTCCCTTTGATTTTACTGTCACTTTGTCTGTTTGTTTAACCTCACACCTAAATGATGGTGGACTGTAAAAGAGGCAATAATAAGAGGCAACAACTGGATGCAATGATATGCATCAACAAGTCATAAAATCTGACCCTTGATCCAGTTAATCACTTCATATAACAAGAATGGGTTGCTAAAGTCCACTTCCAACTAGGGAAAAACCAACCAATATGGCGAGAACGCCGCTGCAGACGCTTTTTCTCGAGTTCCAAACAGTAGAGTGAAGTCTTCAATTTGGAAACATTTTCAATTCATCTTTTGTACAATCAAATCTGAGTCCTGACAGTGGCCAGTGGCATTGTTTCAAAAGAAGGTAACAGTAATTTCATTACCGTAAACCGTGTGTTACACTTTCACAATATATCGCAATACAAACATTTTGGTAATACCCAACCCTACTTCCAACCAGGATCTTTAAGGAGATATTGTCATTGTGAAATGGGTGCGTTGCTTTCTCTGGCTTGACAAACATCTTATGAAGGATCATAATTTCTTAACACAACAGCTGTTAATGGTCACAAGACAAGAAAAGTGTATACATATGCCTATGTATCCTCAGAGCAAAACAATAACCATTATATTCTGAACTGAGATGCCGAGCCATTACAACATCACTGAGACTCAATCAGCACTGTCTGTGACGACTAATATATGACTCACCTATTTGCAGGAGATGTGACAGTTCCCATCTTCTGTGCCTGCTGGCCATTTCTCAAGTCATGGATATTTACAAACTTGTTCCTAGGAAGAGAAGAGAATGGTATACTGTTTGTATGTTGTTTTACACTGATGTCAACAACAATCCTTCTCTGAATGTTGGCTGTTATAGTTGACCAGACATACAAGCAGATGTTCATGATAATCCTGATGTCAAAGATTATAAATTGTGATGAGGAGAGGAACTAGAGCTGAGGCAATCTGGCCCCGATTTCTCGAAACAAACTTAAGTTTTTACTCAAATTTCAAACTGAGTTTGACAATTTGAAACAGCTGAATTTTTAACTCAACTGCATTTTTTAACTAAAAAAAGCCCAAACAACTTAAATAATCTATCCACCAAACTCAAATTGTCTACTAAGTTTGAGTTTAATATTGATTTCAGTTTATTCTGGGAAATGCATTTTCCTGTGTTTTCTCATATTTGAGTAAGAACTCAGACTTAAGTCAAAACTCAGACTTACGTTTGTTTCGAGAAATCGGGGCCTGGACTGGCCCAAACAGCCTACACTTGAGTTGAGACACCTTTATATATCTATTCTCTAGTGTCTGGGAGACGAACTACACAATCTCCTGTTCAATACATGTGTACTGACAAACGTTCATTTATCTAGGGTTGCAAACTAAGCTCCCTTGGCTGACAACATGCCAAAAGGATCCAATTACAAAGTTATCCTGAAATAAAAAGCTGACATGATGACCAGTTATGCCTTGCATAAAACTTGACCAGTATACTACCATTTTGCTGGCCTGTTGCACAGTAGCAGATTGAGAAGAAACTCTGAGGAAAGGATACTGCCATCTGAGTAAATAATGAGGGAGTGAGGGAGTTTGATTTTACGCCGCTTTTAGCAATATTCCAGCATTATCATGGCGGGGGACACCATTAATGGGCTTCACACATTGTATCCACGTGGGGAATTGAACCCGTTTCTTCAGCGTCACGAGCGGATGCTTTAACCACTAGGCTACCCCACCGCCCTGAGTAAGCAATGAAGCTGTCATATATTCATATGGGGAAAGCAAGGTGCGTGATGGACTCACTTCTTGGCTCGAGGCATGGAGAAGATCTGGTACCACAGAGAGAACAAGCTCTTGTGAGAGTCCTTCTGGCCCACGGTCAAGTTCTGGACAACACGTAGGTTAAAGTCCTGTCTCTTTGACGAACAAACTACAAAGAAGAATATTCCAAGTTTCAAATATTGTACGCTAATGAGATGAAATCAACAGTTTTTAATTTCACATGTAAAAATGCTTGAATGGACATTCTACATACTGGTGTTGACATTCACATAATGTTGTTTGTGAATATGTCGTTACCTGCAAGGTATTGAGACAGGATCTGATGTCGTTCTCCGACTTTTCACACAGAGCCAGCAAGGCATTCATCTCCGCTTTGATCCTCTCCTCCCGGACAATCTGGAACACAACATGGGGTATTCACTTACTCTTAGACAAGATTCTTGATACATATCTTTAAAAGATGGCTGTTTGTTTGTTATTAATGCGGCAATACCCCAGCAGTATGGTCGATATTGTGAGCAACAATCCACACCAGTTATGTGAGTGAGTGAGGTTAGTTTTACGCCGCACTCAGCAATATTCCAGCTACATGGCGGCGGTCTGTAAATAATCGAGACTGGACCAGACAATCCAGTGATCAACAGCATGAGCATCTATCTGCGCAATTGGGAACCGATGACATATGTCAACCAAGTCCGTGAGCCTGACCACCCGATCCTGTTAGTCGCCTCTTACGGCAAGCATGGGTTACTGAAGGCACATTCTAACCCGGACCTTCATGGGTACCAGTTATGCATGATGACATACTGTCAGCCAAGTCTCAAAGACAGACCATCCATTCCATATGATCAAGTCTTACAAGGAAAATAGGTTGAGGGGACCTATTCAAACCCCCAGGGTGCATGACGTCCAAAGAAACATCAAACTGTAATTCCACTCGTTGAGAATGTACAGAATCAAATCTAAAAAGGTTTATGTGGTATAAGTATCAGAGTCCTAAAATCTGAAAAGCACATGTCACTATTGATTTTATTGTAAAACATTTAAAAAATGAATCTGAAATGAATGTATACCTCATATAGTCGGCTTGCTAGACGGGTTTCGGCTCTGTTGGTGGGAAGTGCAAAATCATAGCAAGGGGACGTAACTGCCGCAGAGCAGGAACATATCTGTAGGGAGAGATGACATGATTCACAATCAGGGTCCTGTTCTATTCCACAAAGAGATCTTAGGACTAAGATAATGGTAACTTCCATACTTTATCCCAGACTTGTGACAGTCATAGCGCTAAGATGATTGCAAGTCTTATACTTGCAAGAATCAGAGACTTGCAAGAGTCACAGCATCAAGATTGCTTAGACTCACTGACTGAGTTTGGTTTTACGCTGCTTTTAGCAATATTCCAGCAATATCACGGCGGGGGACACCAGAAATGGGCTTCACACATTGTACCCATGTGGGGTTTCGAACCCAGGTCTTCGGCATGACGATCAAGATTGCTTAGAGGATTGTGGCTCAAATCAATGCCATAAATCAGTTCAAAAGATAGTTTAAAAGAAAAAGAAATCCAAGCATGTTATGACTTGAGGAAGGATGGAGGTTTTCTTCTTACAGTAGCAGAAAATGAAAGGTGTTGTGAGTGTGTGAGACGTTAATCTACATATTTAACATTAGGAATATGACAAGGGCAATCTGACTACAAGTATGTAATAACGTAACAACATTAGCATCATCAAAAACAGATTACGCCATTCCAGGTACTGCCATAGAGACACACTTACTGATCGTTACATATACAAATGATGGGTCGGTACAGAATTCCACCTTCGTTCTTCTTCTTGGTGGTACTCTGGTCTGTTCGCTTTATTAGGTTCAGTAAAATGTTGATTGCTGCCTGGCAACAGAAGTAAACAATAAACAACACACAAATCCTTCCAAATCACCAGGTTTGAACATTTTCCACAAACTAGAGTGTTTAGTTAAATGCTGATTTGCACTGTATTTGAGTTTAGCTTGATGTGGACACAAAGCCAGCACATATAAGGAATATAACTCTAAAGAAAACTAGGCCATCACTGTCTATCTTCTCACTGCCATTAAGAACAATAATTTGATTCCGCTCTCGTTAAATACAAATCTGATGACATCAATACAGGTCATTTCTGAACGCCAGAACTTTGACCAGCCAATGAGATGGCCAACAAGAAGTTGAGAATAGCCAATCAAAAAGCATCTGTCCTGAGCAATATGGCCCTAATTTTTACTTCTATTCCAGACTACGTCTTGAAGAATACTTTGACAATGTTCTCGAGATTAAGAACATTCATGTAACATAAAGAAGCTGTTGGAAAACACACCTGTGGAGCGCCATCTATCTCATCTATCACTAGACAGTTGGGACGGGGGTCAGCACCAAGTACAGCCTTCATCTGGGTCGCTGCCTCCAGCTTGTTCCGGAATACATCAGCACTTCGATCATCACTGAAATAGATACCAACACATGAAGAACTGGATTTGTTTGTTTGTTTTATTTGCTGTTTAACGCCACACTCTGGTCCGTAAATAATCGAGTCTGGACCAGACAATTAAGTCATCAACAGCATGAGCATCAATCTACGCATTTGGGATACGATGACTTGTATCAACCAAGTCACCAAACCCAATCTTCACAGGGAGACAAGCATGGGTTGCTGAAGACCAGTTTTAACCCGGATCTTCACAGAAGACAAGCATGGGTTGCTGAAGACCAGTTCTAACCCGGATCTTCACAGGGAAACAAGCATGGGTTGCTGAAGACCAGTTCTAACCCGGATCTTCACAGGGAGACAAGCATGGGTTGCTGAAGACCAGTTCTAACCCGGATCTTCACAGGGAAACAAGCATGGGTTGCTGAAGACCAGTTCTAACCCGGATCTTCACAGGAGACAAGCATGGGTTGCTGAAGACCAGTTTTAACCCGGATCTTCACAGAAGACAAGCATGGGTTGCTGAAGACCAGTTCTAACCCGGATCTTCATGGGTAAACAAGCATGGGTTGCTGAAGACAAGTTCTAACCCGGATCTTCACAGGAGACAAGCATGGGTTGCTGAAGACCAGTTCTAACCCGGATCTTCACAGGGAAACAAGCATGGGTTGCTGAAGACCAGTTCTAACCCGGATCTTCACAGGAGACAAGCATGGGTTGCTGAAGACCAGTTCTAACCCGGATCTTCACAGGAGACAAGCATGGGTTGCTGAAGACAAGTTCAAACCCTGATCTTCACAGGAGACAAGCATGGGTTGCTGAAGACCAGTTTTAACCCGGATCTTCACAGAAGACAAGCATGGGTTGCTGAAGACCAGTTCTAACCCGGATCTTCATGGGTAAACAAGCATGGGTTGCTGAAGACAAGTTCTAACCCGGATCTTCACAGGAGACAAGCATGGGTTGCTGAAGACAAGTTCAAACCCGGATCTTCACAGGGAAACAAGCATGGGTTGCTGAAGACCAGTTCTAACCCGGATCTTCACGGGTAAACAAGCATGGGTTGCTGAAGACAAGTTCTAACCCGGATCTTCACAGGAGACAAGCATGGGTTGCTGAAGACAAGTTCAAACCCGGATCTTCACAGGGAAACAAGCATGGGTTGCTGAAGACCAGTTCTAACCCGGATCTTCACAGGAGACAAGCATGGGTTGCTGAAGACCAGTTCTAACCCGGATCTTCACGGGGAGACAAGCATGGGTTGCTGAAGTCCAGTTCTAACACGGATCTTCACAGGAGACAAGCATGGGTTGCTGAAGTCAAGTTCTAACCCGGATCTTCATGGGGAGACAAGCATGGGTAGCTGAAGTCCAGTTCTAACACGGATCTTCACGGGGAGACAAGCATGGGTTGCTGAAGTCCAGTTCTAACACGGATCTTCATGGGGAGACAAGCATGGGTAGCTGAAGTCCAGTTCTAACACGGATCTTCATGGGGAGACAAGCATGGGTAGCTGAAGTCCAGTTCTAACCGGGATCTTCATGGGGAGACAAGCATGGGTAGCTGAAGTCCAGTTCTAACACGGATCTTCACAGGAGACAAGCATGGGTTGCTGAAGTCCAGTTCTAACACGGATCTTCACGGGGAGACAAGCATGGGTTGCTGAAGACCAGTTCTAACCCGGATCTTCATGGGTATCAAGACAATGAACCAAACAGGATCTCAAGCATGTCAAGCATCAGTTTCCACTGACATTCACAGTGAGGAAGAATGTTTAACCAGTCCACATTTGTCATGATTTCAATGATTTTTTGCAAATGAACTAAAAATTACCTGGCATTCATTTCCACCACGTTGTACCCAGCATGCCTTGCAACGATGTGCGCCAGGGTGGTCTTCCCGAGTCCAGGTGGTCCACACAGCAGTGTAACCTGTAACAGTGCACCGGACACATGTACACAACAAAACAAATCCAGAAGAAATTAAACAGACATAATAACTCTTGATACTGTTCAGTCATGAAGTCTTCATACCTGGGTAACGGACAAGATTTACCTGCCCTCTCCAACCATGCTGGTAAGTCCAGACACGGCAGCGCTTCTTCCTGCTCTGAACTGATATCAGAAAGTGTTTCAGTAGGATTTGGATTTAGAGCAAACTTGGATTAAGATGAGATCTATTTGCACCCAGTTAAAGTTTATGCTGCTTGATACTCGTCTGCCATGAAAAGAGTTATCTCCCTTGACTCTAAGCTGATCACTGCACTCCCGATGTCTTCTGAGCTATTTTATTTTTCTGTTAACCTGGCAATCTTAGGTTGTCCATGTCTTCACCAGAAAAGCCACCTTTTGCCTATTCCACATCCAACTCTCATCATATGCCTCCCATTTCACCTGCCGTTTACCTTCTGCTTACACCTGTTTTCAGATATGATTAACCTGTTTGCAGATGATATGACAGTTCCCATCTTACCTTCAGCTCTTGTCACTACCATAATTATGTTGATGTTTGTTCTCTACGCTCTGATTTAGTGGGAGCAGTGGGGTAGCCCACTGGTTAAAGCGTTCGTTCGTCACGCCAAAGACCCGGGTTCGATTTCCCACGTGGGTACAATGTGTGAAACCCATTTTTGGTGTCCCCCGCCATGATATTGCTGGAATATTGCTAAAAGCAGCGTAAAACCATACTCACTCACTCTGATTTGGTATGCTCCCTTTCCCAGTATCTGCTGTGGCCCTCACCTGCTGCCGATCTCCCTGCCGTCAGATGGTATCTGATGACCATCCCACCCCATCTCAACTAATCCCGCTAGCTGATGCCACTTCTGCGTCCTCCTACCTTCTGCTGAGGTCTGTTGAACTTGTCAAGCTCCTCAAGGACCTCAGGTTGCTTCCACTTCTTGAATTCCTGCTTCTTCTTATCCTTCTTGTCCTTCTTGACTGGCAGATCTCTCCCAAACACCACAAAGTCCCACAACTTCAGCCAGTGCAACAGGGTGCGATTCAGAGTCTGATCAACAGCGAGGAACATATCATTATCAGACTGACTGCAGTACAGATTTATTTACATCCACTTTGTATAGGAATCTTTAAAATCACCACACAAACACAGTCACAAAATACCGTACCCTGCTGCTTGATGACATGTTATTATGGTTATTATCAGTGTATGAAATAAGCCAAAAATCCCGCCAGACTGACTGACTGACTGACTGAGTTTAGTTTTACGCCGCTTTTAGCAATATTCCAGCAATATCACGGCGGGGGACACCAGAAATGAGCTTAACACATTGTGCCCAAGTGGGGAAAAATCCCGCCAGACATCAGGGCTGGTAACTTCAAAACGTTACCAGCCCAAAATGGATTAACCAGACAAAATATGGTGAATTTACTCAGATGTATGGAACATCTAAAAAATTTACCAGACCATCGGGCTGGCTAGCTGTAAATTTAGACCGTCCGTCAGAAATCTAGACAGTCTCTGGCAGTCGGACGGGCCTTATTTCATACACTGCTATTATTGAGACATCATTGTTCACTGCAAGTTCGCTATTCAGAATAATGCAGCCAGTCGTGAGACAACGAAATGTTCAGAAATTATCAATCAACAAGTTTGAAATTAACCTAAAACATTTACTTGCCCGAATAGTATTACTATGTAGCAAAACTTCAACAGTTTTTTAACTGTACCTGCTTTTAGGATACCTTTTCAATTAACAAAACATATGTCAACATGTTAAACGTGTTTCCAACCATAGGTTTTAAGTTTTAAGTGTTGGAAACTACACAAAAAAGTTTAAATACACTTAATCACAGCACTGATGTTAAACTGCAAAGACTCATGATATTTCTCGACTCAAATCATATTGCAGCAGACATCAAACACAACAGGAGCCCTCTTGATTTTGAACCCTGGTAACCATGGTTTGTAGCATGGTTTGTACCGATGCTACATTCCCCGATGCCTACCTCCTCACTGAGAAGCTCGGTGTAGCGCCGAGGGGCATATTTCTCCACCCACAAGTTCCGCTGGGGTTCCGTCCTCTCAGGTTCTTCATTCTCCTTATTGTCAGCTTCATCCAGTATGGAGAAATCATCACTGATGTCTCTAAATGCAGCAAGCAAATAAATCCACACTTAGTTCAGTAATAAGAATACTGCATAAATCACAAAGCAGGAACAGTCTACCCTTGACCTAAAAGAGCTCCTTCGAGTCTGCAATACAACATATATAATCCATTTTATTTTAATTCATGGACAAGAAATCTGACTTTGTATTGAATATCCTCGTCATTTGAGGGGCTGCAGATCAAACTCATACCGGTACCCTCCTTTATCTCAGGTTTGAACAGACTCGTGAAGGTCCGGGTTAGAATGAATCTTCAGTAACCCATGCTTGTCGTATGAGGCGACTAACGGGATCGGGTTGTCAGGCTCGCTGGCTTTGTTGACACATGTCATCGGTTCCCAATTGCACAAATACCAATTGCGTAGATCGATGCTCATGCTGTTGATAACTAGAATGTCAGGACTCGATTATTTACAGACCGCCACCATTTAGCCGGAATATTGCTGGGTGCGGCATAAAACTAAACTCACTCAGGTTTGAACAGTCAACCTAACAACACCCATATTTAGGTCATGTTGCATAACCATCACATACTGAAGCAGCACGTGTGAGTCTACATATTACTACAGGTGAATAGTTTTTAAAAAACCCTGCATGAACCATACCCACAACAGGAGAGGTCACTTCTTACAAAGAAACTCTTCTCCGGGAGTTGTGATGTCTCACCTGTTTATTTGTTGGGATATTCTTTCAGCCTCCTCGATAACCTTTCTCCTTCTCTGAAATAAAATCAGTGCATTTATCTACTGAAACAACAGTATAATACCTGGTGTGTACTATACAAATTCCGATTACATTGCATTCTGTCTCGGCAATTAACTTCACAGCCCTAACAGGGCGGTGGGGTAGCTAAGTGGTTAACGCCTTTGCTCTTCACGCAAAGACCCAGGTTCGATACCCCACAAGGGTACAATGTGTGAAGGCCATTTCTGGTGTCCCCCGCCGTGATGTTGCTGGAGTAACGCTGAAAGCGGCGTAAAATTAAACTCACTCACTCACTCGATGATTGAAGTCGATGGACTACACACAAGAATGTTCTACACACAGCCGCTGGTTTTCAAATTTCAAACCGGACTAACACACTCACAGTCCATAATGCCAGCACCTGACAAACATGGAAAATGGTATGGACCAAACAAAAAAGAGGATGCAAAAACTGTTCATTGTGGAAAAACAAACATGTTAGTTGGCACTTACTTATAACATATGCAGTGAGAATAAACAGACCAAAATGATCTGACACTTTGTTGGTTTACAAGACTGAACTCACCTCTTCCTCAGCTTGATACCGCAGCACGGAGACTGGAATTGTCAGCAGTTGTGTGGCTTTCAAGTCCTTCCCTACACTGTCAAACTGAAACAACAACACCACCGTGAACTTCAACATCATCAACACCAACATTCATGCTCACTTGAGACACGTACATCAGACTGTTCCATCTGCAAACTACTACGACCCTTATTCCACACTTGAAACAACCACTGAAAATCTCCCATGAGTTCAGTGGTTGGATGAAATGTGACTTAACATCGCCAGCATGTATCTAGACCTACTCAGAGGAGTAGATATTCAATCAGCAGCAAATGATAGACAAAATTCCAATATGAATTAAGATATTCAGAATAATTAACAAGAGTCATCAGAAGATGACATATCCCCCCGGCCCCCACATCTTTGAAAGAACAAATCATCTGACAGTTACTTAAAGTCCAGCTTGATTTTAGACTAAGTGCAAATCGTTTCCATGGAAATCATGAAAAAAATAAATGACAAAAATCTGCAAATAGCAAAAGGCACCACTTTGGGATCTGCCTCACATATCTGCCAAGTTTTGCTGAAAGATATTAAGAAGTTTTCGCGTTGTGCTCCGGAAACAAAACCCATCCCTTCCTTTTTGAGACTAAGTTCGAATCATTTCCATGGAAACCGAGAAAATAATAAATCACAAATATCTGCAAATAGCAAAAGGCATCACTTCAATATCTGCCTCACATATCTGCCAAGTTTTGCTGAAAGATATAGAGAGGTTTTTGAGTTGTGCTCCGGAAACGAAGCCCACCCTCACTTTTGGGATTAAGTCCGAATCGTTTCCATGGAAACCGGGAAAAATAAAAATGCCAAAAATCTGCAAATAGCAAAAGGCACAACTTTAGGATCTGTTTGATATATCTATCAAGTTTTGTTGAAAAATATTATATGGTTTTTGAGTTGTGCTCCGGAAACGAAAGCAATCCTTACTTTTTGAGACTAAGTCCAAAATGTTTCCATGGAAACCAAGAAAATAAAATGCCAAAAATCGGCAAATAGCAAAAGGCACCACTTAAGGTTCTGTTTCATACATCTACCAAGTTTTGTTGAAAAATATTGAACGGTTCTTGAGTTATGCTCCGAAACGGCCCACCCTCACTTTTGGGACTAAGTCCAAATCGTTTCCATGGAAACCGGAAAAATAAAATGCCAAAAATCTGCAAATAGCAAAAGGCACAACTTTAGGATCTGTTTGATATATCTACCAAGTTTTGTTGAAAAAATATTATTGAATTTTCTTGAGTTATGCTCCGAAACGAAAGCAATCCTTACTTTTTGAGACTAAGTCCAAAATGTTTCCATGGAAACCAAGAAAAATAAAAATGCCAAAAATCGGCAAATAGCAAAAGGCACCACTTAAGGTTCTGTTTCATACATCTACCAAGTTTTGTTGAAAAATATTGAACGGTTCTTGAGTTATGCTCCGAAACGAAGCCCACCCTCACTTTTGGGACTAAGTCCAAATCGTTTCCATGGAAACCGGAAAAATAAAATGCCAAAAATCTGCAAATAGCAAAAGGCACCACTTTAGGATCTGTTTGATATATCTACCAAGTTTTGTTGAAAAATATTGAACGGTTCTTGAGTTATGCTCTGAAACGAAGCCCACCCCTCACTTTTGGGACTAAGTCCAAAATGTTTCCATGGAAACCGGAAAAATAAAATGCCAAAATCTGTGAAATAGCAAAAGGCACCACTTTAGGATCTGTTTGATATATCTACCAAGTTTTGTTGAAAAATATTGAACGGTTCTTGAGTTATGCTCCGAAACGAAGCCCACCCTTCTTTAAGACTAAGTCCAAAACGTTTCCATGGAAACCGAGAAAAATAAAATGACAATTATCTGTAAATAGCAAAAGGCACCACCTTAGGTTATTTTTGACATATCTACCAATTTTGGTTAAAAAATATCGAACGGTCTTTGAGTTATGGTCCGAAACAAAATGATTACGGACGGACGGACTGGACGGACGGACGACGACTTATATCCCATATCCCACCGCATTATATGCGGTGGGATAAAATAAATGACAAAATCTGCAAAGCAAAAGGCACAACTTTGGATCTGCCTCACATATCTATCAAGTTTTGCTTGAAAGATATTAAGAAGTTTTTGAGTTGTGCTCGAAACAAAAGCAATCCTTCCTTTTTGAGACTAAGTTCGAATGTTTCCATGGAAACCAAGAAAATAAAAATGCACAAATATCTGCAAATAGCAAAAGGCATCACTTCAATATCTGCCTCATACATCTACCAAGTTTTGTTGAAAAATATTGAACGGTTTTTGAGTTATGCTCGAAACGAAGCCCACCCCTCACTTTTGGGATTAAGTCCGAATCGCTTCCATGGAAACCGGGAAAATAAAATGCCAAAATCTGCAAATAGCAAAAGGCACAACTTTAGGATCTGTTTGATATATCTATCAAGTTTTGTTGAAAAATATTATATGGTTTTTGAGTTGTGCTCCGAAACGAAAGCAATCCTTACTTTTTGAGACTAAGTCCAAAATGTTTCCATGGAAACCAAGAAAAAAAAATGCCAAAAATCGGCAAATAGCAAAGGCACCACTTAAGGTTCTGTTTCATACATCTACCAAGTTTTGTTGAAAAATATTGAACGGTTCTTGAGTTATGCTCGAAACGAAGCCCACCCTCACTTTTGGGACTAAGTCCAAATCGTTTCCATAGAAACCGGAAAAATAAAATGCCAAAATCTGCAAATAGCAAAAGGCACCACCTTAGGATCTGTTTGATATATCTACCAAGTTTTGTTGAAAAATATTGAACGGTTCTTGAGTTATGGTCCGAAACAAAATGACCCCTCACTTTTGGACTAAGTCCGACTATATCCCACCCATGGAAACCGGGAAAATAAAATGCCAAAATCTGCAAATAGCAAAAGGCACAACTTTAGGATCTGTTTGATATATCTACCAAGTTTTGTTGAAAAATATTGAATGGTTCTTGAGTTGTGCTCTCGAAACGAAAGCAATCCTTACTTTTTGAGACTAAGTCCAAAATGTTTCCATGGAAACCAAGAAAAATAAAAATGCCAAAAATCGGCAAATAGCAAAAGGCACCACTTAAGGTTCTGTTTCATACATCTACCAAGTTTTGTTGAAAAATATTGAACGGTTCTTGAGTTATGCTCCGGAAACGAAGCCCACCCCTCACTTTTGGGACTAAGTCCGAATCGTTTCCATGGAAACCGGGAAAAATAAAAATGCCAAAAATCTGCAAATAGCAAAAGGCACAACTTTAGGATCTGTTTGATATATCTACCAAGTTTTGTTGAAAAATATTGAATGGTTCTTGAGTTATGCTCCGGAAACGAAAGCAATCCTTACTTTTTGAGACTAAGTTCAAAATGTTTCCATGGAAACCAAGAAAAATAAAAATGCCAAAAATCGGCAAATAGCAAAAGGCACAACTTTAGGATCTGTTTCATACATCTACCAAGTTTTGTTGAAAAATATTGAACGGTTCTTGAGTTATGCTCCGGAAACGAAGCCCACCCCTCACTTTTGGGACTAAGTCCAAATCGTTTCCATGGAAACCGGGAAAAATAAAAATGCCAAAAATCTGTGAAATGCAAAAGGCACCACTTTAGGATCTGTTTGATATATCTACCAAGTTTTGTTGAAAAATATTGAACGGTTCTTGAGTTATGCTCCGGAAACGAAGCCCACCCTTCTTTAAGACTAAGTCCAAAACGTTTCCATGGAAACCGAGAAAAATAAAAATGACAATTATCTGTAAATAGCAAAAGGCACCACCTTAGGTTATTTTTGACATATCTACCAATTTTGGTTAAAAAATATCGAACGGTCTTTGAGTTATGGTCCGGAAACAAAATGATTACGGACGGACGGACGGACGGACAGGCGGACGAGGCGACTATATCCCACCGCATTATATGCGGGTGGGATAAAAATGGACGATAACTCTACCACCATCAATACTTTGATCTACCAAACATTACGCCAAGAGACAAGTTCAGATAACTCTACCACCATCAACACTAAGATCTACCAAACATTACGCCAAGAGACAAGTTCAGATAACTCTACCACCATCAACACTAAGATCTACCAAACATTACGCCAAGAGACAAGTTCAGATAACTCTACCACCATCAACACTAAGATCTACCAAACATTACGCCAAGAGACAAGTTCAGATAACTCTACCACCATCAACACTAAGATCTACCAAACATTACGCCAAGAGACAAGTTCAGATAACTCTACCACCATCAACACTAAGATCTACCAAACATTACGCCAAGAGACAAGTTCAGATAACTCTACCATCATCAAATACTTTGATCTACCAAACATTACACACTAAGATCTACCAAACATTACATCAAGAGACAAGTTCAGATAACTCTACCACCATCAACACTAAGATCTACCAAACATTACGCCAAGAGACAAGTTCAGAAATTTGAACAAAAATATATGGTTTAGTGCTAAAGGGGTTCCAAAACAGGAGCTTGCCCATTTTCCATCACTGTTTATGACTGAACACACAAAAGATGACATTCATTAAACACCTGCATTTAGCTACAGAAATTAAGTTCGCTACTTGACTGATTTGGTTGGCAAGTTTTAACAAGAAATATTCAATGGTTTGGGAGAGTTCTGTTTTGGAAACAGAAAACAGACAGCAGACAGACATGCTGTATCTACCTTTTCACAAGCCAGAGCAATAAACCAAAGATTTAGTAGACAACTGCCTTCCTACTACGATCATGTTATCTAAAATGTGTAGAATATATTTGAAGGCCTAATTACTTATCTACTGACTGTGCAAGTTTGTAGCATGCAATATTTAGTGATATTTTATTATTAATTAATTCTAACCATCAATGGCATCAGTTCCGAAGTCGTCAATGTCGATATCGGCAATATTCCTGTGTGCATGGCTGCCTGTCCGTGCCGCTTCTTGTGGTCGCTTCTGTTTAATATGGTCCATCTCAGGAGGGGGCGTGGGGCTGCGGGGTTCTGCCAGGCTCTGTGCGTGGCCGCTTGGCTCTCTGACCTGGCACAGTGGCAGAACACAGTCACACAACACATATAATCTCAAACATAACTGTTGCAGCAAATATAAGAAATGATTTACCTCTGTGTTCACATGACTTGCGGTTCTTGGCAAGCTAGGCAAGTGTCTGTCTGTCTGTCTCTCTGTCAGATTGTTACCAATAAGACCCCAATAATTTCCCTCATAAAGCCTGCAAATGTGCCACAGACAATTAATCTGTATCCTAGGTATATTCACCTACACACACCTTCCCCCAACTTCACACACCCACAAACGCATCCACACCCTCCCACACACACACCCACACATGCACACCTACACTCACACAAACAAATGCATCCACACCCGCTCACCCACACACATGCACACCACACATCCACACACATGCACACAAATGCATCCACACCCATCCACACACATCATCACACCAACATATGCATCCACACACCCACACATGAACACACACATGCACACACCATAGACACATCACACAAAACACACACATTTGCACACACCATGCACTCATTCCAGGGGATCAGGATCCAGAGGTCCACAGGTGTTACCCTCCTTCTCCTCCGAAAGGTCAGTCCTGAGGAGCATGTAATCTTTCTTTGGACTTCATGATTTGGGTGCACCCCCCACACCCCCTTCTCCAAAATCCTGGATCCTCCCCTGCATTCACACACATCTACACACACACATTTACACACACACTTACACACACTCTTCATCTTAATCCTGTTTCACCTCTTATACATTACATAAAATCACCACACGGCCAAGAGTCACCTAGTTTGGGGAGAGTATCACAAGTGTCCTCTTCACTATCTGACAGACCGGTGAAGCTGTCATCTCTTTGCCTTTTCTCTTTGACGTGTCCGTTCCTAGACGACAACGGGCTTTCCAGCGGCGTGAGAGGAGTAGGGCTGACCAAACAGCCACCTGGGTGCTTGCTCTTCGGCTTGGGTGTTGTGAACTGGAGAGTCTTCTTGGACTTTGGAGCATATGGGTCCCCTGGATCCTCTGAAAAAGAAACAATATTAAATATGGTCCAGAGAATGACAAAGCATGCTAAATGCCCATATCCAGCAAATTGCACAGAAGAAAATGAAATCGATCAGAAATTTTGAATTTAATGTAGTTGTTATTTTGGGGGGCTCTTCTGAACCCACAGAGTCGATTACGACACATATCATCAGGATCATGATGATCACAAACATAGGGTCATATTTTTCATGAATACTATAACACACCACCAGTTGATGTACTATTCACAGGGCTCCAGATAAGGGCCGTATCGGCGTATGTATGGATAAAAAATATGCACGATATGGTAGGAAATAATTTAGAAAATGTAGCGGATACACACCACAGCAATGGTGTACGGTATTAGAATCATTTACAGACGTATTTATCTGAAAAGGTATTGTTTTATTGTTTATTGACCTGTGTACACAAGACTAGCAATGTTGTGGTGCAGATACGAAACGAAACACAAGATTATTGATACTCCATGAAATTCCATTCAGTACTCTAAATGTACTTTTCCAGTACTTCTATATTGAAAAAATAAGGAGTACGTACTCCTGATGTTAAAAAATTATCTGGAGCCCTGATTCATTACAATTAGTCAAATATCGTCAAAACATGTCAAATAATAACTAAATAGATCATTTGCCATGTTTTGACCATGCAGACAGTCTTTGGGTCACGACAATGACTGGCAATCACATTACCAGCGATTACTGTCAAATGAAATATATACCTGTAGGACTCTTAGACATGTCACAATGTTCACTGGCTTGGATATATTCCATTTTACATTATTATGTCACATTTAATCAATAACAAATGCAATTAAAAACACTCTTTTTAAAAATATCTGTAAAAATTTGATTCTAGTAATTGTACATAATGAACTGAAGTCATGAAGAAATTCTGTTCTATTCACCAAATATTCAAGTGAATCGTAACAACCCTAGTATTTTCAAACAATTGAGGTGTAAATTTTACATTGCATTTAATGTGCATTCTCACAATGTGACTTTATATAATATAGCGACTTGTAGCATAAGATTTGTAGTAACAATAATGATTGTAACAACTTCAGTTTTTGTGTAGTTTTTAAGACACACACTCCTTTGACTCCACAACATGGATGTGTCGAGTCAGAAGGTGCTAGCTCTAATGTCAGTTAGTATAACGCAGTCACTGAAAAGGAGAAAGAACACCTAAATCTGTGCTGGTTGGCCATTGGATTCTCAAACGAAACACTGTGCAGTTTCTTCTTTGGGCAGATAAACTTTCTTCTGTCACTGAGTGTCAGGTCGTGTCTTTATACTTCATACTGTGAATTTGACTGACTGACTGACTGAGTTTGGTTTTACCCCGCTTTTAGTTTTAGCAATATTCCAGCAACATCACGGCGGGGAACACTAGAAATAGGCTTCACACATTGTACCCATGTGGGGATTCGAACCTTGGTCTTCGGGCTACCAACATTTAACCACTAGGCTACCCCACCGCCCTACTGTGAATTTGAAGTCTGACACCTGACGTCTACATCTCTTTTCAGTTCGTCCCATGCCCATATCGGCTCATTCCACACCATATCCATATCTTGTAGATTATGGAATTAGATGAATGTGCTAAATCGCATCTGAACTATTAAACTGTCTGCAGATTAAAATCATGAGACACCCTGTTTCACTGAAAACTTTGTAATTATCTGTGACCTATTCGACAATTTACATTCATTTCAGTTACTCTCATGACAAGAAAAATATGTATACACAATAAGTAACAGTGAGGGTGTAGCTCATTCGGTTAGCTGTCGGGCTAAGAATACAAAGTTTGCTGGTTCGCAACCGACCGATTCTCACAAAACAGGTTGCCTGCCTTAGTGACATGTGACCTATAGCAGAGAACATCCGCACGAGAAGTTGTGGTGCTGAATTCTAAACATTGCTGAAAGTGCTGAAAGTTGTCGCTGTTTTGGGTACATCAAGAGAACTTCATTGTTGCAAAATATGTAAATGTCATTGCTGTATACTGAAGTACAAAACTGTACATACACATCAACACACATATATAGGGTTCAGGCTAAAACGTCACCACAGCAAAATGGCACCTGCCGAAAACGGCACCATGTGGACATAACGGGGCTTGAATTGGCGAAAACGGCTACAAATTTTATGGCGAAAACGGCACCAAATAAAATCATAATTATTGGGAAAAAATCTTATTTGTCATTAGATAATCTGATTACAGAATTTTGGAATGCGTCTTCTCTGCGGACAGTGATTGTAAAGTGAATCCCATAGCCGATAATCGGCTTGTAGAATGTTTAGATAGTCAATACATCTACTGTGACGACAGTGATTGGAAAGGCATACCAATTTAGCGTGAAAACATCGCAACCTTTGATGTTTTAAGTACATTTACTCAACTGAAATCGCCCAAACTCAGTGTCAAAATGAAACTGTATTTAGAACGCACGAATGTACACATTAAATATCATTCATCACAATGTCTCACCACTGTGTTGTATGCGATAAGACTGTCAGGAAAAATCAACATGCCGTATCTTGTGACGAGTGTGAATTATGGACTCATCATGTTTGTGGTACTGGCCTTTCTGCATCACGGCACCGTGAGATTTCTAAAAATGAAGAGGATTTCCCTTTCGTATGTTTTCACTGTTGCAGGAATTCCTTTGACAACATGATGGACACTGAACTTTCATGTAAGTTTGGAATCGGGACACCACCTTACCAGCTGCCGAACAACCCATACCCTGGTAGAAGACATGGATGTTGAGGATGAAGGGAGGGCTCCCGACATATCGGACATTAATATTTCCACAGCATCATTGCCACCACAAGACGACCATGATTTCAACCACTTTTCTGAACGATCCATGATAGACAGCACCCTCCTCGACCCCCCTACTGTTGATATCCCGGACGTGTTCACAATCGTGGAGACTGGTTCGCAGAAAGGAAAAAAGAAGCTCACCGATTCATATGGATTCACATATGTCATTCGGGTAAGTACAGATGACACTTCTTCCTAAATATATAACTTCATAAATGTAATATATAATAAATAATGTATAAATAATAAGTACATCATAATATATAAATAAGTTGAATGTCATCACCGTGTATAATAATATTTATTGTTACAGAAATCAACAACTGCTCGAACGTACTGGCACTGCAGTGTCAGAAACAAGGCGACCACGTGACCTGCATCAGTTATTCAGTTTGGGGCTTCATGTGAAGAGGGGAAACACCGCCACTGTCATCCACCCCAACCAGGCCAGTTGACAGCAATCCGAGTGAGAGTGGAGGTATTTATCATGTTTAATAATTGACAGTCACAATAAGTTAGTAGATTGTTAATTGGCCTTAGCAGTGTTTAATCGGCCTTTAATTGAGTTGTGTATTAATCGGCCTGTAATTGAGTAGTGTATTAATTAGTGTACCCCTCCAGACAAGACCCATACAAGAAGGAAGGCTGAAGGCGTACATCCGCAAATTATCAACAGCTAGGCAGGAGGAGGTATTTGAACTGTGGAGTTTGTTCAAGGATGGCGATCTGTCTCTGTCACAACTACTCTCAAGATGTGCGATTATCCATGGACCAATTGTTCAGTAAATTGTCACAACTGCAATTCATGAAAAGACATTCATGGGATTTATAAGCATCCTGCCAAATATGGCCTGTAAGACAGGTAGATTCACAGTTGTAAAAGAACATGTGTAAGGTGTTATTTTGACGGTGCTGTTGTTATCGTCTTGCTAATTTTGTTATTTTAATGCAATGGGTGAGTGAGTGAGTTATGGTTTTGAGCCGCTTTTATTAAAGTTTTAGCAATATTCCAGCTATATCACGACAGGAGACATAAATACTTTGTTTATATATGTTATAATCTTGCTAATGTTATAAAATGAAATAAACCATAAGTCAACGTCATACTTTGTTTTATATATGGTGTCGTTTTAGCTCAGAAATCAGTAGACGTTTTCGCCAATATGGTGCCGTTTTCGCCAAACAAATTTGGTGCCATTCTGCTGTGGTGCCTTTTTAGCTATAACCCCATATATATACCAATTTGCAAAGTGAAAGGTTCTTGTAAGCATAATCTTTAATTTTAATACTTAACAAATATGATAATTCAAGGGAATTCCCCCGATTTTTGACGAGGTACTCCCTAGCTGGTCTGAATTTGATGCTACCTATCGTCAGGTGATTATGCAGGTAAATTAAAATGGACCAGAAAGCGTTGGAGTTCTGTTACTCTTTGCATTTAATATCGGCTGATCGGATGTCCCGTTGATCAATGTGTATCTTAGCCTTACTCCCTTTGGTTGTACAACTGTCTAAATGTCCAGATGCAATAACAAAATTAATCATCAACATGATCAACCATCGTCAACATACAATCAATGACTTCATCAGGACTGAGATCATTAATGTATTTCACAATGTCTCTTCCGTTCATGTTTATTTGTTTTGTCCGTTCAGCTGTTCACAGCTGTCCGGCTGGTACATTGGCCGACAGACAGTCAGTATAACCATCAGACACTCACCGTTGTGATCTTCGAGTGCCTCCAGTTCATCGGCAAATTCTTCCTCAAAGAAATCATCCATCGTTTTCTCGTATAATTCCAACAGATGTATTAACACAAATGCAACTGTGTTTATAAGATTATTTTTGTTCAGAAATCAACAAATCCGCCATTGCATTTCCCGCGGATTATTTCAAAGGGACATAATTCCCAAAATACGCCGAGTCAACTTACCGCTAAATATGAGTCTTAACGTTTCGAAATTCGGTTGTGAGGAAATGTAAGTGAATAAGTATCGCTAGTATCTGCACAGTTTGGCTCTAGTTCCAACTTCAAAAGGAAGAGACACGATAACATTTTACAAAAGTCTCAATTTGTGGAGAACCTAGCATTACCGAGCTGTTTAAAAATTACACCTCACCTATATTAGTTTCATTCTTTTTTTTCCATTCTTTTTTGGGGGGTGGGGGGTGTTTGTTCGGGTTTTTTTTTTTGTGTGTGTGTATGTGCGTGTATGTGGGGGAGGGAGGATTGTCGCAATATTTGTGGCTTTTGTTGTGATCTGTTCCTAAATTATATTGAAATTTTTAAATTGGAATTTAAAAAAAATACACTGACCCTCCTTATTTTGTCCGCTCTCTACTCCCTTCAATAAATGGTCAGCACCTAAGTATTTATTAAAATGCAGATGTAATTTAATTAATACTTTACGGCAGTACGATCCCCAGCTACGACCACTAAAATAGGTCAATTTCACATACTCTTCCAGCACTTATTTCACCCTCTGGTTGCTATATGGAACATTCCTTAATTCAAACCAAAATTTGTGCATTGAAACGTTATTTCACACAACACGTGAATGCATGCCGAACAGTTCGTTTAAAAAGTAACAGAGCAATTTCTTACAGCCCTTTCTACCCGTTCTGCACGCGTCCACAGTTACCCGTGCAGAATCATATTAAATTCGTGACATCGAGCACAAAGCGGTAAATTAATTAAATCGTGAGAGAGAACGCCGATTCTATATACGCGGAAGTTTAGCCACGAGAGTTGATTTATAAGAATATATATATATTAACCAGGTCACCGCCCGGCTATTGGCTGGTGCTGTACAATCACGATTTCACTTGTGTTGAGATCAGGACAAACGTACACCCATTCAACTGTGTAAGCAGGAATGCCTTATTCTGAAGTGCAAGGACTAATTCCGAGATATGTGTATGGATGAGATCTATAACCGCGCTGGCATGAATGGTTTGTGATACAATACACTCAATGGCTGTAATACAATTCAGTAAAGAAAGGTTAGTGAGTTGAAGGCCTCCAGGAGAGAGCAGCCAGCCACAGTAACGGATTGTGAAAGTATATGACTTGTTTGCTACTTTCTATCCGCCTTTCGGGGTGTTGATCGAGTAAATATACCTGCGGCTTCTCGCTCCCCGCTCCCAGCTGCCCCCCGCCACACACACACACACACACCCTCCCCCAATTGTCTTACTGATCAACTGCACATCTACCCGATTGTCAGTTTGTCAGACTGATCAACTGCACATCTACCTGATTGTCTGACTGATCAACTGCACATCTACCCGACTGTCTGGTTAGCTGACCGAATGCAGCTCTCCCCAATTGTACGCATGACTGATTGTTTGACTACTCGATAGAATAACTACCAGTTTGTGTGACTGTTCTACATAACATCTACCCGGTTATCTAACAAACTGCTCGACAGTGCATCTACACCGATTGTCTGTTCGACTGCAATGTACCCGATTGTCGTTCTGTTCGACTGCATGTGTACCTGATTGTCTGTCTGTTTGACTGTATATGTACCCGATTGTCTGTTTGACTGTATATGTGTATTGTCCCTGTTTGACTGATTGTCTGTCAACTGTTTGACTGTCTATATGTACCCGATTGTCTGCCTGTTTACCCGACTGTATATGTACCTGTTTGACTGTATATGTACCCGATTGTCTGCCTGTTTGACTGTATATGTACCCGATTGTCTGTCTGTTTGACTGTATATGTACCCGATTGTCTGTCTGTTTGACTGTATATGTACCCGATTGTCTGTCTGTTTGACTGTATATGTACCTCGACAGTGATTACACCGATTCTGTTCGACTGTCTGTACCCGATTGTCTGTCTGTATGACTGTATATGTACCTGATTGTCTGTCTGTTTGTCTGTTTGACTGTATATGTACCCGATTGTCTGTCTGTTTGACTGTATATGTACCCGATTGTCTGTCTGTTTGACTGACTGTATATGTACCTGATTGTACCTGATTGTCTGTGTTGACTGTATATGTACCCGATTGTCTGTCTGTTTGACTGCCCGTTTGACTGTATATGTATCATGTGATTGATTGTCTGCCTGTTTGACTGTATATGTACCTTTGATTGTTCTGCCTGTATCTGTGTATGTATTGTCTGATTGTCTGTCTGTTTGACTGTATATGTACCTGATTGTCTGTCTGTTTGACTGTATATGTACCCGATTGTCTGTCTGTTTGACTGTATATGTACCCGATTGTCTGTCTGTTTGACTGTATATGTACCTGATTGTCTGTCTGTTTGACTGTATATGTACCCGATTGTCTGTCTGTTTGACTGTATATGTACCTGATTGTTTGCCTGTTGTCTGTCTGTTTGACTGTATATGTACCTGATGTCCTGTTTGACTGTATATGTACCCGATTGTCTGTCTGTTTGACTGTTTCTGTGTACCCGATGATTGTGTGTGTGTTTGACTGTATATGTACCTGATTGTCTGTCTGTTTGACTGTATATGTACCTGATTGTCTGTCTGTTTGACTGTATATGTACCTGATTGTCTGTCTGTTTGACTGTATATGTACCCGATTGTCTGTCTGTTTGACTGTATATGTACCCGATTGTCTGTCTGTTTGACTGTATATGTACCCGATTGTCTGTCTGTTTGACTGTATATGTACCCGATTGCCTGTCTGTTCGACTGTATATGTACCCAATTGTCTGGCTATTCGACTTAATATGAACCCGATTGTCTGTCTATTCGACTTAATATGTACCCGATTGTCTGTCTGTTTGACTGCTTATCCTCTCGACTGTCGAGAAATGTTCACCACTTTCAATATGCTCCGGCTGTTTTGATTTAATGTGACTTTACACGATTTTACGAGCTGCCATAGACTCTTCTTACGCCATAGTGAATGGCAGGGCTCATCCACCCGTTTAACAGTACATTTTGTATTTCATTTGCACAGCATGTCAGCTGAATGTTTGAGGTTTAACATTCTGGCCACACCCACAAGCATGAGTATGGCAAAGCCCAGAAACATTATCAGATGTCTTTATTATGATAACAGCTTGATCTGGTATAGTTTGTTTTTCTGTAACACGTGCTATGAACTCTACACCGAAACGTCGCATTAAGGAGTAAAGAAGGTGCAGTTAACACCCCCTCTCGTACCCCCTCTCGTACCCCCTCTTGTACCCCCACCCGTTCCCACACCCTCTTCCCCACTCGGGGTATCGCATTGACATTGTTAAAAGCTGTGAACAGAAAGAAACAAAGAAACAGATGTTGGGGTGGGTGGGGTGGGGGTAGTTGTAGGTAGCTTGGGTCAGCGCGCCCATATACACCAGTTGCTATGCGTATAATGCGCGTGGTTTAAAAAAATTGAAAAGCTGCCATTATTAAATGTATTATCGCAGAGAGATAAAGGCATCCCTAGAACTCCAACAACGAAATAATTTCCATTATCGGGAAGACATGTATATAGAAGCTTAGGGATCATTCACACTTTCGGTGGATGTGCAGTGTGGGGGATATTTCCTTGAGTTTATTGTTTCGTTTCGGTTTTGGCACATTAAATGTTCAGACATAATTCTTTTGACTTTTCGTTTATTTTATTTAATAGGGAATACGAACTGCCTCATATCCACGCGCGTAAACCCAATTCCAGTCTGTTATGTTACTTAAAACATTGGCTCTGGTATGTATACATTAAGTTAACCAGGTACGTGGTATTTTAACAAATTTGAGCTATTCCCAATCTGAAGTGCAACTTAATACAATGTCTATGTTATGCTTTACGTTTAGGAAGTACCAGGTGGTATGTTGACGAATTTGAGCCACTTCCACACTGTAAAGCCACTTCAAACTTTGTCTGTTATGCTTTAAGTTTAGGAAATATCAGGTGGTGTTTAAACGAATTTGAGCCATTTCCGCACTGAAGTGACACTTAAAACATTGTCTCAAGTATACGTTAAGTTTAGGAATTACCAGGAATTCGACCTTACAATGAGAGGACATTCAAGGCCAGATTGTCGATGCGCTGAATCGATTTAGGAGTTCTTTGACTCAGGGACCATTACAACGCCATTATATTGTGAGCCTTTAACCAACCATCCACTACTGAGGGTGAGAACCATTATAGTCAGTATAATAGCTTGAATAGATGTACCCGTAATATACGTTAGATCTACATCCGTACATACAGGGGTATTTGAAGACGTGTACACCTAGTTACATCTCGACCGCCGCAGATGTGTGTTATCAAAACTATATACATAAGTCGCCCACTTCAGGGAAATATGTCCCTAGTTTGATATAAAGTGCCTGAACTGAACACTGCACAAATAAAACCTTCATTGTCACTGTGAGCGTGGCGGCCTGACTATAGAAAGGACATATGCCTCGGCATTAACATCGAAGGGTGTGGTGTCTCGTTGACTGACAAGCGTTAGCGAAACTAGTCGCGCTTCACAAAGCAGGTTGGCAAGTCAGCTCCCGTGTCTGGTGGTAAGTTCTCATGTTTATATCTTGTACATTACTTGCCATTTATTACTCATTATACTACTATCAGATTATATGGGACTGCGGAGTTGATATTAGGTTAACTGTCCCTGGTATGGACGATTTGACCACAGCTGAACTGATTTATAGTAACGTAGGTAATATAGGGTGTTTCAGCTCTCTATGTTGGGTGGCGTCAGGGTTGACCGGCTATGATAAATATATGTTTACAATGATTTTTTTGTACTTTTATTACACTCATATATTTAGCTACTGGTTTTTACTATATTATGTCGACAGCGACGCGAAACATTACCTCAAGTGTAACGAACATAACCATTCAATCACAACACTTTCGACCCGTGAAGATCCAGGTTAGAATTGGTCTTCAGTAACCCATGCTTGTTGTAAGAGGCGACTAACGGGATCGGGTGGTCAGGCTTGCTGACTTGGTTGACACATGTCATCATATCCCATGCTGTTGATCGATGCTTAGGATCACTGGATTGTCTGGTCCTAACACGATTATTTACTGGCGGCCGTCATATAGCCTGAATATTGCTGAGTGCTGCGTTAATTTTACCCAGAACCCCTTGGGTTCATTCCATAACAAGACCAAAAGAACATTGTACATGGAAAAGCATTGCAGGACAACCTATACCTTTTGCAAAAGGGGAATGAAGAGATCAGGTGGTTGATGTTCACTGGACTGTCTGTCGAGACTCAATTATTTACAGACGGCCGTCATGTAACATTGCTGAAGGCAGTGTTAGACAAGAAGGAAACAATACCACCCACCTCCCAAATTACAAGAACGCATAAATATTTAACCCATTTCAATGCCTCTATGTATAGGAATGTTTTGTGTATACACGTGAGGTAACTAAATAATGCTTTAAGACTGTCTTGGAATGTATTACCGTGAAGATCCGGGTTAGGAATGGTCTTCAGTAACTCATGCTTGCCGTAAGAGGTGACTAACGGGATCGGGTGGTCAGGCTCGCTGACTGGGTTGACACATGTCATCGTATACCAATTGCGTAGATCGATGCTCATGCTGTTGATCAGTGGTTTGTCTGGTTCAGACTCGATTATTTACAGACCACCGCCATATAGATGGAATATTGCTGAGTGCGGCGTAAAACATCCAACTAAACCAAATCTTGTAATGTATACTTTTTCGTTTTCTTGATATGAATTCATGTATGTCAATACAATATACACTGTCAGTATTACCCGTTAGTACTGAAATTCCATGCATGTAATGGGTGAAAATAATGATTATTAAGAAGGTTATTTCCACATGTTATTTTAACCAGGACACACACTTGTGCCAACATGGCGGCCACAGTTTCCGTCTGTGGTCAACTCTGGGTGCTGACCGTCCTGACTCTTGTACATCATAGTCTTCCAGGTATGCATTGACCTCGTATCTGTAACCGTAAATTTAAACAAGACAAGTATTGTTGTATTTAAACATGGGGGCAGACTTCTAGAACGGAAAACAGGATCTACAAACTTGCTCAAATTAAAGCTTCATCATCATACAAATACCTTGGTATGCTATTTACTAGAAGTTTCACTTGGCAGGCATCTATAAACAATCTGATTCTTATAGCTAAGAAGGCTCTCATAACTGCTCAGCGTAGTTTGTTTAAGTTTGAAAATCTCTCCTATGAACTATATTTTAATATCTTTGACACTAAACTCCTACCAATTCTACTGTATGGTTTTGAGGTATGGGGTATTCAAAGATTTAAAACAATGAATAAATACATTTGCAAGCATGTAAACGTTTTCTGGGTATCCGCAGATCAACAGCTAGTGATATTGTATTGCGGAAGATACCCAATCTATATCTTGGCACTGAAACGTTCTATCTTATATTGGTTCAAAGTCATCTCAATGCGTTCTCACCGCTCTACCTTAAAAGCCTATAAGATGTTACTGTGTTTGGTTGAAAATGCAAGTGATGCTAGAAATAACAGAACTGGGCTATGTTAATTAATAATACATTGTTCCAACTTGGTCTTGAATATGCATGGTTTGGACAGGGAGTTGGAGATTAAGAGTATCGTTATCGCAGTTTCGATGTGGTTATTATGATTTAAATGTATTTTAAAAGAATATGTCATGCTACTGAGAACCAATCCTGCAAATTGTGTGACAGGGATATTACTGAAGATGAATACCATGTCCTTCTCATTTGTCCACAGTATGAAGATCTAAGGAGCTATTATATACCATCTAAGTATACGTCCTGTCTCAAATTTTACAAATTCCACATACTAATGTCAACCGAAAATGTATAGCTCCTTCAGAATATTGCAACGGTTATACACCATGCACAAGTACTACTCACCCATTATAACCGTTTTTACCGGGGGCCTCTGGCCTACAGTTCAGAAATAAAGAGGAATATATATAAGACTTTCATATTTAAATTTTATAGACTTTCAGGGCATTTAAATTTAAATTCTTATATGCAGTTCCCCAACAGGTTTTGCTTTTTATACCAGTGGCGAATATGATAATACGCACAACAAAACAACACATCTATTCAAAGAGCCATGATATATGGGTGCGAAATAACTGAAATACCAGTTAAGGTATTGTTCTAAATCATGTGCAGAAAGTGAGAATAGTAATGGTGACATGCTTTCGCCTTGTCGCACACCGATTGATCAACGCAAGAGTTCGGGGTAGTCATCTAATAAGGACACACGATTTAATGTCCGATACATATTGCAAATTACATCAAAACACTAATCAGAAAAAAATATCGAATAGAAGTTTGTGCCAATGCCCGACTCATTACACAGAGTGGACCGTTTTGCTAAATAAAAAGTTCATAAAACCACAACGTACTTATTCTTAAAGCGATGATTGAAGGATGATTAAGGTCACTAGAATAGTGGGTACTGGTTCTCTGTCTCTGGTTTCACTCCCTTAATGCCAGGTTTTCGAATCTCCCAATCGATTTTCAGTCACAAAACTTTAAGCACTCGTCCTTATCACGTACCAACTCGTATCAGCTATTTTCATCACAAATATGATTAATTGGAATACCAAGTGTCAACTTCATGCTCAGAAACAGTTCCAGATATCAATATTTGCTGTTAGTTATAACTACCGTTACATACATTTTACACACTGAATATTGACAAGGTCTCAGCTTGCAGCCAAGAAGTTTAAGAGCTTATGGTTTCTGCATAACATTGTATACTAATCTGAGGCAAAGATTCAGTTTTTTGCAAACACCTGATTTTGAGCTATCCATTATAATAATTTCTATAGCTTTTTTTTGCATTTTACGATTTTTTTTCGTGGAGAAATCGATATTGTTTTCTTTTGGCATTGATGATCATATTTTCTTTGCGACACGAGTGTTGGTCGATACAACCATCTGGTGATACACAAATATCCCACACACACACACACACACCCCCACACACACCACCACCACCACCATACCACACACACACACACACATATATAGATTAAAAAAAAATATAGATTAATAATTGAAATAAATAAATATTGAATGAACGAACGAACGTGTTTGACTGTGATATTTGATATTGAACGGTGTAGAGGGGCTCTTAAAATTGACTCTTGTATACGGTAGTAATCAACTTTTGTTTCTTAAAACTTGTAATTTGAAGCGATGTATAAATATTTTGTAGCACTACCCTTCGATGGGCGTCAACCATTGTACCAACGGGAACCGAACCCAGATTTCAGCGTAACGTACTGTATCGTCAATCACTGGGCTACCCACGAGACCTGCTCTGCACATGAAGCGATACTCTTCGCTCGAATAAAGTCCGAGTTTCTACTGAAATGGTTGATTACTGGAAATACGTATCTGTATTTTCAGCTCCCGTATTCTTAAACGCACCGTTCGTGGCCAACATCAGATACGACGAAGACGTGGGTCATATTGTGACCACAGTTACTGCAGTCGATCCAGGCCTCCAGGTAAACATGTCATCAACACCCTCGTCTTTTTTCATCGTCATTTACATCGTCGTCACTGAGGAATCATCATCGACGCCATCATCTGTATTATTGTTTACATATTATTTATGATTTATGATCGTGTGATCTTGGCTGAGTCAGGCTGGTTAGGCTCTGAGATCAGATAGAGTTTAGGACTTCCCCCCAGGAAGCGCTGCCTACTCGAACCCACCAAGAACCTTTCGACACAAACCGCAGACTCTCCGTTACCAGATTGTCAGACGGGGTATGAACCCGGGTACTCTCCAAATGTCAGTCAGGCGATTAGTAGGTACCAAGAACAATTTGGTACTTGGGATACAAGTGTGACATGTCATAAGCAAGGTCCACATATTTGGCATGTGTTTTCCTGTCAAAGGAGACAGCGCCCTTAAAATAGCTGTAGAATTCCTTGCTTTCATCATGAGTCTTCACATGCATCACCATCATCAGATAAATAAATGTGTGCAATAGTACATTATTATTTTTCTTATTATTAAAGGGTTCCTTGAAGTATGACATGAACGGCCTCATGCCCGCTCCTGGCTTCTTCGCTGTAAACAGAGACAGAGGTGTTATCAGGGTGGCTGCATCATTAAGAAGCGACACTCTCACGTCGTACATTGTGAGTATTTCTTTCAAACGCAAACTTTAAATAATAATTGTCATACAGACATTTCAACAAAATGTTCAAAATCTTTATTCACATTGGTATTTTTACACCATTAAATCACAGGTTCTATTTCCCGTTGAAATTTTTCGCAAATATGCCCAGACGCTTGATGCAGGACATTACTCTATAAGCACAACAGCAACATGACTGCACTCAGACATTAAATAGACACTGCACTTTCCCAACATTGTCTTTTTGTTAAAACGGAAACATCGATGATGTAATTGGTTTCTTGATGCATTGTCACAGGTTACTGTCGTGTTGACGCTGTCAGCATATATGACATATTCACATTCTCCTTGATGCAGCTGAACGTAGAGGTCTACGACTCGGCTCAGCCTGGGACAAAGACGTCGACTAACGTTACTGTCAAGGTCAACAGAAACCCTGAGCCGCCTACCCCCACCACCCAGACGTTGGAAGCAAGCATCCTGGAGACGAAAAGGACGGGATCCAGCGTGCTGATGGTGTCGGCAGTTGATCCTGACAAGGTGAACAGAGAGGCTGAAACATAACCTATATTTCCCGCAAAACCCGTAATACTTATGTACATCCGTGTTCCATTTCATCTTCAGATACGTTTTCTCAATATCTGTCTCCTTCTTTCTCCATATGAATGTATGGTGTCATTCCTTCTCCATATGAATGTACGGTGTCATTCCTTCTCCATATGAATGTATGGTGTCATTCCTTCTCCATATGAATGTATGGTGTCATTCCTTCTCCATATGAATGTATGGTGTCATTCCTTCTCCATATGAATGTATGGTGTCATTCCTTCTCCATATGAATGTATGGTGTCATTCCTTCTCCATATGAATGTACGGTGTCATTCCTTCTCCATATCCTTGTCATTCCATCCATATGAATGTATGGTGTCATTCCTTCTCCATATGAATGTATGGTGTCATTCCTTCTCCATATGAATGTATGGTGTCATTCCTTCTCCATATGAATGTATGGTGTCATTCCTTCTCCATATGAATGTATGGTGTCATTCCTTCTCCATATGAATGTACGGTGTCATTCCTTCTCTCCATTCCTTCTCCATATGAATGTATGGTGTCATTCCTTCTCCATATGAATGTATGGTGTCATTCCTTCTCCATATGAATGTATGGTGTCATTCCTTCTCCATAATGTATGGTGTCAATGTAATGGTGTCATTCCTTCTCCATATGAATGTATGGTGTCATTCCTTCTCCATATGAATGTATGGTGTCATTCCTTCTCCATATGAATGTATGGTGTCATTCCTTCTCCATATGAATGTATGGTGTCATTCCTTCTCCATATGTATGGTGTAATGTATGGTGTCATTCCTTCTCCATATGAATGTACGGTGTCATTCCTTCTCCATATGAATGTATGGTGTCATTCCTTCTCCATATGAATGTACGGTGTCATTCCTTCTCCATATGAATGTATGGTGTCATTCCTTCTCCATATGAATGTATGGTGTCATTCCTTCCATCCATCCATTCCTTCTCCATGAATGTATGGTGTCATTCCTTCTCCATATGAATGTATGTATGGTGTCATTCCTTCTCCATTCCTTCTCCATATGAATGTATGGTGTCATTCCTTCTCCATATGAATGTACGGTGTCATTCCTTCTCCATATGAATGTATGGTGTCATTCCTTCTCCATATGAATGTACGGTGTCATTCCTTCTCCATATGAATGTACGGTGTCATTCCTTCTCCATATGAATGTATGGTGTCATTCCTTCTCCATATGAATGTACGTGTGTCATTCTTTCTCCATATGAATGTATGGTGTCATATTCCTCCATATGAATGTATGGTGTCATTCTTCTCCATATGAATGTACGGTGTCATTCCTTCTCCATATGAATGTACGGTGTCATTCCTTCTCCATATGAATGTATGGTGTCATTCCTTCTCCACATATGGAATGTATGGTGTCATTCTCCTCCATATGAATGTACTGTGTCATTCCTTTTTCTCCATATGAATGTACTGTGTTCCTCTTCCATTCTTTCTCCATATGAATGTACTGTGTCATTCTTTCTCCATATGAATGTATGGTGTCATTCCTTCTCCATATGAATGTATTCTCCATATGAATGTCATCATTCCTTCTCCATATGAATGTATGGTGTCATTCCTTCTCCATATGAATGTACTGTGTCATTCCTTCTCCATATGAATGTACTGGTGTCATTCCTTCTTTCTCCATATGAATGTACTGTGTGTCATTCCTTCTCTTCTTTCTCCATATGAATGTACGGTGTCATTCCTTCTCCATATGAATGTACCGTGTCATTCCTTCTCCATATGAATGTACGGTGTCATTCCTTCTCCATATGAATGTACTGTGCCCTTCTTTCTCCATATGAATGTACTGTGTCATTCTTTCTCCATATGAATGTACTGTGTCCTTCTTTCTCCATATGAATGTACTGTGTCCTTCTTTCTCCATATGAATGTACTGTGTCCTTCTTTCTCCATATGAATGTACCGTGTCCTTCTTTCTCCATATGTATGTACTGTGTCCTTTTTTCTCCATATGAATGTACTGTGTCCTTCTTTCTCCATATGAATGTACTGTGTCCTTCTTTCTCCATATAAATGTACTGTGACCTTCTTTCTCCATATGAATGTACTGTGTCCTTCTTTCTCCATATGAATGTATGGTGTCATTCCTTCTCCATATGAATGCACCGTACTCTTCTTTCTCCATATGTGTGTACGGTGTACTTATTTCTCCATATGAATGTACTGTGCCCTTGTATCTCCGTATGTAGTGCATGTACTCCATCGTTCTTTGCCCATGTGTGCGTACCCTTTCTAATCATGCTTGGTCTATCTCATTCTTAGCCCATATGGACCCGAAGATCCGTGTTAGAACTAGTATTCAGCAACCCATGCTTGTCGTAAGAGGCGACTAACGGGATCGGGTGGTCCGGCTTTCTGACCTTGTCATCGTATCCCAGTTGCGTAGTTCGATGCTGATGCTGTTCATCACTGGATTAACTGGTCCAGACGCGATTATTTACAGACCGCCGTCATATAGCTGGAATATTGCTGAGTGCGGCGTTAAACAACAAACAATTATTAACCCATGTGCAAATATTGTGTCACCTGTTCTCCATTCTGGTTGACTTTGTCGTACTTTCTCCATTCAATTCTTTCTCTTATGTGTATGTACTGTCTATTTGTATTCTTTCTTTTCTTATGTATTATGCAGAGTAATGCAATATTCTCATGTGCATGGGTATGATGCCTTAAAACCATGGGTACTCACGACCATTTTAGTTCTCAAATGTATGCATGTTATATCAAATCTGCCCAAAGCGGCTGTTGTCCTCGATCAACCACGAGACCAATCAATTAAGGGGGGTAACTCGTGGTGGTCTATCGAGGCAAGCAACGTTGTATGAAAAACGACGAAATGGTCACTTCGATAATGCATTCCGACATCTTAGACAGCAGAGTTTTGACTTAAACATGTACATATTGTTGGGTGAGGTGTTGTTACAGAAGAAGAAAAACATTTTCTTACTTTTCGTTTAATAACAACGTGTTAATTAATTGAGAAGACAGTGTGTGTTTTCAGATTACTGTGAATAAACAATGCCATTTAGAAAGTGGGCAAGTGGAAGCTGCGGTGGCTGAACGGGTTAGCTGGCTGACTTTGTATGCTGGTGATTAGGTGTGGGTTCGAATCCCGGATGAAACTCAACCCAACATAAGTACTAGAATCTGTACTTTACTGAGAAGTGTAATCACAAATATAACTTATGTTTCATTTACCAGTTATTAATGCTTAATAAAACCGCTGCTCCACAGACGGCCGTGCATTACGACTTGGTTGACACTCGAGCTGACCAGCAGAGTAGCCAGTACTTCATGGTGGACGACAATACCGGCAGCGTTATGATCAGGAGGTCACTCACCCTTGACCCGGCCAGAAACACAACCTACAATGTAAGTACTGGCGTATAGATGTCAGCAGCTACCAGTCACTAGCGTGTATGCTCTCTGTCACTCTCTTTCTCTCTCTCTCTCTCTCTCTCTCTCTCTCTCTCTCTCTCTCATCTCTCTCATTCCTCTCTCTCACTCTGTCCCATACACACATCCCTTTCTATAACTCTCTCATTTCTGTCTCACTCCTTCTCCCTTATCTGTCTCATTCTCACTATACCTATCTGTCTCTCCCTCCATCCTCTCTCACTCTCACACTTCATCCACTTCTTTCTCTCTGTCTCACTCCTGTCTCTTGTCTCTCTCCTCTCTTTGTCATTCACTCCTTCCACTCTCACTCTTTCCCCGTCACTCAACTCCTTCACTCTCCTTCCACTCACTCTTCTTTCCCCGCTCTCACACTATCTTTCATTCACTTCTCCCCTCTCACTCCTTCCACTCTCTCTCACTCTCACCCTGTCACTCACTCCTCCCTCTCCTACTCTAACTCGTTTCTCTCTCTCACTTTCATACTATCTGTCACTCCGCCCTTCCCGTCTCTCCGCCACGTCTCCAGTTCATCCGTCGTTATGGTGTTGTAGTTCGGAGTGAGGGTGACGGATTCTGGCGTGCCCCCAAGGACGAGCGAGTCCCTTGTCAGTGTGACGGTCAACGTCGTGCGGAACACGTTTACTCCCGCCTTCATCGGCCTGCCTTACACCGCCAACATCAACAGAACAGCACAACCTGGCGACAACATCCTCTTTCTCCTTGCTGTTGATGCCGACAGTGTAAGTAGAGTCAGTCAGTGAAAGATTACCACTTCATATTAGATACTGATAATCTGTTAAATGTCATTTTTGTGTTAAAAAAAAACCCAGAAAAAGACACTGTGTCGATAACTCCACATTGAAATGTTATCCACTGCTTTCAATTTGTTAGCAGTACTAATTTAATTTAATGTCCATCAAAGGCGGAGGGGTGGGGGTTAGCAGGGTGTACAGACACCCTTTGTGTGTGTGAAAGTTTATTAAATGACCATTGAAAACGGATGAAAAAGGTGAGCACCCCACCCTTGAAGAGTGTGCCCCTACCCCCTTTTTCTCAAAGAGTCGTATCCGTCCCTATCCATGTAGAAATAACCTGTTTAGTCCATTGTTGTGAATATATTACTGTTGTGCTTAAAAGAAGTCAACCTGGTTCTCATGATAGTGTATCCGCACTTAATCATCTTTTGACAAAACAGAAATTGTTTTACATGATAAAGACATAAATAATGAATTTATTGCACTCAGACTCTTTAGTTATCTTATTAATTGCAATACAGGCAATCGGTGAAGATCAGGATCAGAATTTGTCTTCATCAACCCATGCTTGTCGTGACGGATCGGGTAGTCAAGCTTGCTGCTCTGTTGGTGCATGTCATGATATCATATCTCATAGGTGCTCATGACGTCAATCATTGGATTATCTGGTCCAAACGCCATTATTTGCAGACCGCTGTGATATAGGTGGACTATGGCTGAGTGTTGCATTAAACATCAAACACACATACAAAATAGCCAGGGCAGGTTAATCCAGCATGCATTTCTGGACACTGGCGGTTTATGTGTATTGCAATGATACTCCCAAAGATATCTAAATTATGTTGTCAGTCGTTAAAATATCCCCCCCAAAAGTCTTTGATCTTTCAACTTCAGGCGTCATCGTTTTCTACGCTGCGGTATTCCACTTGCGGGAGTATCCATTCCGACATGTTTGCAGTCAACCCCGACACTGGGGAAGTCTCGTTGATTGGGAATCTGAACGAGACTAAGCAGTATCGTTATAGGGTAGGCTTATTTCACCAGAAATGAACAGCAATCCTTAAGTATCATCAGCATTTGAATTATTAATTTAATTTGTATTCAATATTAAACTGATCCGTGAAGATCCGGGTTAGAATTGATCTTCATCAACCCATCTTTGTCGTAACAGACGAATAACGGGATCGGCTGGTCGAACTCGATGACTTGGTTGACACATGTCATCGTATCCCAGTTGTGCAGTTCGCTGCTCTTGGTGTCAATCACTGCATTGTCTGGTCCAGGCTTCAGTTATTACAGACCGATGTCAGATGGCTCATTTTGATTTCATCTTTTATGCCGAATTTATAAACAGAGTACATTGAAACATGGTTAACACGAACGGAAATTTGGATTTCAATACAGCTCGTTTACAGATAAATAAAGTGTTAATAGCATCGTAGGGAAGCTGGTCTTTTACTGCCTCTTTCACCCATTAAACAATAACAGTTTATGTAGCAAGTTCAAACCTGACAAGGGTAAAAATTAAAAAAAAATAATATTTCGCTGCATGTGTGGTAATATTCAAACCAATATTTCAAAGTTTTATATTTTAAAATTGTACATATCCAATGCCCTACCCTCCCTCCATCGTTGACATACGCATAAGCGTAATATTATAATTATGATGTTGATCCTTCATGATGACGTGATATGATGCAGTTCGAGGTCAGGGTGGAAGACGGCGGCAGCCCGCCCCTTTCAGCCACCACCATCGTAGAGGTGAGAGTCGACTACAACTTGTACGACCCAACGTTCCAGGCCGTATTCTACACTACACGCATTACAGAGACCCTTCCCGTACAGTCCAGCGTGTTGAACTTCACAGTCGCCGATGAAGATGGAGAGGTTTGTACTCTATCGTAATATGTTCTGGGTATTTGGAGTTATTATTTAAAGTTCATTTACAGCGATACTGTCAAATTCCAGGTACAGTAAACCACGTTTATAACGAACCTGCTTATAGCGAACTGATGTATATAACGAACTAGGTTTGTTTTGTTTTTGGTCGCGTCTTCCATTTTTGTCGAAATGTTTATAAAGCTGTATGTCGAATTTTCCTCCTTGAAGGTATATCAATTCCTTTCCCTTTGATTGGAAGCCATTGGTTTAATTAAATATTGTCCATGTAGAAATATCTTGTCGAGGTCTCTTCCACTTAGGTTCCAGGGGCGTTGGGGTAGCCTAGTGGTTAAAGCGTTCGCTCGTCACGCCGAAGACCCGGGTTTGATTCCCAACATGGGTACAATGTGTGAAGCCCATTCTGGTATCCCCTGCCGTGATATTGCTGGAATGTTGCTAAAAAGCGGCGTAAAACTAAACTCACTCACTCCCCTTAGGTTCCAAGAATCCTCTAATCACAGTTTCGAAATTAGCTAGATTGACTTTGATTATAATCCTTGGTTTGAACTTTACCCGAGGGTTTGAGACCTAATCACTTCGAGCTTTACTACCATATGTAGTTACTTAACATGACTGAAATAATGCTCAAAGCGGCATTAAAGAGCATTCCATTCCCTTTCATGGTCGGTATGGTAGCCTGATGGTTAAAGCGTTCGCTCGTCACGTCGCAGACCCGGGTTCAATTCGCCTCATGGGTACAATATGTGAAGCCCAATTCTGGTGTCCTCCGATGTTGCTGGGAATATTGCTAAAGACGACTCATTTCCTGTCATGTTCCCAGGGACCAGAGGGAGAAATAGAGCTGACTATCGACGACCCAGTTGCTTCTAACTTCTTCAGGGTTGAAACACTATCACGTTCTCAAGGCTTGATAACGCTCCGACAGTCACTGATTCAAGACGAAACCAGGCGTTACCAGGTAAGTCCACCTGTATTACCTGGCATTGGATTTAGGCCCGCTTGACAACAAAGAGACCTGTTTGGAGACCCAATGTTTATGTATTCCAGCAGGAGTTGTGTCCCTTAGCTACAACTGGCTTTTTGCTCGCTCCTCTGTAAGAGCGTCAGAAAGAAATTAGTTGACAAAATGATTGAAATTCTGGTCAAGCCGGGGTTATGCCCACCCCATGAGTGTACTTGTATTGTTTTAGTGATGATCATATCGCTTCTGTTCCGCATGTTAGAGACTTACCATCCTGGGTTTGAATCCCGCTAAGTATGTTTCTTTTGTTTTAAAACACCATACACCCGTGAAGATCTGGGTTAGAACTGGTCTTCAGTAAATTATGCTTGTCGTAAGAGGCGACTAACGGGATCGGGTGGTCAGGCTCGCTGACTTGGTTGACACATGTCATCGGTTCCCAATTGCGCAGATCGATGTTCATGTTGTTGATCATTGGATTGTCTGGTCCAGACTCGATTATTTACAGACCGCCGCCATATAGCTGGAATATTGCTGAATGCGGCGTAAAACTAAACGCGCCTATGGGTTTCAGCGCCAAAGGGTTTCATTAAAGTGATGAACCTTCATCTCTTAACGCTTGACTTCTTCAACTATACTGATGTACAAAAGAAAGTACACACCTGGTGTTGGGATGCTATTAAAACAACGTAAATATTTTGCTAGCAATGTTCCAATTAGATACGATATCTATGGTGTTATTGCAACACGTATACAATGTTAGTGACTTGTGGGTCGCAATCAAAACACTATTCTAAATATTACGCTGTTTTCAGGAAAACATTTTACCAAAGCATCAGGTGTGTACTTTCTATAGTACGTCAGTTTATATAGGCAGTGATTCAACTGAGATATTGTTGAAAACTGTGTTAACCAAACATCCTTTTATTGAAGACTACTGATTACTCGCTCTTATCATGTCGCTCTTACATGCTCATGTATCAGCGGTTCTTGAATCCTAGAAATAACAATAAAAGCAAAAGAAATTGCATGAATACCCGTCGGGGTTCGAAATGATCGAGCCAATCGGGTGGTCAGGCTCGCAGACTTGTCATAGTATCCCAGTTGCGCACATCTATACTCATGATTTCAATCATTGGATTATCTGGTCCAGCATCGCTCCTTACAGAACGGACCGCCTCCGTGGTGTAGTGGTTAGAGCGTCCGCCCGGAGAGCGGAAGGTCGCGGGTTCGATCCCCGACCGCGTCATACCAAAAGACGTTAAAATATGGTACTTGTTGGTCCCTGCCTGGCGCTCGGCATTAATGGGTACAACAAGGACTGGTTGGACTCTGCTCGGAGTCAAAATAATGTGTCTGAGTGGGGTATTCATGCTTAACTGCGGCATGGCATCTCAGTGAGCTAGCACTATAAAACCAGCTTCAGTCTGGGCTAGTACAAGCAGCCGCACATAAACACACACACGCATGCACGTCGTCATTTGAGCGAAATATTCTCAAGCACGACGTTAAATCCAATTTCACCTCACCTCACCTCACCTCACCTCACCTCACCTCACCTTACAGAACGCCTCCATGTATGTGGAAAGGTCGAGCGCGGCGTGAAACAACAAATGAACAAAGCACTGAGACACAAATACCAAATGAGATAATCAAATTTCAATTTTTCATCATTTTCAGTTTGGGGTGACGGCGGTTGACAAGGGTTTCCCTCCAAGATTCGCCACCACGTCAGCGTCCATTGTTATTGAAGTTCTACGGAATAATTTCGCACCACGGTTCCTAAATCTGCCCTCACAGATTTCAATCCCGGTGACTGTCTCAGCTGGTGTGAATATCTACGTCGTCTCTGCCGTAGATGCTGACACACAGGTAAACCTTACCGTGGATCAAACCCGATCCGAATCATTAAGAGGCTAACCCAACCCACTCAACTAGTATAATTACTGTTTGATCGTGATTCATCAACACACAAACTCTTGACATGGATTATTTAATGAGTCTGGTAATAAACCAGATTTTTAAGTATGGGTGAGGTGAGGTGAAATTGGGTTTAACGTCGTGCTTGAGAATATTTCGCTCATATGACGACGTGCATGCGTGTGTATTTGTATGTGCGGCTGCTTGTACTAGCCCAGACTTAAGCTGGTTTTATAGTGCTAGCCCACTGAGATACCATGCCGCAGTGAAGCATGAATACCCCACTCAGACACATTATACTGACTCCGAGCCGACCAGTCCTTGTTGTACCCATTAATGCCGAGCGCCAGGCAGGGACCAACAAGTACCATATTTTAACGTCTTTTGGTATGACGCGGTCGGGGATCGAACCTTTAAGTATGGGATTTGTTTCTGTTAGATACACTACCCTTACGGTGGGGTAGTATATAGTTATGGTTAAAAAATTTTAATTTGTGATTGAAAAACGTGGGAGATATATCGGAGTCTGTCAATATCATTATTTGGTATGATTAATGAATGCTTAGAGTGCATCACCACTTGCACTTCCTTATAGTTGTTTGGTACAATAATCGCTCTTGAAAGATGATTGGTGTATGACGTGAAATTTGCATGTGTACGATTTTCATTTTGAAACAAACAACAAACAAAACCGGCCAGAAACAAACAAACTGTGTGATGCTTGATGATTGTCAAAATTTATTGACCCTTCTTGAAAACCGTCAAAAATCAAGAGGGTGGTGATAAAGAGAAATGGTGGTGCGTTCATAAGATGTCGGTCTTTAAAACGTTTGTTAACGCTTATACTTCCTAGATTCAAATTGAAAGTTCAGGTTCCCCTACATATGGTCAAAGAGTATACATACACGCATTCTAGCACGTTCCGACCCGTTGCTTTCAGGCACCGTTCAACAACGTCAACTACACTCTGATCGGAGATGACCCCGCCCCTCTTTTCTTTAGAGTGATTCGTGATACCGGTCAAATAAGGCTGTCGGGAACGTCGTTCTCACGTGATCAAGCGACATTGTACAGGGTGAGTATATGTCGTATTCCTCATGGCCAATTTGTGTCACGATTCTCGCGAGACCATAGGCAATATATGACATACAATAACCCTTTGGCTTGAGTAATAGTGGTTGGGTAGCCTAGTGGTTAAAGCGTTCGCTCATCCCGAACCCGGGATCTATTCCTAACATGGGTACAATGTGTGAAGCACATTTCTGATGTCCCCTCACCTTGATATTGCTGGAATATTGCTAAAAGCGGCGTAAAACGTAACTCACTCAAGTTATCAAATTGACCTGACCCTACCGGGTACAAGTGCGTTTAAGTTATGAAATATCAAATGACAACTGAATGTTTCAAGTTTAGTCCATTTATCAAGTTTACCTGACCCTACCGGGTACAAGTTTGTTCTATTTATCATGTTTACATGTTTACCTGACCTACCGGGTACAAGTTTGTTCTATTTATTATGTTTACCTGACCCTACTGGCTACTAGTTTGTTCCATTTATCAAGTTTATCCTGACCCTACCGGGTACAAGTGTGTTCCATGTATCAAACTTACCTGACCCTACATACTGCTAAGTGCGGCGTAAAACTGAACTCACTCACTGACTACCTGACCCTACCGGCTACTCGTTTGTTCAAGGTATCACGTTAACCTGACCCTACGGGGTACACGTGTTTTCATCGTTTCAAGGTACCTGACCCTACTGGGTACGCGTTGGTCTCATGCTATAAATGAAAACTCAAAAAGCATGGCGATCAATCTAAATCATTCCTTACTCCAATGATGACTCCTATTTGTGTTGCAGCTCCGTGTATTGGCCCAAGATGGTGGAACCCCTCGCAGGAGTGCGGTATCCACACTTGTAATCAATGTGGACCGGAATCAGTTTTCACCGGAGCTGCCGTCCCAGTCATACAGCGCGACCATACTCACCAGCCATCCTGTCGGGTACCCACCGTTCCTGCAGCTGACGGCAGTTGACAGAGATATTGCTGTAAGACCATTGTGACATCTGGGTCCCGATCCACAAAGCGTACGAAGCGCTACGACATTCGTAACCCTATGATAAACAACATAGTTACGACAGGTCGTAAAGGTACGACAGGTCGTAAAGTTACGACAGGTCGTAAAGTTACGAACGCTTTGTAGATCGGGACCCTGGAATGTTTCTAAGAATTCCTGGCTGTATCGGGCAACACGAAATTATAATAATCACAGTCACCACTCTAAATGCACAATATTTTATTTATATTAACGTATGACATGTGTATCACTTTTCGAAAGTCCACGTAATGGCTATCTCAAGGCCGCGAAAATATTAAATCTATTGCCTGAGACAGCTAATAAACAAACCATGGCTCGAAGCTCACTTTGTAGAAATTAACAAATGTCATATCACGGCCATTTTGTTTGACTTACTGTCGGTCATTTCGTCCACCAGGCGGTGGGGTAGCTTAGTGGTTAAGTTATCCGCTCATTACGCCGATCACACGGGTTCGATTCCACACATGGTTACAATGTGTGAAGTCCATTTCTGGTGTCACCGTCGTGATATTTGCTGGAATATTGCTAAAAGCGACATGAAACTAAACTCACTCACTCACTCCTTTAGATGTTACCATGTCCATGCCACGCATGGCTAAGCACGTCAAGACATTCCTGGCCCAATCGTTGTCTTCATTAACTATGCCGAGTTGCCTCCCTTGCCCACGCCAGACACCTGTGACAGTGGCTTCGAATCCAAGTTCGCCCCGATTATATTTCTATGTTTGTCAGCACCGTGCTCGTGGTTTTAAGGGAGAGGCGTGGCCCCGGGAGCATGAAAGTGTTCTAAGTCAATATTTTGTCTTTTTCTTAAACTTTAGACTTTTAGACACTTTCATGATCCCGGGGCCTGCTTCACTTTGGGTTTTAATTAAACCGACACTGATGTAACTTGAATACTGTTCAAAACGGACAAAAACTCACTCACTCACAGACAGTCTGGACGGTAAACACACAAGAAAATGTCTCAAAGACGCATCTTCCGAATAACTCAATCAATAATCAGAGCACGCAGTGGCTTTGTTTAGATAGAAAATACATAATCAACAATTATGAAGATATGCATTCAGTAAAGAACAGGTATTTCTTAGTCTCTTGCTTAGTTTGAAGTGTGTTGTATGAACAGCCTTGGACAAATGTTGACAAACATAACTAAATGATGTCTGATGGTTTTACAGTCAGTAAAATTAAAAATGTTTGGGTTTTTTTTATCTCAACAGGAGCCGTACAATATTGTGAGATATTCAATCGCCGGAGACGCGAAGTTTCTGGAATATTTCTTCATCAACCCAGACGACGGTCAGATGTCCGTGAAGAAAAATTTACAGAAAGATCCCAGTCAGCCACGCCAGTACAATGGGATCGTCCAAGCCTGTGATGCAGCACCAAACCCACGCTGCACCACCGCCACCGTCGTCGTGACCGTTGTACGCAATGACAATCCACCGTCTTTCGCCAACATGGACGACTACATCGTCAGCATCAACTCGACAGACATGGAAATTGGATATTCTGTACTGAAGATAGTTGCTGTGGACAGTGACACGGTAACGACAACGAGTGATACTTAAAGATACATAAAGATACATATAGATACATATAGATACATAAAGATACATATAGATACATATACATATAGATACATAAAGATACATAAAGATACATATAGATACATAAAGATACATAAAGATACATATAGATACATAAAGATACATATAGATACATAAAGATACATAAAGATACATAAGATACATAAAGATACATAAAGATACATATAGATACATAAAGATACATAAAGATACATATAGATAAAGATACATATAGATACATAAAGATACATATAGATACATAAAGATACATAAAGATACATAAAGATACATAAAGATACATATAGATACATATAAGATACATAAAGATACATAAAGATACATATAGATACATAAAGATACATATAAGATACATATAGATACATAAAGATACATAAAGATACATATAGATACATAAAGATACATAAAGATACATATAAGATACATATAGATACATAAAGATACATAGATACATATAGATATAAAGATACATATAAAAGATACATATAAGATACATATAGATACATAAAGATACATAAAGATACATAAGATACATATAGATACATAAAGATACATATAGATACATAAAGATACATAAAGATACATATAGATACATAAAGATACATATAGATACATAAAGATACATATAGATACATAAAGATACATATAGATACATAAAGATACATATAGATACATAAAGATACATAAAGATACATATAGATACATATAGATACATATAGATACATAAAGATACATAGATACATATAGATACATATAGATACATAAAGATACATAAAGATACATATAGATGCATAAAGATACATAAAGATACATATAAATACATAAAGATACATATAGATAAAGATACATAAAGATACATATAAATACATAAAGATACATATAGATACATAAAGATACATATAGATACATATAAATACATATAGATACATAAAGATACATATATACATATAGATGCATAAAGATACATAAAGATACATATAGATACATAAAGATACATATAGATGCATAAAGATACATATAGATACATATAAATAGATAAAGATACATAAAGATACATATAGATGCATAAAGATACATATAGATACATAAAGATAAAGATACATATAGATACATAAAGATACATAAAGATACATATAGATACATAAAGATACATAAAGATACATATAAGATACATATAAATACATAAAGATACATATAGATAAAGATACATAAAGATACATATAGATACATAAAGATACATATAGATACATAAAGATACATATAGATACATAAAGATAGATGCATAAAGATACATATAGATACATATAGATACATAAAGATACATAAAGATACATATAGATACATAAAGATACATATAGATACATAAAGATACATAAAGATACATAAAGATACATATAGATACATAGATACATATAGATACATAAAGATACATATACATAAAGATGCATAAAGATACATATAGATACATAAAGAGATGCATAAAGATATATAGATACATAAGATACATATAAACATATAGATACATAAAGATACATATAGATACATATAGATACATATAGATACATAAAGATACATAAAGATACATATAGATACATATAGATACATATAGATACATATAGATACATATAGATACATAAAGATACATAAAGATACATATAGATACATAAAGATACATAAAGATACATATAGATAAAGATACATAAAGATACACTAACAGCGGAGGATGTAAGTTCAGGTTCGTGAGATGATAATTCTGATGGTCATCATTTATTTCCATAGACAAAATTACAAATCAATTTTTGTTCACATATATGAATAAATAACATTATACTTCTTGTAGTGATCCTACTGAGAGACATTGATTGTGACATACATCTATTTTTGTTATACATTTAATTGTAAACAATATAATTTATACCATAACTACTTGGTGAAAATTGATAATTTGGTAAGAATTGAATCATATAATGGTCGTGTATGCTAAAACACAACAATTACACAAACACGCATTGTTCATTATAAATAATCCGGCAAAAACAAGAAGCAATTAAATCAGACTATGGAATACTTACGGTATATCGTTCCAATATTCACTTGTTAACTTTTGTCTCAAGACAATACAACAATGCAGCGTCACTTTCACTGGCAAAGTAGTCAGGAGTTCAGCAGCTTATTGTAAATACGTGATCAAAAATTCAAGAAGCAAATTTAAGATTTTCTCAATTATATGTATACATATATTCCACCAAGTGTAAACGTAAAAAAATAAGAAAGTACTAATTTATTTAATTAAATGAATTTAATCACAATATAGACACCGGATGTTAGCGAAACTTATCCCTTCTTGATAAAATAAAAATAAAATATATGTTGACACCAGGTGTTCCCTTATTGACACACTGTGCATTTTCCCCCAGAACGTTACTGACAACACCGTGAACTATAAACTCTTCAACATAGACGACACTGTTGATTATTTCGTCATCGACTCCAGCACTGGTAACGTAACAGTCAAGGCAGTGCCGCCTCTCACAAGTGACAGGACGTTTGAGGTAAGACTTTTATGGTCGCATGTACCCTGCCGTTTCTTAACGCCACTCTATGAGTCAGTGAGTTTGGTTCAATGCCGGTATGTGAACTCACAAGTCATCTTTCTTCAGCAAGCGATGAAATTCACAACTGTTGCATCTTCATTTCATTGAGTCTTCCTATATATACATGTTTTATTTATATCAATCGCTTATCAGAATATCAAGCCAGGTATCATCAGTCAGTCGTGGAAGCCCCTTGTTTCTCTGTCCCCAAACACATATAGAGTCTGGGTATCCCTTCACAAAAGTAGGGATACTGCCATAAGTGTACCAGAAGTGTATGTTCCTCTGACTTCTCAATAGATATGTCTCCCCAACATCCCACCACCCACACCCGGATATATGTGGACATTTTTTAATTAAATACATAAACGTTCCCTAACAAATATCCATGTGTATCTCCCTGTCATATATGTGGAGATATTGCTGATTATATGTGTTCCCTAACTTATATATCCCTGTGAATCATCGTCATATATGTGGAGATATTGCTGATTATATGTGTTCCCTAACATATATATCCCTGTGAATCATCGTCATATATGTGGACATATTGCTGATTATATGTGTTCCCTCACATATATATCCATGTGAATCCTCGTCATATATGTGGAGATATTGCTGATTATATGTGTTCCCTCACATATATATCCATGTGAATCCTCGTCATATATGTGGACATATTGCTGATTATATGTGTTCCCTCACATATATATCCATGTGAATCCTCGTCATATATGTAGAGATATTGCTGATTATATGTGTTCCCTCACATATATATCCATGTGAATCATCGTCATATATGTAGAGATATTGCTGATTATATGTGTTCCCTAACATATATATCCCTGTGAATCCTCGTCATATATGTGGAGATATTGCTGATTATATGTGTTCCCTAACATATATATCCATGTGAATCATCGTCATATATGTGGACATATTGCTGATTATATGTGTTCCCTAACATATATATCCCTGTGAATCATCGTCATATATGTAGAGATATTGCCTATTATATGTGTTCCCTCACATATATATCCCTGTGAATCATCGTCATATATGTGGAGATATTGCTGATTATATGTGTTCCCTCACATATATATCCATGTGAATCATCGTCATATATGTGGACATATTGCTGATTATATGTGTTCCTCACATATATATCCCCATGTGAATCATCGTCATATATGTGGAGATATTGCTGATTATATGTGTTCCCTCACATATATCTCCCTGTGAATCATCGTCATAGATGTGGAGATATTGCTGATTATATGTGTTCCCTCACATATATATCCATGTGAATCATCGTCATATATGTAGAGATATTGCTGATTATATGTGTTCCCTAACATATATATCCCTGTGAATCCTCGTCATATATGTGGAGATATTGCTGATTATATGTGTTCCCTCACATATATATCCATGTGAATCATCGTCATATATGTAGAGATATTGCTGATTATATGTGTTCCCTCACATATATATCCATGTGAATCATCGTCATATATGTGGAGATATTGCTGATTATATGTGTTCCCTCACATATATACCTAGGAGACGCTGTCATATATGTAGAGATACTGCTGTTCCCGTATCACACGTATGCATGGGAACCCCCGTTATGTAAGTGTCACTGGTCAAACTGCTAAACATAACATGTGACACTGTCATTTAAAAGAACGTTTCTTGCATCTCATGCACAGAATGGTTAGTGATCTGACATCTTACGTTACAGCTATGGGTCGAGGTTTGCGATATCGGCATGCTCTGCAACAGAACGGTTGCCAGGGTAACCGTGCTGACCAACTTCCACGCCCCAGTGTTTACACCAAAACAATATTCGGCCAGCGTCTCTGAGACAGTTGGATATGACATTCCCATAGTGACAGTGACCGCGACAGACGCTGATTTAACGGTATGTATATGGTAGATACTTAGTGTATCATTTACATGAGTTTGGTGATGTAGAGCATTATACACGTACGCACACCTGCACGCACGCACACACACACGCACGCACATACACATTGGCAAGAGCACATACAAGAGCAACTGTACATGTACGCTGTCATAACAAAATACGAAAAATATCGTTTGAAACAGATTACGGCATTATGTAAAACAATGTTACAAATCTATTTAGCTCTTTACACAAACTATGATATAATGATATAATGAATGTTGGTTTCCAATTACATATCTATAACTTTTGAGAAAAAAGAACATTTCGATAAAATAATACAATCACACTGGTTGGACATGACAGTCGGCCAGCTGTGTTTACAGGTAAACTGTTGATCAGTTTGTACAGCAACAAAGCATGCACTACAGCGCTATATAAATACCCAAGTAATAATGATAAATAAATAAACAAGATCATGTCTATAATTATGAATATCTTCTAGCAGTGTCGGTAAAGTCCAAATTATTACTCAGTTTCATAAAATGTATATAATTATATATAGCTACTTATACAAAAAGAGCATTTGATCAAGTCCTTCGGGTATAACATTCTGGAAGTTATCAACTTCTTTATAAAGCGATGTGACGTTTCAATACAGATTCTTGTGTCGTTGTCAAGCAAGTATGAGTAATGTAGAAAACAGAACAATATATATACTAATAAAGAAGTTGTTCATCAATAAGGTTTGTCCGTATAATATCTCCAACTTCTAAATAATGCCAATCAAAGAAACTTCTTTTAGTTCGTGAATGCGTCTTTTCGATACAGATTCTTGACCGCATTCCTGTTTCTACTTTCCAACTTCTAAAATGCCACTCAACTAAGTTAAACGTAGTTTGTAACAACTAATTTTACAAATATACGTGTAGATTTCTTTAATCTGATTGGCTATGTATCGGAGTCATTTTCTGATGTTCACTGTCTGGAATAATGAAGTTAATCAATTGTTCAAATTGTTATCCTATTATCTGTGTATTTGTCATTTCAGTTTCTTTAGAACACTGATTTCATGCAATTCAGTTTCTTTAGAACACTGATTTCATGCATTTCGGTTTCTTTTAAACACTGATTTCTTGCTTTTCAGTTCTTTAGAACACTGATTTCATGCATTTCGGTTTCTTTTCCTAAATCCTAAAATAATCACGGATGATACAAGAACCAGCCATCGAGCTACGGTGAAGCGTTAATAATTATCGAGGATAGCTCTGACGAGGATGATATGATATACTATGTGTATGTATGTTGATGTTTTATATTTGTTTATCCCCATACTGACGTATTCTGACATCACTTTGTCCAACAGGAACCCAACAACCGAGTCAGCTATCAACTGATCTTCCAGCAGACTGAGTGTTTTTCTATTGATGACATATCAGGGGTGATATCAATTAAAAGATCCCTGTTGGATGCTGACTGCAGTGGCGACTCTTACTTGGTAGGTACTGATACCTCAGATTCTGTGTGGCGCTGAAGAATCGTGTGTAAATGTTTGAACGGTATATCAGATCAGAAAACTGTGGGATAATATCTGGCGAAACCCCAACCCAAGGGTAATAACCGTGATGAATTTGATGAATTGGGTATACCCTCAGCTTATCCATGCGCTAGTAAGGGAATCAACTCTCATGGAATAGTGTCGTTTATCGTGTTTTGTCTTGGTAGGAATAGTGTCAATAGTTGTGTCGTTTAGTCTTGTTATCGTGTTTTGTCTTGGTAGGAATAGTGCCAGTTACGATGTTTTGTCTTCAGAGATTCTCATATTGTTGTTGTTCAGAGACGTTACATCGTCTCTTCCATGTATTCTGTGGTATATACCAGTTGTGAATTGTCCATGTGATTTGTTTCAACAGGCACGGGTACAGGCTGTTGATGGTGGAGCGGTCCCTCGGTCCAGTACAGCTGAAGTATTCATCACGGTCAGACGGAACGTATATGCTCCAGTCTTCACCAGCAGCTCTTACGATCGCACTATCCAGGGTCAAGTTATGTCTGGCACAGTTGTGCTTAGTGTGACAGCCACCGATAACGACGTTCTGGTAAGTGACCAGAGCGTTACGACGTGGTTGTAAGAGCATAACGGAGTAGTTGTAATAGCATTTTGACGTAGTTGTAAAAGCATTACGGCGTAGTTGAAAGAGTATAAAGACGTAGTTTTAAGAGCATAATGACGTGGTTGCAAGATCATAATGACGTGGTTGCAAGATCATAATGACGTGGTTGCAAGAGGATAATGACGTGGCTGCTCTGTGGTTGCAAGAGCATAATGACGTGGTTGCAAGAGCATAATGACGTGGTTGCAAGAGTATCATGACGTGGTTGCAAGAGTATCATGACGTGGTTGCAAAAGCATGATGACATGGTTGTAAGAGCATAATGACGTGGCTGCTCTGTGGTTGCAAGAGCATAATGACGTGGTTGCAAGAGCATGATGACGTGGTTGCAAGAGTATGATGACGTGGTTGTATAAGCATAATGACGTGATTGTAAGAGCATAATGACGTGGTTGGTCTGTGGTTGCAAGAGCATAATGACGTGGTTGCAAGAGCATAATGACGTGGTTGCAAGAGTATAATGACGTGGTTGTATAAGCATAATGACCTGGTTGTAAGAACATATTAATGACGTAGCTGTAAGAGTATAATGACGTGGTTGCAAGAGCACAATGACGTGGTTGTAAGAACATATTAATGACGTAGCTGTAAGAGCATAATGGCGCGGTTGCAAGAGTATAATGACGAAGGAGTGGTGGTGAAAATGGAAGAGCATGATAAAGTAGGTCTATTATTGTTTGACGCAGCTCTAAGCATATACAAGCTATATCACTGCCTCTGTAAATAATCGGGCCTGGTCAGACTTTCTTAATCCTCTCACGGCAAACATGGGATTCTATAAATAATTCTTATCTTGATCCTGAATGGAACCTGGATTAGTCTGAGCATCCGATCCTGTAAGAAGACCGAGTTAAATCTAGATATTGAGAATCGATGATTGGGGATGATGTCGTCACCGACGGAGGACACACGTAAGACATTGATGACGCAGATGTCAAAGAGCGGTGACGGAGATGTGAGAAAATACTGTCCATCATGAAAGGGGATACTGAATTAGAAGCCAAAGAGCGGTTTTGACGTAAGGGTGGTGTAGATATGAAAGTGATGACGCTGATATAAGGAATCCATGATGCAGAGTCAGAGGGAAGATGAAGATGTAAGACCAAGACATGGATGGGAGGGTATGAGAATTAAATTGTCAAAAACATATTTTTGATGTTTGGACACAAGTCTTGGTCAGGTGTTAAATTCTGTTTCATTTTTGTAACATGTCACGGGATTGGATCTGTCAACACGCTTTGTTTGTCATTGTACTTCAGGCTCCGTTTAATAGACTGACATACTCTATGTTTGGTCGGGACAGCACCCAGTTCCTCATCAACCCCAACTCTGGTATGGTAGTGGTTCAGTCACCTCTACAGACTGACAGGCGTGAGGGATACACGGTGAGAAATATATACAACCCACATAGGGTTCGATAGTATACATTGTAAAAATGTCGAATCTTGAAAGTTTTTATGATAAATAACAGGCATGTCAGTTTTGTTGATGTACTTCTCAGAAAGTTAAAGTGACTTCGTAGTATTTGCACGAGGGTATTCATTGATTATACAACTCCTTAAAACATCTTTCAGAGTTGCATCCCATAATGTACAAGGATTCGTTGATTAAGGTTCGAATGCCGACACATCAGCGTTCTCACATTGTCGGTATTTTGGGGTCTAGTTATACTTTACGGCGCCAAACCACTGATACGCTTACCATTTCTTGTCGAATCACTGTGTCATATTCGTTTGTCAGTTCTTCGTCGTGGCAAAGGATGGGGGAACCCCAGCCCTCTCTGCAACAGCGTTGGTTGAGATTTCGGTACAGTGGAACTTAAACGCGCCCACTTTCTCCCAAAGCACCTACTCTGTGGCCATTTTGTCCACTCAGACGCTGAACACACCCATCACCACTGTCTCCGCTGTAGATGCTGACGTCTCGGTAAGTTGTCAGGAGCCGGGGGAATCAAACTGCAATGAACCTTAAAGGTTCCACTTAAATCATTCAATAATTCATGACAAGTGTCATCACACGACAACAATTATTTGTGGTACTCTTGATTTCACATACACCAATTGAGAATTAGATGGTGATGAAAATGCGCGCTCAGAAACTGTGTGTCTTTTAGTTAGGTATTAAAATATTGACGTAGAGGGCAGTAAGTTCTCAGTAAAACTTTCAAAACGTTTTGTGATTGACACGTGGAGAAAGTTCCAAATGTTATGCATCGGTGTCAAAATGATTTCCGATTCAAATCCTTAATTAAGTAGTAGTTTTAAGAAACCGTGTTTTCTTCAGGTGAAAGCTGGGGCGGTGGGGTAGCTTAGTGGTTAAAGTGTTCGCTCGTCACGCCAAAGATTTCCCACATGGGTACAATGTGTGAAGCCCATTTCTGGTGCCCCCACCGTGATATTGCGGGAGTATGTTAAAGCGGCGTAAGACTAAACTGAGTCACTCAGGTGAAACTTGTGACAGGGTAGGGCTGGATACGCTGACCTTTTCGCGAACACTTGATGTCATCACTATTTGATTCATTAACACATGCTCATGTTATATGCTTGTAGGAGAGGTTTCATGTATATCTTTGCTAACCTAGTAGTAAGTATTCTGCGTCATATATTTTACATTCCATAGGCTCCCAACAATGTCGTCAGCTTCAACGTCGTTGGCTCCAGTGGTTTTAACAACTTCTTCACCATCGACCGGACTGGGAAGGTGCTCGTCACGAGGGACCTGAGAGCAAATCCCGTTAAGCAAGCGGTATACCAGGGAAGTATCAACGCGTGTGACGGCGGTACAACTCAGCTATGTTCGCCAGCACTTGCTAACATTATTATCAGTGTCACCTACAACAACTTCGCTCCCTCCTTCGTTGGTGACAACATGAATCAGACTGTGACATCCACCCAACCACCCAACTCACTCGTAATGCAAGTCGTGGCCACAGATCAGGATCCGCCTGTGAGTATAATTGACTTATTCCGTGTTATGCACGTGTGTAAATCACGTGTTGATCAGTCAATAATTACAGTTTATATACATGTCTGCAATCCTTCACTCGACACGCACCGTGATTCGTGGGCAGAGTTGCTTCCCTTAGACTCGCCGGAAACGAATGATTGCGGCTTCGAATCCCTTTGCACACCGATTACGTTTATAGGTTTGTTAGCACCGAACATGTACTCGTAGGCTTCACAACGTGGTAAAAGACTGAGACCTGAATCACTTCGGCTTTTTACCCCACATAAAACTGACACGCCTTGAAATAGTGAGTGACTGAGTGAGTTTAGTTTTACGCCGCTTTTAGCAATATTCCAGCAATATCACGGCGGGGGACACCAGAAATGGCCCCCACACATTGTCCCCCATGTGAGGAATCGAACCAGGGTACCCGGCGTGACGAGTGAACGCTTTAACCACTAGGCTTTAACATCCTAGCCTGGGACGCTGGATCCGTTGTTAATGGGAACCATGCTGCTGTGTTTTACCAATATAATATGCGTCATTTTGAAAATTATGACATCTTACAATCGTGTCTCGCAATTTTACTGAAAATATTTTTAGAGCCGGGATACAACAAGCTCACACCATGAGATGTAGCTTTCTGTCCATGTATGTGTTGTTGTATAATTTGTAGAATGATCAAGTGTTCTCATAGGCACCAATACCTGTACCTGCAGTACAGGACATTTGAAAATTGGATTTCATAACAAAGTTTCGAACGATATCAAGATTTTGCTTGGCTTAAAACAGTCGCTGGAACACTAGAACCTTAGCTCCAATATACAAGTTGAACTATGATCCTCGTATTAAATACACCACAATCGAATGTCCCCTTCTTCTTTGCTTTTAGATAATATTAGCGTCACACAAGAATTTTCCAAAAGTTACAACTGATTTCGTATGATAGTGGAGGAGGAGCACGCGTCCTGGCCGCGTCATAAAAATAACATGTTAAAAGATTACACTTGTAACTATGCCTGACATTGGGTTGTAAAACACAGGACTGGTCGGTTCGCGGTCACATGTATTGTCTGATTTGTGTGTGTGTGTGTGTGTGTGTGTGTGTGTGTGTGTGTGTGTGTGTGTGTGTGTGTGTGTGTGTGTGTGTGTGTATTTGGTGGTTTCGTGTTAAACTGACACAAACCATCAAAGCAAGCACATATATATTGTCCTGACTAGTACAAGCACATTGATAGTTTGACTAGTATACAAGCACAGGGATAGACCCGACTAGGACAAGCACAGATATAGTTCCGACTAGTACAAGCACAGAGATAGTCCCGACTAGTACAAGCACAGAGATAGTCCCGACTAGTACAAGCACAGAGATAGCCCCGACTAGTACAAGCACAGAGATAGTTCCGACTAGTACAAGCACAGAGATAGTTCCGACTAGTACAAGCATAGAGATAGTTCCGACTAGTACAAGCACAGAGATAGTCCCGACTAGTACAAGCACAGAGATAATCCCGACTAGTACAAGCACAGGGATAGTCCCGACTAGTACAAGCACAGAGTTAGTCCCGACTAGTACAAGCACAGGGATAGTTCCGACTAGTACACGCACAGGGATAGTCCCGAATAGTACAAGCACAGAGATAGTCCCGACTAGGACAAGCACAGAGATAGTCCCGACTAGTACAAGCAAAGAGATAGTTCCGACTAGTACAAGCACAGAGATAGTCCCGACTAGTACAAGCACAGAGATAGTCCCGACTAGTACAAGCACAGAGATAGTCCCGACTAGTACAAGCACAGGGATAGCCCAGACTAGTACAAGCACAGAGATAGTCCCGACTAGTACAAGCAAAGAGATAGTTCCGACTAGGACAAGCACAGAGATAGTCCCGACTAGTACAAGCACAGAGATAGTTCCGACTAGTACAAGCACAGGGATAGCCCAGACAGGTGCAAGCACAGAGATAGTCCCGACTAGTACAAGCACAGAGATAGTCCCGACTAGGACAAGCACAGAGATAGTCCCGACTAGTACAAGCACAGAGATAGTTCCGACTAGTACAAGCACAGAGATAGTTCCGACTAGTACAAGCACAGGGATAGTCCCGACTAGTACAAGCACAGAGATAGTCCCGACTAGTACAAGCACAGGGATAGTTCCGACTAGTACAAGCACAGGGATAGCCCAGACAGGTGCAAGCACAAGGATAGCCCCGACTAGTACAAGCACAGAGATAGTCCCGACTGGGACAAGCACAGAGATAGTCCCGACTAGTACAAGCACAGGGATAGCCCAGAGAGGTGCAAGCACAGGGATAGTCCCGACTAGTACAAGCACAGAGATAGTCCCCACTAGTCCAAGCGCAGTGATAGTCCCGACTAGTACAAGCACAGAGATAGTTCCGACTAGTACAAGCGCACACATGTAGGTGACGTAATCTTGAACCCGACGTTCAACTTGAAATCGTCGAAATCCGGACTATGTGAAAATGAGAATTAGGTTCATTCTTCCAGGAACTATATGACGGTGTATATTCCCCATCCACAGAGCTCACCGTTCGGCCAGGTCAGATACAAGCTGCTCAATAAAGACGAGACATTAAACTTCCTCACAATCGACAGCATCAGTGGTAATCTGACCCTCAGACAATCACTGGTTGGTTCACAGAAACGGTCATTCCAGGTACGTTTTTCAACAGATAGTTCGGAAGGCTTTAGGTGGAAAGCCAAATTGTGCCGCTTTGGTAGAATAATTTTGCTTATATATATATCAAAATTAGGATTGTTATTGTCGTTAAGTTAGGCAGTGCTATACATTTTGAAAATACTCTAAAAATAAAATCAAAATTGTGCTTCCAGAGTATTAACAGTAGGCTCTGGTATTATCAGCTTAATCAGAGTGGTACCAGTAGGCTGTGGTATTATCAGCTTAATCAGAGTGGTAACAGTAGGCTGTGGTTTTACCAGCTTAATCAGAGCAAGTGTAAATAATGTATACAACAATATGTTTCCCGTCAAGAATAATACTGAACAAAATTAAAAACTTGACAACCATATTCTTGGTAATAACTGGGTTGTTTGGGATTTCGCTTTTTAGGGGTTTACTTTTAGCTTTGTTGTTTTGTTGTTTGGGTATCTTGTTAGCTTCATGTTATGGCATACTCACTTCGTGCATGTTCATCAAACATGGTCTAAGCGAAAAAATGAGAAACAAGCCCCTGCAGCGAATAGAGTGATAAGCTATAAGATAAGAGTAACAATGCAAGCACACAGACATTGCTGAACAAGACATCTCATCCAAATTGCAAGTTGAATGAAAAAAAGACGACTATGCTGCGACTCCCAAATCAGCAGCGTGTGCATGCCTTGGGTAGGTTTAATGCTGGGAAGTCCGTTGCAACAACGGGCACCGTTATATATTGCCCCAAGCAGGGGGCACCGTTACATGTGACGTGACATCAATGTGTACAAATCACATCAACCAAGCACCTTGCAAGAACTTGACCATGCAGAGGCGACGACTTCCTGTTAGGGTATTCCAATAGGTTCTGCTGTTCACAAGGAGTGTTGCCCTCAAGGCAGCCATGGAAGTCACATTCGTCATTGACATCTTCTGTTCCAACAATTTTATCAGTGTGAAGTTCGCGTTTGAGGTCATGGAACGTCGTGTTTTTGTTTTCAAAACATAAATGATGCCGCAATGCACTTTGGTCGTGTGTATCGTTACCTGGATGATAGCAGTACCATACAGATCTATTTTCACAGAAATGTACACTCCAGTTCCTTCCAATTGAACATGGATTCAACTGATTAAGGATCAATAAGGATCCAGTATCATGTTTAATAAATGTGTAGCAACAGTGTAACTGGCTCTAGGGGGGGATCCAGAGGGGGGATCCACCTACCCTTCTCGGCCGAGAAAAACTTAACTGAGGAGCATTCCCCCTAACCTTTGGACTTCATGGATTATGTGCACACACACCCACACCCCTTCTCCAAAGTCCTGGATCCTCCCCTGGACCCCTATTTAATCTATTCTCCAAGGTCAAGTCCCAGTCAACTAAGCCTCCAGCCATAACGGGGTTAATCTAGACTGGGTTCCCATTCTTTACAGCTCTTCGTAGAAGCATGCGATCTGGACCAACTGTGCACCACAACAACTGCGACTGTCTATGTCATTACCAATCTATTCCCTCCCGTATTTCTGCCGCCCTCATCGGAAACCATCCCCGAAACATGGACCATTGGTCGGCCCCTGCTCACGGCAAGTGCTATCGACAGAGACACTACGGTAAGAGGTTCTACGTATTCATTAGCATTGTCTACAAAGAAAGAAGCGTTTCCAGTCTTCTATATTTGCTTGAAGGACAAAGAAAGTAGGGATAGGATGGCGACTTCTGTAGTATACCACTCAAAAGAAGCTAAGGAAAATCCCATTTATTCATATTACTAAGTGTCAATTGTCATGACATTGCAGGGTAACTATAATATGAACGGGTGGTTTGGTCCTTATTTAAATGTGTTGTTACTGACAGGCTCCGGACAACGTTGTGGTTTACTCGATAGCTGGAAGTGCAGAGGCGATGAATTGTTTCGCTATGAACCCTCATAGAGGACATCTGACCGTTAAACGTTCCCTCTTGGATGATGAATGCAATCAGACAAACTATGTGGTAAGTAGAACTTAACTTCTCAAGTGGCCTTAATGTTGGTTTATATGCTAGTAGACACAGCACAAAGGATCAGCGGGGATGGACGGCACCTAGTAATCCCCTCTCGCCTTCGTAACTACCCCCCTGTTTGTTGTTTTACAACACACTCAGCAATATTACAGATGTATAGCGGCGGTCTGTAAATAATCGAGCCTGGACCAGACAATCCAGTGATCAACAACATGAGCATCGATATACGCAATTGTGTCAACCAAGTCAGCGATCCTGACCACCCGATCCCGTTAGTCGCCTCTTACGACTAGCATGGGTTGCTGGTGACCAATTCTAACCCGGATCTTCACTGTGCGAATGCCTTGTAAAGTCACATGCTTTTTACTTGGCTAAAGGACTCTGGTGGTAGCAGATATATCATATGATATTGAAAATCATTTTTCTCACTTTTATGTTTGTGCACAGTTAGAGAGACGTATGTCAGTAACATTGTCATTAGTTGTCAACAATGTCATTTCTACATTTAACGTCACAGGTGAAAACACTAAAGCAATAACATCATGTTCACTTCTCGAGCAAGTCAAGGATTAAGGCTCACATGAGCATTATTTTCTACGAACAATCAGTTCGCGTCAAGTATTAACGGTTATAAAATGTAAAATGAATCATTCCCATACTTGACAGTTCCAGTGGGATAATAATGGTCGTCATCTTGACGGGAGAAAGGGTTTAACCACAGGACCTGCTCTGGAATGACCGACTTTGCCATGTTGCAGGAATATTGCTGCTCACTGTACGGTTACTGCAGATATTCAATTGCATACAAACAGAGATTAACACCACGAAGCTGACATTGTGTGTCTCTACACCCAGATACAATTACGGGCGATGGACAGGGGGAATCCACAACTTGTAGCAACAGAAGAGACGGTCAACATCACGGTCATCAGGAACAAGTATACCCCACAGTTCATCAGCGACACTGACTCCATCTCAGTCAGGGGAAATGTCAGCACGGGCGACATCGTATACACAGTTACCGCAGTGGACGGCGATGAGGTGAGTACCTACGTTAAGGTTCAGGGCCCCGTTTCACAAAGCTCTCGTAAGCCTGAGATATCGTAACTGTTACGAGATCTTAGTCCATATCTTTCGTGTGACCAGCTTATTTAATATTTTGTGTCCATATCTTTCAAGCGACCAGTGTCTGTTGATGTCACTTGATCGTTGTTTCATTTTATGACAATATATAAAATGTGTTATTTTCTATTTGTAGTATACGTTTGGTAATGTCAGCTACGAGCTGATTGGGGACACGGAGACGTTGACCTACTTCAGGGTAGATCCTGCCACCGGAGACCTTATCACCATCGGGAACCTGACAGACACCAGAAAGACTGTCCTGTCTGTGAGTACTTCTACAACTGCTGCTGCTGTTATAATATTTCCTTATTTTGTCTGTTTTGTTTATGCAATGTTTTTAAAATACGATGACGTTTAATTAAATATGTGCTCATTCCTGCCTCGAGCTGAAAACATTGTAATAACATATAGTGAAATATAGCTCCGCCTATGTTAAATCACGATGTTCCCTATTGTTATATTGCTTGGGTATTACGACAACGGCGTAAGACGATGCTCACTCACTCACTTAAGTAAAACACTGAAAAGACTGCATCTCCTGCTCTTACTAAAATACTATTACGTCACTATGGTTACTGTCACTACTTCGTGATGGCGATAACTACCACTACCAGGGAGAATAGAAGACGCTGTAGATTATCCCTACTACTACTACTACTACTACTACTACTACTACTACTACTACTACTACTACTACTACTGCTGCTGCTGCTGCTGCTGCTGCTACTGCTACTGCTACTTACCACTACTACTACTACTACTACGATACTATGTCTGTTATAATATCCCAATGCAATATTACGACACGTCTAATCAAAATAATTATTGATATTCGTTTTTGACCAGGCAAGAGTTCTTGCCCGTGACGACGGAACACCTCCGCGTGAAAACATCACCGTTGTTAACATCGACGTCATCAACAACCACTACGACCCAGTATTCACAAGGTCATCATACGACATAACTATCCCAACGACCACGTCCCGCGGCACCGTTCTCACCACCGTCAACGCTGTCGACCGGGACACGGTAGGTTAATTTCTTGCCTTACGTTCTGGGCCTAGATTTTCGAAGCTCTCTTACCGCTAAGATAGTCGTAAGTGCCATTCATTCACATTAACTTACGACTATCTTAGCGCTAAGAGAGCTTCGAAAATCTAGGCCCTGGTAGGTAGACTGAGGTGAGGTAACATGGGACCTTCTTCCACATATATAGAGACGAGTATGTAAGTGTTGTAGTCAGGTTCTATACAACACAGAGCGATATTCCTGTTCTGGTTGGTAGGACGAGGTGAGGTAAATGGGGTCTTCTTTCACATATATAGAGACGAGTATGCATGTCTTATAGTTAGGATCTATACAACACAGAGGGATATCCCAAACATTGTCATTTTTGCCAACAGGTATTGGAGAACGGTGATGTGGAATACTTGCTCAAAGACTCCGAAAGCTCCAACAATGACTTCTGTGGCATCGACAGGGAGACTGGGGCGGTTTATCTCTTGAAAGATCTCTCCGGCACATCAGCGTTCAATGTGAGTGTATTTTAATACCTTTTAAACGGTGTATGTTCTAAGCAATATCTATGTTAAAAGTATCTGTCGTTAATCACTTGATACCACAGGTTTAAATAGTAACGGTTCCATTTACCCAGGAAATACGTAGATATATTAAAACAGGTAGGCTGCACTTTAAGTCAGTGTAAAACAGAGACAAACAGAAAATGTACTAATCAACTAGATGAAATTATGGATTTGTGCACACATTCTGACTAATCAACCATCATGTTTTCATTGCTAGTGTCAGATAGAAGCACGTGACAGGGCACCTGAGCCTCGATCTGATACAGCACTGGTTAAAGTCGCTGTTCAGCATACGCAACCGTTGACCTACGCAAGGTCCGACATCAGTGTAACCATCAACGATAAACTAGATGTCGGCAGGTCCTTCGCGCAAGTGGCGGTCGAACAAACGGTGAGAATATGAAGCTGGCGAAGTACGTTCTTGTATTGTTTTGTCCAATATCAAACCTGAGATGTCTTGACGTACACTTGTCATGTTGTGTAGAGTTACATCCCTTGGTATTGTCAGGATCTTTCAAATGTTTCTAATCCCAGACTAGATGCGATGACACCTGGGCTGACAGTACGCCTCCGTGTTTTTAACCAACATAAGGTGTACCGCTACGTCATTTAGAAAATGACGTGATGTTACTAAAACACCTGCAGTGCTATACTTAACTAACCAACAGAATATAAATCCAATGAAGCACACTATATATTCCCCAGGGAGATGAGAATACAAATCAATTGCACACACATCCAGTGACCGGGGTCATAATGTCAGGGTTATCGGGATTTGACTATCGTGGCATATGCACATTACATTACGTTACGTTACGATGACTTTACGTCTCAGATGACGGACATTTCATGAAAGTAAAGATGACTTTACGTCTCAGATGACGGACATTTCATGAAAGTAAAGATGACTTTACGTCTCAGATGACGGACATTTCATGAGAGTAAAGATGACTTAACGTCTCAGATGACGGACATTTCATGTCTCACTTTGACGGACATTTCATGAGAGTAACGATGACTTTACGTTTACGTCTCAGATGACGGACATTTCATGAAAGTAAAGATGACTTTACGTCTCAGATGACGGACATTTTATGAAAGTAAACAATCGCATTACATTACTTTACGTTTTCATGACTTTGCGTCTCAGATGACGGACATTTCATGATGACTGTCTCAGATGACGGACAATGAAAGTAAAGAATCGGATTACATTACTTCACGTCATGATGACTTTACGTCTCAGATGACGGACATTCATGAATGGGATGTTAATATATGTTAATATGAATTACTGTTTCTTATTTGATCATATTTACATTATTATGCGTATTACGTGTTGTTTTTGGTTATTTTGTCATTTATGATCCATGTTTTGTTTCTAAGGCAACGGTAACATATTCCCTGACTGGCACCGACCGTGCGCCGATTTTCTTTGAGGTCAACCACACAACGGGGGCTATATCTGTATCAACAAAATTAACCTCTGACCCCGATGAATTATCGTCTTATCTTGTAAGTATATTTATTTTTAAATTTCAAATGAACATTGTATTTTCATTGTGACGTCATAGTGGAGGGATGTTTAGTGGGTTTACCCCCGGTTTCCCAACATTTCTTAAAACAACAAGTTCAGTCAGGCGGAGAACAATAGGAAGATTAGTTGGAGCATTCCAAGTTTAGGGGTGTCAGGCACGCGAGTCGGGTCCTGAAATGAACTCACCCATCACAGTATCTCTCACTGTTGCTGTTATACTAATTCCCTTATCAGTGTCACACATTGTCACCAATCATTTCCGGTTCACCAATCACTGTCAATCATAACTTGATACTTCAGAACAATATTCATCAATTTTCAGAGCTCACATTAATGATCAACTGAATTAAGGATGGTATACATATAAGGTTAATGGAATTCCATCAGTCACAAATGCTATCGTGGCAAATGCACAAGAACACGTGGGGCTTGTTCAGAATAAGCATGGTGACAATCTAACCATGTAGAGAGTTGTCAAACTAAGTGCTGCTATGTGTGCATTTCTCATAGGTTATGAAAAAATTATATGAAAAAAATCAACTCTGGTTCAATCTGTACTGTATTGTGTGATGGCGATGGTGATTGTGTGCCTCCTATTTACTTGACGAACGTGGATCATGTACATGTCTAAACACAATAATCACCTTTATGTATGGAAATGAATGTATATATATATATTAAATAAATCATATGTATATCACACAAATCAGTATACCATACATTCATTAAAGTGAAAAATATATTGTACACATTTTATAGTTATGCTGAAGCGAATGCCCAGCCAGGTTGCTTGGTTGTTGTTAACGCCGCACGCAGCAATATTCCAGCTATGTAGCATGTATCAACCAAGTCAGCGAGCCTGACCACCCGATCCCCTTAGTCGCCTCTTACGACAAGCATGGGTTGCTGAAGTCCAATTCTAACCCGGATGTTCACGGATCCACAGCCGGGAACTGAATACGATCATTAGTTTATTGGAACCATTGTGTTTCCTGATGTCATCTTCATGGTAAAGTCTCTTCCGGTTTCCTGACACCCGTGAAGATCTGGGTTAGAACTGGTCTTCATCAACCGATGTTTGTCTTGAGACTGACGGGATCGGGTGTCATTGCTCGCTGGCTTGGTTGATGAATGTCAATTGCGTATCCTATTTGCGTAGAACGATACTCATTGTGTCAATCACTGGATTGTCTGGTCCACACACAATTATTTACAGACTACCGTCATATAGCTGGGAAATTGCTGAGTACGACTTTTAGCAACGAACAAACAAGCACATCTTGCTGACTCGCTGACAAATAACAGAAATACTATTCCAATTTAACTCCTTTTACTTGTACAGGTTGTGCTTGGGTATTTTAAGGATATTCACTTTTACACAGGGTGCATTGAATAGTGAGATGATGGTCAGCGTGTAATAACACGTCGCTCGGGCAGTCTGTGATCCCTCGTCGACTTACGCTTGTATTTATTGTACTTTTACTTTACTCTCCTACATCAAACTTGTATATCCATTTTGCAGTTGTTGGTTGAAGCTAAAAGCTTAGATGGCCAGTCATCAGCAACAGCGTCTGTGAACGTCACCGTCGTGCGAGAGAACAACGACCCGGTGTTTTTGCCAAGCCGCTATTCAATTACTCTGCCAGAGGATACAATACCGGGCACCAGCCTTATATCAACTACTGCCGTGGACAGTGATGGGGTGGGTGTCAACACAGCGTCCGGCGAGGTCATATTATTTCGTATCTGTTATCCTGAATTATAGTTTTGATCACCGTGCTTATATTCTTTCAATTTTAAGCAGTGAAAAAGCGTTAACTCAAAGCCTCTGAGGTCTTCTGATTTATTGTCCGTCATATCCATATTCTGGGACGTGCCTGAGTGAGTGAGTTTAGCTTTACGCCGCACTCGGCAATACTCCAGCTATAAATAATCGAATCTGGACCAGAAAATCCAGTGATAAACAGCATGAACATCGATCTACGCAATTCGGATACGATGACATGTGACCAAGTCAGCGAGACTGACAACTCGATCCCGTTAGTCGCCTCTTACGACAAGCATAGGGTGCTGAAGATCAATTCTAACCCGGATCTTCACTGATTGGGACATGCGAGGTACCTGTAGGAGACTATAGTGTCAGTAAGGATTCCCGTGTATCGCTGTAACGGTAGTTCGTCTAATACTGCAACGGAGTTAACGGTCAGTGATTCAGCTGTGACTGTATGACTGACAATAAAACTGAGTATGACAGAATTGATCTGATTGCGCATGTGTACATATTGATATCATTTATGTATTCTGTTTCTAATGTTGATGATTGTCAATTTGCTGTCCTTATAATAAACGGGATTCAGAGGAATATAAGCTGCGTATCTGCGTAAATTACGCAAATATTTATGTGAAAACTCAATTCCAATTACGTCTATTGCGTACAAGTACGCTAGAATGTTTGCAAATACTCAGTATAGTTGATGTTACATACGTACACACAAAAATAGACAAATAACTGAGGTATATTGAGAGGTTCTATTTCAGCACATGAACTTGGCAACTTGCAGTTTTTCTTGTCGTTTCTCATATTACAGATCAAATTTAATAACAAACACGTAAACCAACATTTAAACATTTTTACAATTAATGGAAAATGGCAAACGACCCAACTGAGTTTGAGTGAGGCAGGTACAATTTACTGGGTTAGTCAAAGGAAAATTAGGATACCCAACTGGGATGAGCATAAGCGAGTACATAACTCAATGACACAAAGAGTTACATGTAGTTCTGGGGATGGTCCTGAATATATGTTGATGTCAAGGTTTGAACTGGTCTGACAGTCTCCGTGTATTTAACCAACATAATGTATACTCCTACCTTTTACAAAAATGACGTGCTATTACTAAAACACTGGCAGCGCTATACTTAACTAACCCACTGAATATAAATCAATGAAGCATACTGTATGATCTCCAGGGAGTTTGTGTCACGGGTTGAACTTGGATGTGTGTTGGTGTCACGGGTTGACCGTGGATGTGTGTTGGTGTCACGGGTTGACCGTGGATGTGTGTTGGTGTCACGGGTTGACCGTGGATGTGTGTTGGTGTCACGGGTTGACCGTGGATGTGTGTTGGTGTCACGGGTTGACCGTGGATGTGTGTTGGTGTCACGGGTTGACCGTGGATGTGTGTTGGTGTCACGGGTTGACCGTGGATGTGTGTTGGTGTCACGGGTTGACCGTGGATGTGTGTTGGTGTCACGGGTTGACCGTGGATGTGTGTTGGTGTCACGGGTTGACCGTGGATGTGTGTGGTGTCACGGGTTGACCGTGGATGTGTGTTGGTGTCACGGGTTGACCGTGGATGTGTGTTGGTGTCACGGGTTGACCGTGGATGTGTGTGGTGTCACGGGTTGACCGTGGATGTGTGTTGGTGTCACGGGTTGACCGTGGATGTGTGTTGGTGTCACGGGTTGATCGTGGATGTGTGTTGGTGTCACGGGTTGAACGTAGATGTGTGTTGGTGTCACGGGTTGACCGTGGATGTGTGCTGGTGTCACGGGTTGACCGTGGATGTGTGTTGGTGTCACGGGTTGACCGTGGTTCGCAGATTTGTTTCTCAGGTTTGATGTTGTTGTTGCAGGATATCATCCTGTACAGCATCAATGGACCTGGTAGCGATCTGTTCCTCATGCACCCGCTCACAGGAGAAGTCTTTCTAAGGACAGATCTAAAAGAAACCACAAGCATGAGATACCAGGTACATAACTCTACGCTGGGGTTACAGTCATCAGGAAGTCGTCTTCCTTCTTACTGTCAGATCTGTAAGAGACCACAAGTTGACCACCCACCGTGACCTGGCGTCCTATCTTCACCCCTGCCTGGAAGGGAGTATTCATATCAACCATTTACATCATCAACGATTCGCATGTGCATATCAATCATTCAGCTGTGTACACAAACCATTTACTGTTGTATACAGGCCTGAATACAACAATTTACCCGAGTATGTCAACCATTCACCTGTGTATATCATTGGCCCTTTAACTTTCACCTTCATCGTCAGCCATTTTTCTGAGTATATTAATCATTCAACTGTATATATACCATTAAAAAGGTAGGGGATATTCCATTTTGCGAGCATACCACTAGCTAATGCCAATGCATATGAGAAAAGTAATATATATCCATACAGACGAAACATTTCCAAAGGAATCGAATAAATTGTCACATTTTCCTTAATTTCTCTTCATCATCTGTTTCCTCCTTGGCTTCATCATTGGCATTTTATCAATCTTGTAAAGCCAATATCCCCTACTTTTATGGGATGGTATATATCGACCATTCAGGTTTGTATGTCAACCATTCACCTTCGTATTTCAGCTATGCATATCATTCACCTTTGTATATCAACCCTTTACGTGAGTATATCAACCGTTCACCTGTGTATACCAACCGTTCACCTGTGTATTTCATTACCTCACCTGTGTATATCAAACGTCCACCTGTGTATACAATTCATCTACCTGTGTATATCAACCATTCACATATTTATTATAACGATTGACTTGTGCATATCAAACATTCAGCTGTGTCCATTAAACACCTATATCTGGCTACATTCAAAATATGCAAGACTCGGTCAATCGTTCACACGTGTATAGCAACAATATGCCTATGATATATATCTGTCTACAGACTATCAACACATACGTCTTTGACTATCATTCGCCAAGATGTGCAAAACCGTTTTGAACGTACGTCTACACACAATGAATAGTCTAGACTTGCACAAGTCTCTAAGCTAATAATTAATAGTTTAAATAAGTTCTAATAACATATAAATATCCCTCTAACAGACTGGCGTGCTTGTACTGTCTGCATATCTGGACTTGCCCCTTTTAGGGGTAGAATTACTATACATATAAGGACTTAGCCTTCAATACAGCCTTGTTATTCTTATGTATTTCCTTATGTGAAAATGACCATTGGGACTTACCTTCCATATTAACGGGGTTCCACTGTGAATGTGACTGTTCTCTATTCTGCAGTTGAGTCTACACGCCCGCAGCGTGGGTACTGAAGAGCCAGATCCGATGGGGACTCTCACTGTTAACATTGTTCGAGACACCAGTGCGCCTTTCTTTGTTGGAACTCCTTACATGGCAACCATCAGATTCTCAGCATCGGTGAATGACACTGTGAGGCGCGTGGTCGCACAGGATCCCGATTTAAACGTACGTTTACCTTGTGTGTGAAATAGATTAGTGTTATGGAATTAACATACTTTTGTTTGCACAGAGACAATGTCATTCTAGGTGATAGCTGACCTTGATCAGGGAAATCGAAGTCTATGTTTCAGGATTGGTTGGTTTGTTGTTTAACGCCGCACGCAGCAATATTCCAGCTTTATGACGGCGGTCTGTAAATAATCCAGTCTGGGCCAGACAATCCAGTGACCAACATCATGAGCATCGATCTACGCAACTGGTATACGATGACATGTGTCAACCAAGTCAAACAAACAGCTCGGGTTAACACAGCTTTGAACAGAATTCCAGTTATTTCCTGGCGTATCAGTTTGATCTGTGAAGAAAGCCCGAAGTGATGCAGGTTTCAGGAGTTGACGGCCTGTGTGGAACTTACTAGCACGTAAATGTATGGTGTTGGCAAACCGGGATTCGAACCTGCTCACAAAGTGGCCCCCAAGTACACAACCCTGCATAAGCCTTTTTGTTTCAGGGAGTTCTGTCATACGATATTGGAGGACTGCAATTCAAGGACAAGTTTGCTATTAACACTCAAACAGGGGAGATCACCGTGGTCGGAAACCTGCCACGTGACACAGAAACCTACAGGGTACGTGCCAGTCATGACTAAACTATTACTCGTGTGTCACGACAAGAGAGTGGAAGTAGATTTGTATAGCCTGGCTAGTTGTGGACAAGAGGTCAAAAGGATGATATGAAACCCACGGGTATACAGACTACTGTTTATAGTGTGATTAATATTAAGGCTAATTGAAGCCCTTTTGAACAACCGACTGCACATTGGACGTGTAACGAAAAACACGATACGTACACCACTGTTGAATTAAAAGATATATAATTAACATATTGTCATGAGTGCTCAATATGCATGCATACTATTTTGTGAGAGTTTAGTTCCTATTCACGCTGATATCATATGTCATTTGCTGAAGAATATTGTCTGTATTGTGCAGTTGATCGTGGTCGCATACGACAGTCGCTACCCAGAAAACAAGGCAACAGCGACTGTTACGATCAACGTGAACGTCAACCCCAATACACCAGTCTGTCAACCATCCTCCATTCGAACAACCTTAACCGTAAACGCCACCCCAGGCGACGTCATCGCTGACGTCAATGCAACGGATGCTGATGGGGTAAGATTGTTCAGTATATATAGTAAAACCAGCTGAAGAAACTGATAATACAGTGTTCCGGGTTTTTTCAAACAATCTAAAACTAGTCGCCCCTTGATCGCTGTACTGACCTCGAGCACCTGTCGCGTCGCGTATGACGTTCGTGATGCGTTTACGATGCTTCGCTTGATGTTTGCGGTGCTTTCGCGTGATGTTCGCGATGCATTCGCTTGATGGTTGCGTGATGGTCGCGATCAAGGGGACGATAAAGGTGCTTTATTCAACGTCACTACTCCTCTGGTGTTCATCTGTTATATACCTGCTCGGGGGAGCGGACTTGAATATCCCCATCTGTAAAGAAATGATATACATGTACATCTACCTGTTGCTCGTTGCTACTGTATACCTACACCATATAATGCAATTTCAGGATGACGTCACCTATACCTACGCCAATAGTGACAGAGAAATCAATGATCAGTTTTATCTTGACTCGACAAACGGGAAGCTGTTCCTCAGGCGTGCCTTCACGAATACCAGGACGTCATACACATTCTCAGTGCGTGCAGCTGACCAGTACGGCAAGTTTTGTGTTGCACCCGTGTCCGTTTCCGTTCTGTCCGACACACCACCAACGTTCACCAATAGCCCTAGTACAGTAACCATTTCGGAAAACAGTCAACCAGGGGAATCAGTTGTCACGGTGACTGCACAAGACAGGGACTTGAAGGTAAACGTATCCTTATCTTTTTATCCTCGTTATTTTCTTTGAGACGAAATTTTACATAAGACGTCAAAAAACACGTATATTTTGTAGCTGTTATTGTTTTGTGACAATGCGTTTTTCAAACAACATGACACTTTGTTAACAATTTCTGTACTGGTTGTAGTGACGTTAAAAAGCTCCTTTTAGCCCTTTCGTTAGGTGAATTCTCATTAAGGATATTAATATCTCCTGAACATAAATTTTAGGGATCTTGAGTATGTTTCTGGATGTTTTTATTAAACTTCACGACAATGAATACGCCTAAATATTCATGATCCTTATAGTTTAGTGTTTAGGATCAATACGTGGTGGTATGATTACACAAGACTGGTTTGATGTACAAGGAGAAAAATATAACGAGAAGCCCAATGGGGTTAATGTGAGAGAAGCCAAATAGATACCATGAATGCATAAAACATGGGGCAGAGGTTGTTGTCAAATAGCTGACTCTTGAACAAAATCAATATGACAATCAACTGTCCATTTTAGGTTACTTATAGGCGTAAAACACAATAGAATACAAGCTTTGTAGATACATCTCGATGTCGTAATCCTTAAAGACATATTGTAATGTTGATCGGTTGGTGACAATGGCTTCCTCTTATGCATTCTTTATTCGTCTACATAAATTAACGTTTGTATTTTACCAGTAAGAACCTTGTATGAGCGTTGTATATTGAGCTTGCCCAATGAATCCACACTGATGGACTTGATGCAGATCTTTTTTGCGTATATAATAAAAGACCGAATTTTTTCATTTGAAATCTTAAAAGCAGACTTACGATTCCAGAGTCTCCAGCGCTACGACTGCTTTGTGAAACTACAAACTTTGTATAAATGCAAAATGACGTCATATTGTACTGTCTAACAGGGTTCTCTTGCATACGAGATAACGGGACAACTCAGCGCGCCCGCGTTCTTTGAAGTGGGAAGAAATACAGGCTTGATCAAACTTAAATCCTCCTTGAAGAATTCTTTAGAGTCGAGATTCACGGTAAGTGGTACCGGTATTTACATACAAGCTGACAAAGTTTACGTTTATCTTTGTATCGTTGTATCCATTGAATACAAAACACATTGTAGTTATGTATTCAACTCCAGATATGTCAAAGCATATATAACGAACTAGAAATTATATATACAAGCAGTAATAACTTTTTTCTCGTTCGACTTTATGAGTACAACGTGTCAGGGCTTGTTCTGGCCCCATCATCAGGTAAAACTGATTTACATACGATTATTATATGATTATGATTATGATTTACAGTTTTACCTGGTGATGGGGTCAGAACAAGCCCTGAAACGTTGTACTCAAGAATAAAAAGAAGATGTAACCCAGAAAAAATCTCTATGTTCATCAAATATCATCTTCTAAAATGCCAATCAAGCCTCTATCTGAATAATGTTCTCGATTCGTATTTATTGTAATTCTTATTACAATTTTTCGCGTTCTTTGGACTTGTGGCAGCGACTGATTATAAGATAAACAGTTTATATGACGAGGCGGTACGTTTTAGGTTCGAGTCGGCGGTGTTGGAATATTGGGGGGTCGGCAATAAAATTAGAAGGATCGGTCAGGCGATGAGAAACACAAAAAATAAAAATGCTGCGCTAATCTTGGTTTAGATAATCCTTGGTCTTCAATCCACGTGAGCACTCGAGGTTAATTCCACGATGCCATGGAACTTGGTCAAATCAAGCCGACACGTTAGATAGAAACTGGAACATTGATTCAAGCAGCCTTAAAACACCCGACTCACTCACTTTACCCGCAGATTCTGGTGACAGTGTTCGACACAGCGGCTCCCACAGTGGTCACTACAGGGACGGTGCAGGTCAACGTCATCCGGAACGTAAACGGACCAGTCTGGTCGTCGTCTTCATATAGTGCAACCATAACGGAAATAACCCCTGGAGGCAGCGACATCTTGAACACCACAGCCGTGGATAACGACGGCGTAAGATGATGATGTGTTTTCGATCTTAATGTGTTGACATCAACGGTTTGTAAAGCCCATTTCTGGTATCCCCCACCATGATATTTGGAAGTATTGATAAAACGGCTTAATCCCGAATTCACTCACTCACTTAAATCAGTAAAGGTTCGAATTTGTTTGTGGGGATATGTGTATTGGTCTATTCAAAATAGTTAAAACTAAAATTAACTAAAATTCAAAATATTGATACAGGTACTTATAAATATCTGTTTTGGTCGTATCGAATCCAGTCAGAAGACGTCGCTTTATGGCTCGAATCATGACCATGTGACGTTGAATTTGAACTCACTCACTCACTCATGAGCATCCTGTTTAACTCATGTTTTATTTATCGGTATCTTCTATTAAAACAGGACAGCATAAGGTATGAATTTGTCAGAGGATCGAACACAGAATATTTCCGAATCGACGTGGACACTGGCACCATTAGCCTGCGGAGTTCCCTGACCGCCGATACAACTGGACGTCAAGTATACATAGTGAGTACAACTTGGTATTGTACTTACATGTTGGTAGTTATAAGTTCATCTAGATTTAAAAATGAGTGAGAAGTGATAGTCTTATCTTGCCTTATGCCACAGTATTTGTTTGTTTGTTGTTTTACGCCGCACTCAGCAACATTCCAGCTATATGGCGGCGGTCTGTAATTATCGCGCTTGGACCAGAAAATCCAGTGAACAACATCACGAACATCGATCTACGCAATTGGGATACGATGACATGTGTCAACCAGGTCCCCGTTTCACAAAGCTCTCGTAAGCCCTAAGATCTCGTAGCTTTTCTCAGCATTCGTACTCACTATGTTACAGTACAGGTCGAATGCTACGAGAAAGTTACGACAGAGCTTTGTGAAACGGGCCCTGGTCGGCAAGCTGTGACAACCCGATCCCTTTAGTCGTCTTTTACGACAAGCATAGGTTTCTCAAGATCAATTCTGACCCTGATCTTCGCGGGTGGTGTCAACAGTGATACGACGTGACACCAGTATTGGTTTTGCAGTCGTCATTGGAATATCCTTTCTAAATGAATATTATAAATGATTATGTCAATATGTTATTTTTTTCATAACATCACAAATGGGTAGAGTGGGTGACATATTCACTACATGCATGTCTCATGTGGAGTTTGGTAACTCGCTTAGATGATATAATACATAAATTGATATAGAATATTGTAGATTGTTAATGTCCGAATATCAGAGGTTTTCAGTGGTGGTTAATCTTCCAGCTTCCAATAATTGCCCGAGACCAGAGAGCTCTTGAGAGAAGTACCACCGCCACTGCCACCATCAACGTCCGTCGGGACAGCCAGCCCCCTGTATTCATAAACTCCCCGTATTCCTCGACTATGGCAGAGTCGCCCCCTGTCAATACTATCATCATCGCTGTATCCGCTACTGACAGAGATTTACAGGCAAGAACAATCTTATCACCATATTGTCTTCGCATGATATTGTTTTCTTCATAAACAAAACATCCCATGTTATAGGCTGTGTAGCTCAATGGTTTCGTGTTAATCTTTTTACAACATATAAAAAGCTGAGGAGTTTCGCGTTAATCATTTCACGTCATTGAAAAAGCTGTTGTTCCGTGTTAATCCTTTTACTAAGTTCTTTAGCTTTAATCCTTTTACAACACGTAAAAAGCTGATTAGTTCAGTTTTTACCACATGCTTTTAAAAACCCAGTAGAATCGCGTTTTGACTTTTACAACAAAAACATACATTTTTCAAGATATTTTATAATAATAAATACTTTGTTTTCTTTATAAATGTATCATATTTTCCCATGCATACTACTGTCTTCAGGGTAAGATGCAGTATGAGCTGACGGGCGACGATGTTGCAACGTCGTTCTTCCGCGTTACGCCTGACCGCGGACAGATTGTTGTCCACAGAGATCTTAAGCTGGATAACTCAATGTCCTATACTGTAAGTGTTATCCGTGCAAACTGTATTTGTTGCACATCTGTCGAAATCTAATCATGTCTGCAGCGAATATTTAATCTACAGCTACTGATATTTTGTGCACATAATTTTTAAATCGAAATGTTGTTGGCCTCAAGGACATTGCTATTGGTAATGTATGGTTGTTGTTTGACTTTGCTCTCAGCTATTTGAGGACGGCCTGTAAGTAATAGAGCCTGGAGCAGGTAATCCAGTGATTGACATCATGAGCATCGATAGAAGCAGTTTGAAAACGACGATATGCATCCTCCAAAACCTGTTAGTAGCCTCTTACAGCATGACCTTCAACACATTTATGAAGTATATAATATAGGAACATATTCCGGCTATATACGTGTGTGTGCGTGCGTGCGAGGTATGTTTACAGTCAGGCATAGCAGTACATTTATGCGAGGAGCATTTGATGATAAGAATTTGTTGATCTATATACATACAACATCAGTCACAAAAAATATTCAAAAGTACACACCGTTATACAACAGTTTACATACAGTTGAATATAGTATACCTGACCCACTCTAAATTATACATTACCCGAGTGGGCATGCCACATAGTTGACATCATATATTTGCAGCAGTCGAACAGTGGGAATATCTAAGATATACACACAGGTATGACATTATCGAATTACCCTCATAGACGTACAGGTATTGCCAATGGAAATAGCATAATTATAGTCAAGATTTGACAAGACAGTAAAGTTTCTTACCTGAGTGAGTAAATGTACCAACTTGATAACAGTGTTAGCATATACACCAACACGTCGCATCTATTGCATTTAAGAAGTTGTCTATCCGTAAACAATGTTCCTCTTCATCATACCACCCTCTTAATGGCACTTAAAGAAGGTTGGTTTGTCAGACAGCTGCAGGATGACCTGTGTCTGTTGACCATATTTATACCTATTCCAGCTCCTACGTTGCAGATAATCTCATTACCTGATTAGCCGGACGATACAGTTGTTATTGTGAACTAGCATGTCCATTTACCGTATATCTACAACGTCGTGCTTCCGGTATACGGTAAATGTATTTCTATAATATATCAATCTTATTTATCTAACCTCACACATAAATGTTGTTTTCTGATTGGCCGAGCGCTCTTCTATTATTTTCAGTGTATCCCGCTTACAAGCTAGTAGCATTTTTTCTATGTTACCCACTCGGAATGCCGAACTGTGGGAATTCATTTGGTACTTCGTGTTAGTAATTCTTTATCTCGAATAATTGAGTCACGTATGACGTACGTAAATTACCGATGTTTTCGATTGCAAATCGATTGAAGAGAGATCATTCTATGTTTGTTTTTCTTGTCTGCTAGATTCTATATCATCTGAAAATCTAGTATTGGCTAATTGCCTAACTCTGGTAGTCCTTATTATGATCCGATACCCGAGATTCAAACAGTTCCACATTCACATTGAACGATGTTCGGTAGGATAAATACGTTGTTCAGCATCAGGGAACATAAACAAACATAGAGGGTACATCGACCATGTCCCCCTCCTGACCAGTTAACAACCTATAATGTACGGTGTCCTCCCATTTGCGAGAACTCCCAGTTGTGAGACACATTAATTAATGGTTCAGTGCACACAGGTGGTGCTTCCCAATCCCTACGATGAAAGTGGGAACAGCCCTGTTGCTGAAGTGTACCCACAGGAGGCATAGTTCATTAATGAGACACAGAAGACATTGTTCATTGAAGAGCATTTATTGTTTTCCTACTGTCGTGTCTATTATTCACCAAATATAATTATGTCACACTTCTAATTCCCCTAACGGCATACGGTTCTGTACTTGCACTATGAAGGCATGGATACTGTTATAAATCTGTATATATGCAGTATGTCTTACATAATTCCAGATTACGTTAAAAGCATACGATTCGGCGTATCCTGCCAACGCTGCAACGACAACGGTGATGGTTTTCTTAGAACGGAATGCCAACATACCCGTCCCTTCCCAACCCTTGTACTCTGCACGTATCCCAGAGAACACCCCTCCAGGAACATCGCTGCTCACTGTCACCGGCGTGGATGCGGACGGGGTGAGTGTGCCTGGTTTGTCTCCCTGAAATGGTGAGTGTGTCAGTACGGGATAGCATGGACGGGGTGAGTGTGACTGGGTACCCGGTGTTCTAACTGAACGTACCTGCCGTGATTGAACGACGTATCCGTTAATATTCAAGCGAGACCGGGATCTGAGAATAATTGTGTCTGGACCAAGCAATCGGGTGATTGATATTATGAGCATCGATCTCAGCCAAAATCCGCTCCCGTTAGTTGCCTGTTATGACAAGAATAGGCCCCTGGGGATAACTGTTAGAAATAGGAATCAAGGGTTATGTTCATTCATTAGAACACTTCGGATACAACGCATGGCTAATAATGGTGGGTCATGTATACTGTTGTACTTATAATACTACAGTGTTGAGCGTTTCGTTACCTTCATGTAATGTAGACTATGGTGAGAGTCTGGCGTGCCTTTCATATTCTGCAGAGTCTGTAAGACTTCAAGATAGGTATCTTTGTGGCATATAAAAAAAGATTACTTAATTTTGAATGGACACTCACGTGTATTTGAAACTGCAATTTCAAATGTATGGTTTAATATTGTAAAATACTTTTTGCGTATAAGTGACCGAGAATGTAAAATGTTTAAGTATGTATTTTTATATAAATGGTGATGAAATTTGTGTTGGTAAGTGAGTTCAAGAATGCATGCGTAAAGGTGTTCAGGTATGTGTGGTTAAGTAAAGCGTGATCAATGTCGTATGGGTACATGTGTTCACGTATGCGTCAATGTGGTCAGGTAAGTATGGGTATGTTGTCAGACATGTTCGCTTCAATGCGAAGTATGTATGGATTAGGTTGAATCATCCGTTCTTCTTTCTCCCCTTTTGCATGCAATGTTATATTTACAGGATACCCTATCGTACAGGATTGTACGAAGTGAGAATGCTACCCAAGAATACTTCAGGATAGACGAGAAGACCGGAGTGTTGACAGTAGGGGGCGATCTTACCTCCCCGCTAGTTCCGTCAACGGTAAGGTGATGCCGAGGTCTGCTGTATCCTCTGATACCAACAATGATTAGTTGATCAGATGTGTTTTCGTAAATGATTAGAATTTATTTTGACAATTACAACTTTTAGTAAAAACATTTTAAAGACGATTACATTAAAAAATGTCAAATACAACAGCTCTTTCGATTGTCGTGCAGTTTGTTGCGATGTTGCTTTCAATACGTGGACCCTAACTCTGAGTGAGTGAGTTGAATTTAACGTTGACCTGTGAGTTGACAGTGAGTCCGGATTCAGTTGTATCGCAACTTTACAACGACGGAGCTGAACTAATAAGTTGGTACTTGTTCACGGGATCTGAATCGGTACGAATAGACGATCAGCGTATCCTTTCACAATCAAGAAACGCAACTCTGCACAACGATTACCACTAGCGCTAAGAGTGAGTGATCATGGTTTTACGCCGCTTTTAGCAACATCACGGCAAAGGACACCGGATATGGGCTTCACACATTGTACCTTAGCACTAAGAATGTTCAGACTTGTGTGTAGCTGTAGCGAAAGGCTGGAGGTGAGCAAGAGGGTTCAGGTTACAATCGTTGTTAGTGTTGGAGAACACGTATGGCCCAGTCGTCAAAGACGTCGATACCCGCTGTGGTGTACCAGGAGCCAGTGTGGTGCGTTCGAATCCCAGCTTATGTTTGTAGGTATTTCAGCACTATTACCAAGCTAATGCGGTTTCTTAGTATTCAGTAGTGTACATTATGGTATTTTTACATTACAGGTGATGGTTAGGATCTCTGACGACGGAGTGCCACAGAAATACTCGGTTGCCTCCGTGAGGGTGACCTTAATCAGAGATTCATCTTCCCCGCGCTTCATTAACACGCCTTACTCAGCCAACCTCGTCGACACTGTCGCCGTCAACACCACCGTCATCATCGTAGCAGCGACTGACGGGGATCTCTTGGTGAGATTATATGTGTCAAATATATTGATAAATAAATACTATAGTCCCAAAACTCCATATACCGTAAAATCCTGTTTCCTAATCGTAATAGGTAGCTATACCCCGGCATCGTCTCAGGAAGCCCATCTCGTATTCATGGTAACTGTTAGTTAGTCCTCAGAAAGTGTCTACCTATGTCTCTTTTCATCCACCCCAACATCCTGTTTCCGTCCGTCCAATTTCCACATATTTTACCTTTAGCGTCCCCCGTGTTTTCTTTCGTTTTGAGAGTTTAGTGTTTTTTCTCAGCGCGTGACATGTATTTATATGCCTAAGGTTTTTTTCTGTTCTTCCGAGAGAACCTGATCTTCTTTAGAAATGCAATGAACATATGTAATATATATCTGTAACTGTTACAACGTAACGTGTTTCTTCAGGGATCTATGAAATACAAGATAAAAGAAGACAGTTTGGCAAATGTCTTTTTCTGGGTCGACGCTGACACAGGGGTAGTGTACACAAGGAGACGCCTAACACTCACCAATCTGGACAGGTTTGATGTACGTACATGACGTAATATATTGATGATGATGATGATGATGATGATGATGATGATGATGATGATGATGATGATGTTGGCGCTTTAACCACTAGGCTACCCAACCGCCCCGTATATCCTCTGGGACAATCCATACATTGGAATCAATACAAAGGAAAACGGTGTCTTGCTGCTTTCAACATTGTTTTAGTTATATCATCTCGAGTAATATTCTGTAGTGATTTTATGTGGTGTAAGTTGACAAAGCTTTTGCCATGGCAACTGACTTAGTGTAAGTTGATGAAGATATTGCCATGTCAACTGACCTTGGTGTAAGTTGACGATGATATTGCCATGTCAACTGACTTTGGTGTAAGTTGACGATGACATTGCCATGGCAACTGACCTTGATGTAAGTTGACGATGATATTGCCATGTCAACTGACCTTGGTTTAAGTTGATGAAGCTATTCTCATGTCAACTGACCTTGGTGTAAGTTGATGAAGATATTGCCATGGCAACAGACCTTGGTGTAAGTTGATGAAGATATTGCCATGGCAACTGACCTTGGTGTAAGTTGATGAATATATTGCCATGTCAACTGACCTTATCATACACACCATCGTATTTACGTTCAGACTAGGATTCGAACCCATGACCTGTAATGAACAGAGAACTGCTAGCGTAAATTTGTTAACTTCTATTGAAGGTGTCTCAACCTGAGGATGAGCATCCGTATCGCCATCAACATAACTTCAGTGTTTCAGAGCTTTACAGGTTACCATATTTCTTCAAAAGGTTGAGGTGATGTCCCATGACTCGGCGTTCCCGGGCAATATTGCAACTACCGAGGTTGCTGTCAGCATCACCAATACCCAGGCCAACGACAACACTAACGGCCCAGTCTTCAGCGCGTCCGACTACGCTGTCACCGTGTACGAGTACGTTGACTGCGGCACCTCCATCCTCCGTGTCACCGCCACAGATGCTGATGGGGTAAATTGAATATGAGTGTGTGAGTGAGTTGAGCTTTTCGCCGCTTTATACCAGCAGTATCGCGGTAGGGACACATGAAATGGTCTTCAAATATTGTACCCATGTGGGAATCGAACACTGGCCATCGACGTGACGACCGAACGCTTTAACCACATGGCGACCCCATCGCTCTTGATGTGGGAGAAAGCACGAAATTATGACATAGTCATAGTCTTAGACATTTATCACTTGGAGATCCCTACAATTGAATATCGAATAAAGAGTGACACCTTAGGAACCCTCACCTCTTGAAAGCTGTATCCAACGCGATTTTACTTAATTTTACTTGATTTGGATAAACAGAAATAGATCGCACAGATTGCTGGTTTCATGACTTCCATGCTACCTACACGGTATGATGTTTATTCTCCTTAGGTATATTCACCAAGTGGGTACCAGGAAGGATGAGCTGGAAATGTAACTTCTAGTTATTTTCAGACATCTTAGGTGTGTGTGTGGGAGAGGGTGGGGTGGGGGTGGAGAAATCGAGTGTGGTCTGATCCATTGTGGCTCTAAAATAGCGTATCACTTCAATATCTAGTCTAATTACTTGTTTAAACAGATCACATTTGAAGACCACTTGTTGTCAGGAATTGTACCTATACCAGGTTTGTTTATCATACCCATGATACCCATGTTTCCACCCTCTAGGACGCCGTTCAGTACCGGATCATCCACAGACCTGGCGACCCGTCATTGGTGAACATCGACCCCGCAAACGGCGACATCTATGTTCGGCAGTCACTGGCCACGTTTGAAGAGAACACATACATGGTACGATCCCGTCATGTTTCTTCGTCTCGATTGTACTGGTTGTTATAGTTCATAGTGAGTGAGTGAGTTCAGTTTTACGCCGCTTTTAGCGGGGGACACCAGTAATGGGCTTCACACATTGTACCCATGTGGGGAATCGAACCCGAGTCTTCGGCGTGACGAACGAACGCTTTAACCACTAGGCTACCCCACCGCCCAATGTATAGTTCATAAGTGCACAGATATGTTACAGTTGATACCATCAGTCATGAGTGCTCATGAGTACCGTTACACTACTTCTCATGATGGCGTGACACCAATGTCTACTTCATCTTCTCACTGTCCTCTTCTGTGCAACCTCGTCATAGAAATCGAGAGAAGAGAGAAATATTCTCAAGCACTACGTTAAACCCAATTTCACCTCACCTCACCTCACCTCTTCTGTGCAACCATTTCTAAATTTGATTTCTAAAATATTTCGTAAAATCTATTTTCCATAAATGACCTTATAGATCATCTATATCTCATGTGTTTCTCTTCATGGGTAACAATAGTGTGCCAAGATCCCACAACATGCTGTTTCTGTGTTATCAGAGGCGGTTCTAGTGGCTAGCATATCAAACGGTACCTTTACGTGTCACCACAATGCTTAAGCCCAATATGAAGCAGATTCCAAGAGTTTAGGAATCCAATTTAAATGGAATTATTTGTTACTATCAAAATTATATTTTCTGGGACTAATCGTTAGTCTTTGTCCGGGTTCGAACTGGTCTTCAGCAACACTCTTAACGTAAGAGGCTAACGGGCTCGGGTGGTCAGACTTGCTGACTTGGTTAATACATGTCATCGTACCCCATTTTCGTAAATCGATGCTCATGGTGTCAATCACTGGATTGTCTGACCCAGACTCGATTATTTACAGACCACCGTCATAAGGCTGACATATTGTTATCTCAAGTGTCAAACAACCGAATACCCATGACGGTAACGTTTTTTTGATAATATTACACATTTATCTCCTTCACAGATATGCCAATTTGTCTCAAACTTGCAAAGGAAGGCTACAATGGGATTCCTGGAGTATTTCATTTACGTGTTGATAAGCAAACATTGTTTCAACTGTCTCAACAGGGGACGAAAAGCCGTTGTAAACAAGTCTGTATATTTTATATATAACGATGCACTTTTTACTAGTTCACGGTAGAAGCGACTGACCAAAGGCGCGCTCCCAGGACATCCCGAGTCGTTGTCAACGTCAATATAGAACAGGACGTCCCCATCCTCATTGCCAACCTGCCGTCGACTGTCACAGTCAACGAAAGCATGGCTGTCGGTGAGAGCGTCTACACCATGCAAGCCATTGATCGTAATGGTGTGGTAAGAACATTTTGTTTGTTTGTTTGTTTTGTGTGCGTGTCTTTTTGTGTGTGCGTGTGCGTGTGCTTGCGTGGTCTGCTGGTATCATCGCTAACAGATAGTGAATGAGTGAGTTTTACGCCGCTATTAACACTATTCCAGCAATATCACGGCAGGGGACAGAAATGGGCTTCAAACTTTGTACCCATGTGGGAAATCGAATCCGGGTCTCCGGCGTGACGAGCAAACACTTTGACCACTAGGCTACCCCACCGCCCCTCTGTTGATTCGTACACACGTACTTCTGACAGCAGTAATCGTACATTGGTAGCTTTCTATTTAGACAATGGTCAGTGTCCAAAACACTTCTACTTGTAGCATTAGTGTGTATATTAACATTGTAGGTTGACTATCAATTGATTTATTGCAATGTTAATAATTCAGACATGTCCATTTGTTTTGGGGTTTTTTGTTTGATTTTGTTTAGCTTTGGCTGGAATCGGGTAAGCTCACCATTTTTGTGTATTTGTTCGTAGGGATCCGTGCGGTATGAAGTTGTGGGTGACATCATCGCCGTGCAGTATTTCAACGTCACTGACACCGGCGACGTGATTGTTGCAGCGTCTCTCCGCGACATCAAAACACAGACGTTTACGGTAATTGGAACTGTATAGGACTTCAGTCGACACGATTGGGAATTCACAGTGACAAATATTGATGTCTGTGTGTGTCTTAATGTCATAATTCAGGATTATAAACATCATTGTCACACATGCATATGACAATGACGCTAATAACCTATTGAAATATAACAATGAACCTACGACTGAGATTCTTCAATCATTTTCAGTTTAAATTAATTCGCATTTTCGTCGCTGATTTATAATATAGGCTTATAGACGTTAATACATATTCCAACAGCTTCAGATAAACGCATGGAAAACCAACAGCTCCGCCAATGTGCCCAAAGTGCAGGGTACGCTGAACGTCAACGTCAGAATCAACGGCAACGCCCCAGTGTTTACCAATGACCCCTACAGTGTCACCATTTCGCCTGACCTGCAGATTGGGGAGGAGATTACTGCAGTAAATGCTTTTGACTGGGACAGGGTTAGTTTCTGCAGGATTCTGTTCTTAATAATTGAAACATCCTTCCAGTATTAGTATATATTCTTGTTTATGTATCAAGGTTAAATTCACTTATTACTATTTCCATTTTGTTTCATACATATTAAGTTTATTTAATATAATTTTGATCATGTCATTATTATTAATGCAGTTTGGATAGTTTTGTGTCGTTTTGTTTTTCATGAATTATGTTTTGCGAGGAAATGAATATTCTAATAATGACCAACTAACTACTTGTTAACTACTGAGCTATCGTACTCGTTATGAAGGGCTAGCAAGTTGGTAGTATGGCTGTTCAGACTTAGTCTTTTGTTACGATTCACTTATTGATTTATTTAGTAATATAGTAATATAACAGCCGAAACAAAGCAGTAGCCAGTTTGTCCTTGTTCTATACGCCAACATTTTACACCTTTAGATGTTATCACTGAGACTTGTATTTGAACATTCTGAAAAAAAATATATTCATGGCTTCTTGGAATTGGATTGATTAAAACCGCGTTAAAAATAACTTCGTCATACCTGGAAACATCATCTACGTCTTTCACTGTTTTCCTGAAAACCATCAATAGTAGGTGCTATAGTTCATCTTTACAGATTAGCTACAATAATGTGAAGGAATTGGGTGTTCTTTAACTTTTTTCGAGTAGTATATTTCCAGCTCGACGTCATTCTAATCAGCTCGAAGCACTTTCATACCCAGTTCGGTATATACTAATTGCATAATTCACACGAACACAAGGATGGGTTTTCACAGTGATTGATGACTTATATTGGTCGTCACGCTGTTCGGTTCCTACACAACCCCACCTCACTCTCTATTGTGTAACCCTTTTCTTATGTCCCCCGTGAACATATCGTTGGAATATTCTAAAAGCGGCGTAAAACCATACTCACTTGTGTTGGACGTTGGCTTTTTCTGAGGTTAGTGTATCTGTACTCTATTTGTCAGGACAACGTCACGTACAGCTTAGACGGCGGTAGCGACTACCTCTACATCCATCCTGTAACCGGCTCCGTAATATTGACGAAGTCCCTCACGAACGTCAACATTTCACAGATTGTGGTAAGCATTTTATACAACATACACTTAACATGCTGTCATCCCACAAATTTGAACTTTATCACTGGGTTGTCTGGCCCAGACTCGATTATTTCCTGGAATATTACTAATTCGGCGTTGAACAACAAATTAAACAAATAACCTATTTATATGCATGTCCCTTTTCGTATGATGAATTGTAATGACTATTGATGGTTTTCAGACCACGGTGAAAGCTGTAGACCGGATGCTGTTTCCAAGGGCAACGACCACAGTGTTGACAGTAAACATTCGGTCAAATGTCATTTACCCTGAGTTTGGCTCAACACCTTATGATATATCTATACCGGATACTATGGCTGTGCAGTCGTCAGTGTTCACTGTGTATGCCATAGATAACGATCTAAAGGTGAGACCCGCATGGACAAGGTAGTACACGATATAATAAACACAGGTATGAATCTGATTTAATGAACGTTACTTTACCTAATTGGCATTGCTGTAAGTTATCTCTTTACGCTATCTGCAATAATTCCGTTGGCGTTAAAGCCTATTGCATGATTATTTATCCAATATATGTCCACATGCTTCCCATGGATCATTATGAGATGTTATGTTTTCTTGAGCCGAGCAGAGATTTGTACCTCATTAAACAAGAGTCATCAGAAGATGACAAATCCCCCCACAGATTTAAAAGAACAAATCATCTGACAGTTACTTAAAGTCCAACTTGAAGTTTTTTAGACTAAGCCCAAATTGTTTCCATGAAAATAATGAAAAAACATGCCAAAAATCTGTATAGCAAATATACAGATATATAAAATAACAAAAGGCACCACTTCAAGATCTGTTTGATATATTTGTCTTGTAGAAAGATAGTGAACGGTTTTCGAGTTGTGCTCCGGAAACGAAGCCCACCCCCACCATTTGAGATTTGAGAGTCCAAATCGTTTCCATGGAAACCGAAAAAAATAAAAATGACAACGATCCTTAAATAGCAAAAGGCACAGTTTAGGTTCTGTTTTAGATTACGGAAGCACGGATAGACAGATGAGGCGTCGTTTATATCGACCCGCATTACATGCCGGGGGTGAAAAGGATGCAAACATGTTACTATTAAAAATTCACCGAGTGTTTACTCTTGAGACTTGAGGAAGTGGTGTCTGTGATGTCCAGTTTCGTATAAGTGGAACAATTCGCATTAATCTGAAACTTGACCTTGTTAAATATATTTTGGTATTATTGTTAAAATTACAAAAATCATTGATGCTTTTTGTTTTTATTTAACAAACATTTGTTAACACTGTCAGTAAGATTGCTAAAAGGAGGTTCGAAGCTCAAAACCTTCCCCTAGCGACCTTGCTGAATCTCGAGACGAAGATTGATGATGGTGTATAGTATTGAATAGCTTTATAGAAAACAACGTACATGTGATTGTATTCCTCACAGGGTCAGCTCATGTATGACGTGACCGGAGTGTACCCGGCGCCCTACTTCTTCAGCCTAAGTCCTTTTGGTCGTATTACCTTGATCAGGTCACTGACAACAGATACCTTCCCATCTAGTCGATATGACGTGAGTACCGTTGTAACTACATCATTTCAAGGCGTGCTTCCCTCTGTGGGCTCAAACTACGCCGATAAACAATATCTTTACCATTGTCGTGGACGATAAGTAAGTTTTAACATTTTAAAGTTCACAATATAAAGTGTATCGTTCACGTGTTTAACATACTCATTATTTTATACCCAGTAAACTATGGTTATAACGAACTCACAGAGCTCTCGTAAGCCTAAGATCTCGTCACTTTCATCGTAGCTTTCCTACCTCCTATACTGTAACATTGACTTACGATAGTCGTAGCGCTACGAGAGCTTTGTGAAACGGGGCCCAGCTTAGCTCTCTTAGTGCTAAGACTGTCGTAAGTGTCATAAATTAACATTAACTTACGACTATCTTAGCGCTAAGAGAGCTTCGAAAATCTCGGCCCAGAGCCCCGTTCCAAAAGCGATCGTAGCATTACGACAGTCGTAAGTTTATGTTAAAGTATGGGAGTTACGATCATCGTAGCACTATGACAGTCGTAAGTCTATGTTAAAGTATGGGAGTTACGATCAACTTAGCACAACGATCGTTTTGTGGAACAGGGCCCAGGTACTTTAGTCCTTTAGCTTACTTTATATATTATTTGGTTTATTTCGCCTGAAATTAATGCCACGATTCTGCTGCCAAAAAAAAACGTTCCCCATATTCGTCATTTCGTTATAAGCGTGTATGTTACACAGGTGGTTTCCTGTAATTCATTAACAGTTATCTGGTTTCAGTTTTGTACCACACACATTAGCTACAAGAGATTGCAGTGTTTATGAAACCTATTAAACTACCACTACCTGATATGATATATATGAGCTATATATACTACCCATCAAAATTTTAGACTCACTATAGTCCGTTTGGCTCAAAATCGGACCGATGAATTGCAATCTAACTCGAAAACTACTAAACATATAATATTCAATGAAACACTGATCATAATCAAAACATCAGACCAACTCTGTGATTTTTTTGCAGATTTTATGTCCAAAAATATAAAAGTTGGTTAACAAACTATCATTAAAATTTTGACACAGTTCACTATTTGTTACGAGGGAGGACTGCAAAGTTATTGAATCATTTACCTGTGCTGTGCTGTCTCCATCCTTTCTCGCACACCTGGCTGTTCCTATCTTTGTACTCATCCCTCGTAACAAATAGTGACGAGTGAAAGTAAATGTAGCCACTTACTTCAGTCAACTGTTCTAAACTAGATTTTGCAAAATATTCCATATTTTTAAAGGTACTGTTTACACATGAACTGATGTATTGTAAAACAAATTCGTAACGTTAAAAGATTATTGCCATGAGTTCAACAAATGATAAAAATCAGTGAAAATTGGCGAATTTATAACAAAACTTTACACCAAAATGCAGCTGTTCGCATGCAAGATATTTGCACATGATCTTCAGCAATTTGATGCATGATCCTCGTGCAATTCATCTTGCAGTTGGTTCCTCCAAGTTAGTGGAGAAATTCTTCTTCGATGTATACACATCATACTGTGAGTGCTTTAAGTGAGTCTAAACTTTTGACGAGTAGTATACACCAGGAGACTGCCTCCATGATGTGTAGGATGGCGCTCATGCCGGAAGTACGTAAGGTCGGTGGTCCCGTCATACCAAAAGATCGGCATTAAAGGGATAAAACGAGGAGTGGTTGTCTCGAGTCAGTTTAATGCATCAGGTTATTGTATCAACGTTAACCTGGTATGGTACTTCAGTGGGCTCGTAAAAATGAACATTATTTTTTTACTCATTTCTAGTTGAGAATTGTTGCCTTCGACGCCACGGCGCCCGAAACACGCGGTACCGTGACCGTCACCATCAACGTGGTCCGAAACCCAAATAGACCGATGACGCCTCAAGCTCTGTACCGGGTCAATGTGTCCGAGGTGGCGAGCCTGGACGAGGTGCTATTTACTTTGGTCGCAACAGACCTGGACGGGGTGAGATTATCAGTTGTGTCAAAGTCAAATTGCCTGAAGCTGTCCATATTTTTTTGCCTGTTTCCCTGGTGTCTTCCGCCGTGATATTTGCTGGAATATTGCTCATTCACACACATATCATTGCATAACGTAAATACTGTCACTTGTGAAGTGAGTGAGTGAGTGAGTTTAGTTTTACGCCGCACTCAGCAATATTCCAGCTATATGGCGGCGGTCTGTAAATAATCGAGTCTGGACCAGACAATCCAGTGATCAACAGCATGAGCATCGATCTGCGCAATTGGGAACCGATGACATGTGTCAACCAAGTCAGCGAAACTGACCACCCGATCCCGTTAGTCGCCTCTTACGACAAGATAGTCGCCTTTTTATTGCAAGCACATGGGTTGCTGAAGACCTATTCTACCCCGGATCTTCACGGGTCCACTTGTGAAGTGTAGTGGTATGACGTGCATTTCTTGTAACCTTACATTAATTATGACAAAGTGATTACGTCATAATGGAATTGAGCTGATGCTAAATAAATGCAGTGGACAACTCTTGCACTATGCAAACATGCAATAATTCTTACACACAAAACTTTTATTAATGCATACAAGTCATATTTTACTAGACCTTCACAGGTTGATATCAAAATTCTTATATAACGTACACATATAGATTATTAAACAAATTGAAAATTATTTATTACACATTAAGCTTTTACTAATGAATGCATTCGTTAACAGGACGACCTGACATACCGGCTCAGTGGCGAAGATACCTACTTCAACATCAACGACACGGGCGACATCTACCCAACAAGAAGCCTGATTGGGCTCGGCGGCAACAGTTTTTTCGTACGTTTATTTACTGAAATTGAATCAAAACGTCACATTTTTGCCTAATCGACGAAAGACATACGGGGCAGATATGCATATAATTGTTACAAGCTGATGTCCAAACTGAAGCTCCGAGGTTATCCCAGACATTGGTTCTGACGGAATTACGAAGTTAGTCAACTCTCTCACAAAATCTATAATGAATCTGGAAATTAAATGAAAACAAACATTTTAGTTTGCCAGTTTACATAAATGCTACAAAAAGTGCTAAGTCAATAACTAAAAGGTAAAGGGCTAAGAATGAATGCGAGCGTACCTTCAGTTATGCAGAACATCTTAAATATCTGTAGTCTTTGAAGGATCTGTCGTCATGCTTGAATCTAGAAAATAGAGAAAACTGATATACAAATAGATACCCGACAAGCACATACACTAGTCAGGCTGGAAAAGAGCCCCTGGTGTTCTTATATATGCAGTACATATACAGCAAACATCCTTATATAAAACATCCCATCCAGAAACTTCCCGAATGATCGAGTCTGTCTTGAGCATCCAAACAACTGTAACATACATGAAAGCATAGAGGTTGGGTAGACGAGTCAATATGTTCACTTGTTCCGTATATGGTGGCATGGCCCTAATCAGCCACCATAGTTCCGAGACATGGTTTCGATTTCCAACATGGGTGCCCCTTATGAAGCTGTATAATATTTGGGTTAGCTATTGCTGAAAGTTTAAGGTGAATGGTGTCCTTCATCGTATTGCACATATCTGTATTTGTTCCAGTATACGGTGAGCATCACGGACAGCGGCCGACCGTCCAAGACAACAGAGGTGGGACTGACAGTCACTGTTTTGTCAGGTGTACCCGTCTTCTCAGCCACCCAGTATGACGTCACCATCAGAGACGATGCAGGTGCAGGGACGTCAGTGACCACAGTAACTGCTCAAACCCCACTACAGGTACATGTCAAACTCGTACTACATACCTCTTTACAACCAACGATCCACTGAAACTGTATTAATTAAATAACATTTGTGACGTCATTCCATTGTCTGCTCGCTCCATTACTTTTCAGGAATGGAGCGATGTGTACCAGCTTCAAATTAAAGACTTCATTTTGTCATTTTGACATATAACTTTGATAACAGAAATATTCCCAATACTTTGAATGTAATTTAAGTAGGGTTATATCCTCGTAACTCTCCATTCCTTAAAAACAATGTGCCTCGACCCCTCCGGGGCCTCGGCTGCATTATTTTTAAGGAATGGAGAGTTACTCGGACATTACCCTCTACGTAATGGGTGAATGCTACATCCAGTCAATAGTCAACTGCGATACAACCATATACATGTAATCCACGGTTCGCGATTACTACTAATATACTCATTTATATAGCGCTATCCATCTGACTCCATCCATCCTTGTTCACTGGACGCTGTAATCAGAACCTTATTATTATTACCCCGGATAACTCAAGCTGCCTGTGAGGCGCTAGAAGGTTAATAGTCACATGACTTATCTCACCGGGTACCCATTTTCTGCTGGGTGAATGGAGGCAATATTGAGCAAACTCACTCGCCTAAGGTGAGATCACATGTATCACATATGCTTCGTTGTGGGGCAGGACTGGGGTCCTAGAAACTCTCAGGAGTCAAGCTGCCAAACACGGTCACCCATCCAAGGACTCTCCGCGCCCAACGGTGCTTGACCTCAACCGATTTGTGACCTGAGCTCTAAGCACAGGACCACACACCACCACTACTAGCATGCGTAATTACCAACCACAGCACTCGGAGTACGATGACACGCAGTCAACTTGGTCACACACTGAATAAATGTGACACAAACACGTCCGTGGCTAAATCTCTGCTAAAAGCAGTTTCCGTTGTACCGTTCCGACTATATGGTGACATGCCATTATGGTGGACGGTGAAATAGTGTTGATAGAACTAAAGACATCCTGCCCCACTGGCGGCACCCGTCACAAACACATGCAAAGGCAAGTCAACTGTTCACTTGAAACATGGGAAACAAAATAGAGATCCTCAATTATCGACTTTGACGACACTTCTTGAGTACAAGGAACCGTCACGTCTCGGACTCCAGGCACAAAAATGGTCGCACCCCATCCTAATGTTGTAGTAATTGAGCTTTGGTTTTACACCGCTCTTAGCAATATTCCAGCAATATCAAGGCGGGGGGACAGCAGAAATGGGATTCACACATTGTACCCTTGTGGGAAATCGAACCCGGGTCTTTGGTGTGACGAGCGAACGCTTTAACCAGTAGGCTACCCCACCGCTCCCAATGATGTAGTTAATCATCCTTGTTTGTTTGTAACTGTCCGTAGTAAGGTGCAAGTCATCTCACTTGCGAGCACATTACCAGGCGCTGCCCCACGGTTTTCGTGCAAGTCGGGCCCCATATGGAGTTGATTAATATGTCATGATTGCTGCTGTAGAGGAGAGGTTTACTATGTTTTATTTACACTAGGGACGAGTCACGTACGATGTGGGTGGATATGGACTGGCGCCGGTGTTCTTTGAAGTGGACAAGGTAACGGGGTTAGTGACCGTCGCCCGTAATCTGAAGCAAGGAACAGATAGCCTTTACACTGTAAGTATTGATCAATAAATTTTTACAAAAACAAAACCGCCATTGTGTAACACCTTGTGGAACAGTTTATCTTGTCCTGTGCTCTAAATGACTTCGTGCTGAGGTCTACAAGACACCAGAAACGGTCATCATTCGCATTTTTCACCATTCGCATTATAATTTTGCGGATCCAGTACACATCAGGGGTAGGTAACTCTAATGTACATTTTCAAGCTCCTGTGCAATCCAATCAGGATGCACCCATACCGCTTACACATTGTAACAGAACTGGGAGGGGCTTTTGAACTCTTTTGTGGCTTAAGTTTGTTGAAACAGAAATGGTATTGTTTAAGAAGCGAAAACTGTTCCGAACACTGAAATCCTAACATGTGCCATTTATTTGCAAGATGGTCTGTTTAAATCGTACTTCTCGGAAATCCATTGCCCATTCCCTTTCATTATCCTCTCGTATAAAAACTGTCACATGAATAAGTCGACAAAAAAAGCATTTCCAAAAACATAAGTAATCTCGACAAAAAGATGAGTCCATTGTTCGCAGTTGACGCTATCATAAATACCTGTCGTGTCCTCTGCAAACTCATCACACTTCCGTTTCAGCTGACAGTGCTCGCATACGATGGTGATTATACAAACTACTACAGTGCCGCCAACGTCACCATGAGAGTTTTGAGGAACATCAACTCCCCACTCTTCGTCAGCCCTACATACCAAGCTAGCATAGAAGACGGTATGGAGCTTGGAGCTGTGGTCACGTCATCAATATCTGCCACGGATGATGACGGGGTAGGCAGTTCTCATCACGTGGCTGTGTGTTTGTTTAATTTAATATAGTACAGCTTTCACGTGAGCTCAAATTTGCTATGAAAAAGTGTTTTTCAAGGGCAAGTAAACGTTTTTGAAAGCCCTAGAGCAAAATGTTAATCAATTGGATACCCCCGATGCCCTGTCAGTGAGTGAGTGAGTTCAGTTTTACGCCGCTTTTAGCAACATTCCAGCAATATCGAGGCGGGGGACACCAGAAATGGGCTTCACACATTGTACCCATGTGGGGAATCGAACACCCGCCCCCGATACCCTGTCAAAATGTATGTGGAATTATAGATCACACAATATCTTAGTCGTGAATCCACACACTGTTGGTGAGGTTTAGCGCTGCATTGATGAGTATGTTGTGGAATCTACCCATGAGTGACGCATGTTGTGTGTTAGTATTAGTTTATTGTTTTACCCCGCACGCTGCCATACTCCCCCGAGTACAGCGTAGACTACACTGGTGAAACGTGAAGTTGGAAGTACACTTTCGTAGAAATTCTAGAAGTGCATTTTAGGGTGGGTCCGTTGATATATGTCAAAGCCATATGACGACAGTGTTGGGAGTTGGTTAAAATCTCATAATTGATGATTAGTTCATTACCACCGATCAATCATCGAAAATAATTGCCTAGCGTCATTTATGAAATTTGTTAATGCACAAATTAATAAGGAAAAAAACATGTAGTTATTTTGGGGTGTTTTTGCTAAATTTCACATCTTTAAAGGATGACTAGTATGTTAGGAACATAAATGTCTTGGTGTCTTTAAGATAAATTCAATCATTACTTGGAACGAGCTTGTAGTGCTTATGAAATGACAGACAAAACCAACCCTGTGAAAAATATTGTTGATGAAAACAAGTGTTCCAGAATTGTTTGTGTTCGATTATGAAAAAAACATTAGTCACTGCGACGTATCTTCGATTATTTCAATTAATCGGACCACCACTAGTAAGTAACGGAGTCTGAACCAGACAATCCCGTGACCTGGTCAAAATGGTAACATCACGTAATACAGTTTACATTATCCCTATTGTGAAGCAATGACCGTGCGAACAAAAACAAAACTAACCTGACAATAATGTACTAGACTCACTCTCATTCCACTCATATATATATTAATATTTTCTTCACGTGGTAGATACTTGTTGCCGATACAGTAATCTGTTTCATTTTGCAGGACACTGTGACGTATTCCATTATCAGCACTGACGAGTGCAAAACACTTCTGGCTATAGACCCAACCTCAGGGATAATCCGACTGCGTCGTCTACCTACAACAAGCGTCACCAGTCTCAGTGTATAGAACCTTAATTTATCTATTTTATTTCAAATGTATACCTATTAAGAATCATTGTAAAATTCGTTAGCAATAGTGATTCGTCAAAAGAAAAGCAAACAGCCCTTGTCAAATGTGTCCTAAAAGAGTAAATGGACTTAGGAGTCCAATTACCTTTTTACCTGACATGCCAGTAGAAGCCATTTTCCGGAAATGACGTAATTATGATTTGTTCATTTTAACTCACCTTCGAATGTGGTCCCTGTTTGGTAACTTCATGGCGAATAGTGTCTGATTTGAGCTCACGTTCTCATTGTGTTATTGGTGTTCCAGTGCAGAATCCAAGCGTCAGATAACAGCTACTACCTCGTTAAGACGACCAGCGTGGTGCTTGACGTAACGGTTAACCAGGGACAGTACCCAGTCTTTAACCAGGTGTCCTACAGAACCAGTTTAACAGAACAGGCACCTGTTTCGTCTGTTGTCTTTACAGTCACAGCCAGTAAACAAAACCTAGCTGTAAGTTCATAGTACCTTCAAAGCTACATGTACGTGGTAAGCGGAGATCTCTGTTATGTCCTTCCATATATGACCTTGTATTATCAAAAGGATGGCACTTGTGTTACACTTGAATTAATTTTGATTTTATCTTATCTTACTTTAACTTATTAATATCTATATCTTTATAAACAAATAAGGATGACATCGTATCCCTCTTATTTCGTACTTATCTCACGGTACAATTTTTTAATAAGATATGGTAATACTGTATCATCTTTGTATCTACTCATAATATTGTATCCCCTTTGTATCTTGCCCATAATATTGTGTCACCGTTGTCTGTACTCATGACATTGTATCACCTACATGTATGTATCCTACTTATAAAATTGTATCACCATCTACACAACATTGTATCCCCTTTGTATTCTACCCATGACATTGTGTCACCTCTGTATCCTGCTCTTATTACCGTCTTTGTATCCACTCATAATATTGTATCATCTCTCTGTCAGTGAATAAATTGTTGTTCCTTTTTCTGTGATAGGGTACGATGATGTACGAACTCATCGGCGTCTACCCGGCTCCCAGCTTCTTCATGGTCAACAGCACTACCGGCGACGTCAGCATCAAGTCCGACTTGAAGACTGATGCGGCAGGAACAGCGCAGTACGATGTGAGTCCACCAAACACATGTCTGTATAGTGATATAATGGCTCTTGTTCTGTCCTGGTTTATTGATATTTTTGCAGTGAAACCAAAACACTTTACAATCTGAATAATCAGAAAATTATTTTCATAGAATTAGTTCATCCTACAGTTTTTACAGTTCAGGCTTTATTTTTGTTTCGGGGGTGGTGGGGTAGCCTAATGGTTAAAGCGTTCGCTCGTTACGCCGACGACTCGGGTACGATTCCAGACAGGGGTACAATGTGTGTGTGGTGTCCCCGCCGTGATATTGCTGGAATATTGCTAAAAGTGGCATAAAACTAATCTCTGTCACTCAATGTTCTTTTTTTCGATTTCGGAGCAAAGAGTGAGTGAGCTAGAAAATATTGTATTATACCACATTGTCAGTTTTGCAGCTTTACACAAAGAATTTACATAAACATTCTTGGTCCACTGCCCTCCATTTGCATTTTTGATGAAATATTCTCAGGCAATTTGAAAAACTGATAACATAAATAAGATGCAATCAACGTCAACGCCAGAGACTAACCAGGCTCAATTATCAGCCGAACGAGATTCAATGATTTGTAATAGCAAAATAACAATGAACACCATATGAATGTGTAGCGACCAAAGATTTTAATCATGTCCTGTTTATATAATATATTCGTCTGTAGTCATGTTTTGCCCCTTGTTGAACCCCTGTATATTTCCCCAGCTGAAACTAGTCGCCTACGACTCCAGCAACCCGTCACGCCAGGCTACAGCTGACGGCACCGTCACGGTCACACGCAACGTCTTCGGTCCTGTATTCACATCGAATTCACTGCAGACTAAAGTCGACTTCGACGTTGACATTGACACGTGGTGTTTCCCCATCAACGTCACCGACAGGGACAGCGTAAGTACCAAACTCACATGCTATATGACGTGTCTAAGACTATAAAACCTTTATCATCACTTTCATTGTTGTGAGACTCTTGTTCGGTCAAGTATACAGTCAATCATATACTCATGCCAATAATGGCTGTCACCCCCTTCAATTTTTTCATTGGAGAGGGTGTGGGGGTTGTGGGTGGGGTTGGGGTTGGGAGGGGTGACAACCATTATTGGCATGAGTATATATTTAGTAAGTAAAAAGATTTACTGCTGAGAGCAGTAATTATGAAATTTGAAAATTGTTTGATCGGCACTATAGAAGTTGGTAAGTCAAAAATGAAGCATACAACTTTATGGATGACAATTTCTTGCTTTTTGCATAGAATGACGTTTCGATGTAGATTCTTACATCGTTATCAAGCTTACATCGAAACGCCCTATGTAATAAACAAGAAATTGTCATGCATAAAGTTGTATGTTTCATTATTGTAGAATATGTATTTCAGGTTTTGTCAAGGCGGTATATAATTTCATGGTATAATTGTGAAGATCCGTCATACTTGGTCTTCATCAACATTGATGTTATGGGCGACTAACGGGATTAGGTGATAGAGTGTGGACCACACAATGTAGTGATTGCCATCAACAGCACCAATCTGCGCGATTGGGATACAGTGACTTGCATCAGTCTGACCACCCGATCCTGTTAGTCGCCTTGTTTGTCAAGCATGGGTTACTGAAGACCTTCTTTGTCGGATTGTAAATGCTATTTGTAATGAGGCTGTATGCCGAGGTTACTGTGTTCTAACGAGGAGTCTCGGATTGTAAATGCTATTTGTAATGAGGCTGTATGCCGAGGTTACCGTGTTCTAACGAGGAGTCTCGGATTGTAAATGCTATTTGTAATGAGGCTGTGTGCCGAGGTTACTGTGTTCTAACGATGAGTCTCGGATTGTAAATGCTATTTGTAATGAGGCTGTGTGCCGAGGTTACTGTGTTCTAACGAGGAGTCTCGGATTGTAAATGCTATTTGTAATGAGGCTGTGTGCCGAGGTTACTGTGTTCTAACGAGGAGTCTCGGATTGTAAATGCTATTTGTAATGAGGCTGTATGCCGAGGTTACTGTGTTCTAACGAGGAGTCTCGGATTGTAAATGCTATTTGTAATGAGGCTGTATGCCGAGGTTACTGTGTTCTAACGAGGAGTCTTGGATTGTAAATGCTATTTGTAATGAGGCTGTATGCCGAGGTTACTGTGTTCTAACGAGGAGTCTCGGATTGTAAATGCTATTTGTAATGAGGCTGTATGCCGAGGTTACCGTGTTCTAACGAGGAGTCTCGGATTGTAAATGCTATTTGTAATGAGGCTGTGTGCCGAGGTTACCGTGTTCTAACGAGGAGTCTCGGATTGTAAATGCTATTTGTAATGAGGCTGTGTGCCGAGGTTACCGTGTTCTAACGAGGAGTCTCGGATTGTAAATGCTATTTGTAGTGAGGCTGTATGCCGAGGTTACTGTGTTCTAACGATGAGTCTCGGATTGTAAATGCTATTTGTAATGCGGCTGTATGCCGAGGTTACCGTGTTCTAACGATGAGTCTCGGATTGTAAATGCTATTTGCAATGAGGCTGTATGCCGAGGTTACTGTGTTCTAACGAGGAGTCTCGGATTGTAAATGCTATTTGTAATGAGGCTGTATGCCGAGGTTACTGTGTTCTAACGAGGAGTCTCGGATTGTAAATGCTATTTGTAATGAGGCTGTGTGCCGAGGTTACTGTGTTCTAACGAGGAGTCTCGGATTGTAAATGCTATTTGTGTTCTAACGAGGAGTCTCGGATTGTAAATGCTATTTGTAATGAGGCTGTGTGCCGAGGTTACTGTGTTCTAACGAGGAGTCTCGGATTGTAAATGCTATTTGTAATGAGGCTGTGTGCCGAGGTTACTGTGTTCTAACGATGAGTCTCGCATTCCAGGATGTCGTCACGTGTTCATTCAGCGGTCAGACATCAGCATCCTCCGACTTCTTTACCATAGATCCCCGAACCTGTGTGGTGACCATGAAACAGCCTCTGACAGCCGACGACGCCACCCAGGACAGCTTCAGGGTATGGAGTCTTAGTCATAGTGTTTAACCCGAGCACGTATCTAGCTGGATGTAAACATATAGCAACATTCACAGTCATGTTTGTTAGATTGTTGTTTAACGCCGCAAGCACCAATACTATCGCCGTACGTGGGCAGTCTGAACCAGACAATCAAGTGACTCGTATCATTAGCATCTATCTACGCAAATAGCCAAGTCACCGAACCAGGCCTGATCACCCGACTAGTGTTGGGAATTGGTTAAAATCTCATAATTGATGATTAGTTCATCACCACCGATCAATCATCGAAAATAATTGGTTAGCGTCATTTATGAAATTTGTTAATGCACAAATTGATAAGGAAAAAACATGTAGTTATTTTTGGGTGTTTTGGCTAAATTTCACATCTTTAAAGGATGACTAGTATGTTAGGAACATAAATTTCTTGGTGTCTTTAAGATAAATTTAATCATGACTTGGAACGAGCTTGTAATGCTTATGAAATGACAGACAAAACCAACCCTGTGAAAAATATTGTTGATGAAAACAAGTGTTCCAGAATTGTTTGTGTTCGATTATGAAAAAACATGATCGATTGCTTGGTCGTTTAGTCACTGCGACCAATCTTCGATTATTTCAATTAATCGGACCACCACTACACCCGACCCCTTTATCGCCTCCTAGACAAGCATGAACTGATCTGTCCCGGATCGCCACCAGTGTTGGCAGTTAGGACACCTGCAACACAAATATATATTGCTGATTGCCATACCCATACAACCTTCTATCAGCGTTAATGAGTATACAAAGTACAATCCCTCCATAAACAGAATCTCAGTAGGCAACCACTGGAGACCGGATCGGCAGAGGCGTTAAATATTTGCTGTGCAGAAACCTTTGATCATGAGTATGAATTTCGGACTTGACCAGAACCGTACTCACTGGTTTATCTGACTGACTGACTGAATTTGGTTTTACGCCGCTTTTAGCAATATTCCAGCAACATCACGGCGGGGGACACCAGAAATGGGCTTCACAAATTGTACCCATGTGGGGATTCGAACCCGGGTCTTCGGCGTGACGAGCCAACGCTTTAACCACTGAGCTACCCCACCGCCCCCACTGGTTTATCCAAAGACGTCAATGACCTATACTGCTTGGGGTTTCCTCTCACTTTCTCAGTTGCAATGCTGTTAAATCCACCTCACTCACTCACTATTCGATATCGCGAGGGAAGGTTTCAAGATTCATATGACTGATGATTATTTTCAGATGATGATTCGGGCCACCGATGACGGACGTATACCCAGGACGACCACCACGATCTTAACTGTCCATGTTGTCCGTGATGGTTCGAGTCCAAGGATTGTCAATCTGCCCACGTCCGTCAACAAGCAGGACACGGCTGCTGTGGGCAGTCCAGTGTACACTGTCCAGGTCTCGGACCCCGATCTGCAGGTAACATGGCACACCTTGGAGAAATAACGCGCACACATGGCGAACAGTCTTGGATCTGCCTGATTATGTCTGTGGCTTACCATTGAGTGGCTCTAGATAATTTGATGTTTAGATAATTTGCTATTATCATTGCCGTTATTCTGTGTAAGAAAAATTAAGTAGCACAATTATGTGTAAACTCTTTGGTCTATGCCCTGTACCATATTATGACGGAGTGCTTAGAAAACGGGTCCCTTTATCTGTGTAGATTTCAAGAATTTCCTATTTTCTTCACTTTTTATTTCTGTAAAGTTGAGTTTTCCTACTTCAATCGATAATGCCTTTAGGCAGTATGGCTATGCCAATTTCAGTCGATTTCTGATGTGTATAAGCTTTACGTTTGGGTATTTTCTTGTTTATTCTCATTTGACGTATTATCGTCGTGAAAACTGTTCTGTGCACTGGTGATTACAGTGTAGTAATCCTATGAACGATATCTTCAAGTGCAGCCCTCATAGGGTATTGGGTAAATCTCTTGTCGTCTCCACAATATAACAACAATTTAGACATCTCTCATAAAATTAATTGACAAATGAGCACTTATTTAATTAAAATGATTTTTCGACTTGCAGGGTGTTCTAAGATGTGACATCATCGGCGACGGATTGTCCATCGCCCTCTTTCAAATCGACAACCGTAATCAAATAACACTGAGGACTTCGTTGACAGTCGATAGCCGCAATGCCATATTCTATGTTGTAAGTACTGTCAGATCTCCACAGGGATCCCACCAAGAGTTAGTCCCCAACAAGCAATGCTTTCTGTGCAAGGTGACTGCATAGTTCCTGTGGTTCCGTGACTCGGTTCATGTACGTGTCATCTCATCCGAGGCCATCCTCGATAACCTCCAGGGTATACGTTACGAGCACTCTCCACTATACCCTGGATGCTTCCACGGCTTGGGGCGATGATTTTATTACCTCCCCTGGCTGGCTCCGCATTCTCACAGTAGCCAATCAGCTAAGCCGCCGTTACAACCGAGCTTGCCAAGTCACAGAATAGCGGTTACAGAAAGGTTTGTTCCAGTGCCACTCAGATGGAAATAATAAAGACAAATGCACAGATCTGAAACTTTAAAAGAATATAAAAGAACTCCTTCTACTTCTTTCAGTCCTCTGCATCAATTGTGTTGCATTTAAACGGTTAGATAATTTAAGACGATAGTGAGTAGTGATTGGTACGCTCAACTTCCCAACACCTGACTGGATAAGAACCAGCCAAGGGGAGGTAATAAAATCCGCCCCCAACCCAATCCAACCCAATATACCCTGGAGATTATCGAGGATGATCCGAGGCTCGCTGACTTAGTTGACAAATGTCATCGTATCCCAATTGCGTAGATCGATGCTCATGCTGTTGATAACTAGAATGTCTGGTCCAAACTCGAATATTTACAGACCACCGCCCTATAGCTGGAATATTGCTGATTGCGGTGTTAAACATCAATCAGTCAATCAATGTCATTCGACGGCATGGATAGTTGTCTATGATTGTGATATAATGGAACAAGGTTAAGAACAGCATTAAACCCAACTCACCTGCTCAGTAGGATTAATCAACTAAAGCGCCATGCGCCCATGGTGTAATGCAGGCTGGCAGACCCATTTTGGTGCCAGGGATTCAGGAGTCTTATGAGGGTATGAATACACAATGCCATTTCTTATATTTGGGATTTGACTTTCTCGGTGAAATACAGATTTAATACTTTTGTTGGGTTGAGTCCCATTAGCATCGGCTGAGCGGGTTAGACGGCTGACTTTGTGTGCTGGTAATTAGGCGCCTCACGTGGGTTCGAATCCCGGATGGGAATCAACCAACTAAAGTACTAGAATCTGTGCTTTAATGAGAAAGTGTGCTCCCAAATATATCATGTTTTCATATTATGTGGGATTTCTTTATATATTTCACTTTTGCGATTTCTTGTCAGAACTTTAACATATAATCTTCAGTCACAAAATAGATGAGACTCGGAACTCAGGGGAGGGAGCACCCTCAGAACCGGTGATGGAGCCTTATGTGCATTGTATCATATGGATGGATCGCCGAAGCACATATTTAATAGGAAATAGACATATGCTTTTGTTCGATCCACTTTACTTGTCAAGTCTGATCTAGCCTCGGCTTTGCGCATTTGGTAAATCCATACATAATCGGGTTGATTACGATTTAAAACACTGTATACTTCACCACAACTTGGGCCCCCAACTCTGATATGAAATGTTGTTATTGAGTCATTTTGTCGATATGTGCCAAAGTTCGCTAGCAAATAGATTCTGTTTGATGTGTTCACAGATCCGAGTTCGCTGCTATGATACAACATGGCCGACGCACACTGTCGACGGAGTGCTGACTGTGAGTGTAAGCCGGACCAGCACGAACCGATCCGAGTGCGCTACACAGACTACCAACAATGCACCAGTATTCTCTGCTCCCGAGTACTTCGCCAGAGTGTCCAGGTCGGCCAGCCCTGGGGAGGTGCTCATCCGCGTCAACGCCACTGATGCAGATGGGGTATGTAAGCCTGGGGGGAACACACATCTATTTGAACACACACTTCTATGAACACACAACTATGTGAACGCACACGTGACTGAACTACGCTGGCCGCTTATAATTTTAACAAAGTGTGACATTCCAAATCGTCACTCTGGTTTACACGGTAGAACAGAGTTTGCCCTCTGCATACAGATCATACCGTGACGTACCCGGATTAGGGTCCTAATTATTACCAACCGTAAGATACGAATCAAGTAGAGCGTCTGTAACACCATCTTCTATTCTGTTCAAGCGAAGGTATGCGCCACATCTCCAGGATTCCCTTATGGCTATCGTCTTCATTACAGGGTAGCTCTCAGGGACGTAACTACCATTATATAAAAAACGCCCGGGCTTACACATGATTGTTGCTTAAAAGGTTGGACAAGCCCCCAATACTATCATAATATAAAGCTTGCAACCTATCGGGCTTACACGAAAACATTGGCTCGCTACTCGTCTGGCTCTGGTGTACAGTTTAGGTCGCAAGGTGACACGTCGCAGCACCCGGATTCGAACCTGGTCCTCCACTGCTGTGTGACTCTGAGGCAGGCACCTGCTTTCTAATTATTATTAATGACACGTATCTATTCATGGAAGAGATGGCACTAATGTGAGAGCTGCAGCAACCGTGTTTTGCAAATGTGAATTATGATTGGAACTATGTCCTTTGTTTCACTATAATATGTTTTTTCTGCAGGATGCTATTGGTTACTCTGTTGTATCGTCATCGATCGGAGCCTTGGCTTATTTCAACTTGGACCCTGTCACTGGTCAGATCTTTACACGTAACTCCAAATTAGTCGAGGATCTGGACCAGGACGAGGTCTCCTATAACGTGAGTATAACAGTATACTTTATTGAAGTTATTATTAGTTACCGTAGTAGTTGTTGCAGTAGCGACTGTACATGTATGTGTACAAGCGACAACATGTCTCTGTATATGCTCTGCTTCTACAAGTAAGGGTGCACTGATGGCTCAACCACTATGTTGTGCACTGTTACCCCAGTTTTAACATACTAATGTTAGGGGCTTCACGGTGCTCCAAAACTTAGACGTCCCAAAGTCAGACAAATCAATCAGGCGTGACTGTGATTACAACCTAGTCTTTACACAGCCTTGTGGTGCACCCCCGTTAACTCATATACCCACATAACGAGATGGTTTTCACGTTTGTACAGAAATACTTTGATCAGAAGGTGGACGGAAAAGTGTTCAACTTGCTTTGAGCTTGACGATATCACACCAATTAATCAAATAGCTTCCTTCTAGCAGCTATAATATAATACACGCTGGTCGTAAGACTGTGACTCAAACTCTTCAGCCTAGTGGTTAAAGCGTCCTCTCGTCACGCCGAAGACCCGGGTTCGAATCCCCACATGGGCGCAATGTGTGAAGCCCATTTCTGGTGTCCACCACCGTGATATTGCTGGTAAATTGCTAAGAGCGGCGTAAAACCATACTCATTCACTCTCTATTTCTTAGGATCCGATATTCACACCAATTATAATAACAAGACGTAACCTTGGGCCTCGCCCAACACTGACATGAAGCTGATAGGTTGTTGTCTGAAATACTTTCCAAAGCCGCGTTAAGCCGACCACATCAACTCATTTGCTTATACAAAGATAAAACCTTAAGCATTAATCTGAAAGATTTGATGTTATACGGTTATATACTCAGTTGTAGCCAAAAAAGCCAATGCAATAAATGTTTTCTTCAACTCTAGTCACTTTTGATAAAGTTGTACAAACGTTTTCTTGTTTGCGTGTTGTTTATGTGTGTCTGTAAAGTGAGACTGCTCCTGTAAACGTCCATTGCTGCTGCTGTTTCGGTTAAAAACTCAGTTGTAGCCAAAAAAGCCAATGCAATAAATGTCTTCTTCAACTCTAGTCATTTATGAAAAAGTTGTACAAACGTTTTCTTGTTTGCATGTTGTTTATGTGTGTCTGTAAAGTGAGACTGCTCCTGTAAACGTCCATTGCTGCTGCTGTTTCAGTTGGTGGTAGCTGCTAATGACCCATACGGCGGTCAGTCTACAACTACAGTGTATATCACCGTCCAGCCTCTCCAACTACCTGTGTTCGACGAGACATACGTGTACGACGTGCGGGCTGCTCTCCCCACGGGGCAGAGAGTGTTGATGGTCACGGCAACAAAGGCTGACCTGAAGGTAAGGGAACTTGCCAGAACGCTGCATGAACTATATTCTAATATGAGGAAGAAAAAAAGGAAGCGTGATTTCTTTTCTGTAGTTATTTCTTACCAACATATTTCCAACTATTATTAACCAAAGGGTATTCACTTATGTCTGTGATGTGTTTCAGGGTGTCTTACACTACAAGTTAACAGGTATCTACCCATCAGTAAACTATTTCACCATCAATGGATTAACTGGCGAGATCTACCTCAACAAGACTCTCCAGTCAGACGATATATTAATCACGCGTCACAAGGTAAGATGCTCACTAAACTGCCGGGCAAACAAAGTTTACATTTGAAATTGGGAGTTGTCAAAACAAATACAAATGACATTAATGCCATTTTGCTTGAGTTATATCATGCTTATGAAAAGAGAATTCAAAGAACTATTTAACCTGACTCCCTGCTTGCTCAATATATTTTTGAATACATAAATCATAATAAAATATTTTCTTCCTTTGCCAATTTGTTTGGATATATATATAGTATTTTCTGGTACATTTTCTATGATCGGCCCAAAGAACCAAACACACTCAATGCTTTATCATATAATTATTAAATTTGCCTCAGTATTATGGTGAACGTCAATACTAAAGTATGGTATACACATTGCTCTTCAAAATGCCAAACAAATGCTCCGTAGATTATACTTCTATGTAATTCTATATTAACGTTTTCCCCAGCTAATCGTGGTTGCCTATGATACCGGTGAACCTAGCTCCGAGGCAACAACGGAAGCGATAATCAACGTGGTGGACACAAACCCAAGTAACCCCACCTTCTCCGAACCTGAATACAGTTTGAAAATATCCCAGCTTTTTCCCATTGGCGGAACAGTCTATACATTCACTGCCTTGGACCAAGATGGGGTAAGTCCCATTATATCAATATGTAATCAAATATATCAAATGGTTTCGATTATCTGTCTTCGATTCCATTTGTGCGAAAGTACAATGCTGTAGAATAAAACTATTGTAACTGATTGGTTGATAAAACAATTCATTTGCTGCAGGACAACGTGACCTATAGTCAGAGCGGGACTGATCTGACCCGGAAGTATTTCTTTGTGAATCCGATGACCGGTGATATAATTCTCAGCGACGACCTGACAGCGTCCACAGAGCCTACATTCACTGTAAGTGGTTAATGGAACAAGAAATGCCATCTTCTTATTCTGCTTTCTATTCAGAAGTCAGGAAAACGATAAGCCATACGTGTACGACCACGGACTGGATTAACAACGTTCTACATCTTTACAGGTGTGCCTTTCTAAGCAGTATTGTTTTATATGGGCACACGTATGCTTATTATTTGTCAACAATTCACAAATAATGATTTATTTTAGTTGAAACAGACATATTTAAACTGGCTCTTATATATGCACTTCTGATATATGCTGGTTACAATTAAGATTGTACAATTGATACAATTTTGATAATGAAAACCAAGCACAGAATACGATAACAGGATAGTTGTATGAGTAATCAAAATGTGTTTGGCAATTTGAGATTACTTGACATATTTCGATATTCTTTCGAGTTTACATATTTCATCAGGTGTAAATAATAGTAATGAAGATTTAAGAATGAATCACCGAATATCAGTGGTGATATGGTGTTCGCGAAAAGAGACATAGTCTGATGGTGCATTACACATTTCAGATCATTGTCACTGCCACGGATGATGGAATTCCACGAAAATCTTCACAAGTTTCAGTGACCATGTCAGTAGAAACCCAGGTAGGTCTGGCAACCCTAGAAGTGCTAGCAGACAAGTCACAATTCACTAAGTGTGATACTTCCTACTTACAACCACTGGTCAAAATGAGATAAATGACTGAAATGGTCAAACACAGAGTTGAGTGGGTTGGTTGTTGTTTAACGCCACACACAACACTAACCCAGCTATATGACGGCTCTCTCTACTCTATCAAATTTGACATTATAAGCACTGAGATACGCAGTTGGGATACGAGACAGGGATCAACCAGGTTTACAAGCCTGACATCCCGATGACGTCGAGCACCTCTTTTGATAAACATGGTTTCCTCATGGTTGTTGAAGACCAGCTCTAACCCGGATCTTCAAGGATGTGTTTATTGAGTAACGTATAGTATATATGCTGACGACAGAACGTGAGTGAGTGTGTTAGCACACCTACAGTCACGACACGAAATGTCGAGATTAGATGTGTTCATACTATCAATCCCATGATTTAGTACTCCCAAAAGTCCACACAAATATTGCTTGCTTTAAAAGTTCAGCTGTATATTTGATATTGTTTTGTAGCTGAAATGATAAATACTATGCAATATTAAGTCGGCAAATCACTCTCAGATATCTTCGAGTCTATGATCAACGCGGAATCAACTTGGTTGCCAAATAGGGTTTGCCAACCTCGCTCCGAAATCGCTAGGTTTACCTACTCCATTTTTCTTACCTAAACTAGTCAAAAGAACGCATCAGTTGCTCATTGGATATGACACCATCACACACCCCAAATGTTATGAAAACTTTAGCAGGCTGAAAAGAATCACCAAAACCTGCAAACGTATGGACCAAAACATGGTTTTAATACCCGGAGCAAATACATATCCATTGCATGGCCAATGCTTTACGTTTAGGCTATAATTAGCAAATACATATCCATTGCATGGCCAATGCTTTACGTTTAGGCTATAATTAGCAAATACATATCCATTGCAAAGGCCAATGCTTTACGTTTAGGCTATAATTAGCAAATACATATCCATTGCATGGCCAATGCTCTACGTTTAGGCTATAATTAGCAAATACATATCCATTGCATGGCCGATGCTCTACGTTTAGGCTATAATTAGCAAATACATATCCATTGCATGGCCGATGCTTTACGTTTAGGCTATAATTAGCAAATACATATCCATTGCATGACCGATTCTTTACGTTTAGGCTATAATTAGTAAATACATATCCATTGCATCACCAATTCTTTACGTTTAGGCTATAATTAGCAAATACATATCCATTGCATGGCCAATGCTTTACGTTAAGGCTATAATTAGCAAATACATATCCATTGCATGACCAATGCTTTACGTTAAGGCTATAATTAGCAAATACATATCCATTGCATGGCCAATGCTTTACGTTTAGGCTATAATTAGCAAATACATATCCATTGCATGGCCAATGCTTTACGTTTAGGCTATAATTAGCAAATACATATCCATTGCATGGCCAATGCTTTACGTTTAGGCTATAATTAGCAAATACATATCCATTGCATGGCCAATGCTTTACGTTTAGGCTATAATTAGCAAATGCATATCCATTGCATGGTTAATGCTTTACGTTTAGGCTATAATTAAAGATGGGTGTTTGCACTTTCGTTTTCTAGAGCAGTTTATCATAACTATTATATATGTTGCAGAATAAAAGGCCAGCGTTTGAATATCCTACGTGCAATACAGACACCTCAGGAAAGTGCGTCAACCCTATCTACTCGGTCACCATAACTTCAGGAACTACGGTAAGGTCTTAGATCTCGTTTGTGTAGAGTGATGTGAGTTGAAGTAGTTTTGAATGCAGGAATTGTGTTTTTGTCATGTGGAATTTACATACAGCAAATCACTTTCATTTCATCTCTACTTGTGTATTCATACACTCTCGACGACATTTTTTGTCTGTGTTTCCAAACCTCGGACCACATTACTTTTTCATTTCGACGTGAAATAATTAAATTTTAACGTTTTCTTATTCAATTGTCCCAGCTGTTGTGGAACTGCAAAATTATTTTTAAAATTCCCAAGTTGTATCGGCGTCATGAATCTATTTATAGACAATTATCAAGTGTTCTAATCTGCAAAACCTTACATGAAATACATATTGTATATCTCTGTTATTTCCGCTCCCTTGCTGTCCGAGGTTTAAAATGAGAAACACATACAAATATAGGATGGCCTTTATGATGAGATTCGTTTCTGATGTTTTCAAGACAAAAGCCTAAGCTGCAATAAGCAGCTATACACAAATTCATGAATTAGGGATAGATAACATTCTATGACATTTGTCCAAACTTCTAAATTTGTATCCTCGAAAGTATTTCTGGTACGTTTGTTAGTTTAATGTAGCATTCAGAAATATGACGTCAGTCTTTAAACAGTCGAGTCGAGTCGAGTCGATAACCCTGTACATGGCGTGGGTATTGGTTAGGGATGTAACGATGCATCGAACTATTGATGGGTTGCAATTGTTGAGTCTCCAGTAGAAATTAACTGATGGTAGAAACGAAAAAATTTCGATGCATCGATAGTATGTGTGACTATCGATAGTTTAGTAATTGACTTCCGTTGATAAATGCGAAGCGCAAATTATAAGAAGTACCAGATTCGTTCACTTTGATTTTGAGTTATCCACCCCTGTTAACTGTTTACTTGATCTGGGTTTCAAGTTTCTTGTCAATTATCAAAAGAGACTAAAACTACTTAAACTTGTTTTATGTCATATAAACTATACATTTATTTGGGAAATGACTTCAAATGAGTCAAATCAAGGAGACAAAACTATTGCTATCGCAATAGTATGTTGCAATAGACCATCGCTATCGCAATAGATGTTTCCCCCTAAATAGTCACCCCTAGTATTGGTCTATGCCTTATTTATACGACGACGTGAGTCAACCAAATCAGCGAATCTGACAACCCGTGCTGAGGGCAACAAACAAACAAGCAAACATGAATCTCTGATAGAACTAAACTTCCTTCCAGGGTGGACTGACAGTGTACCCTATCCCCGGGGACAGTCCCCCTGCCCCTACTGACATCCTGGCCAGGGACACCGATGGTGGTAAACGTATTGTGTTTGCCGTAGAACAGAGTAAGTAACAGTAAAACCCCTGATTCTTATCATTCACTGTAGCACGGTGTAGGCTTGTGTTCGCACTTCTACAGATTCATGACTGTGATGATATACACAGAGATATGTGACGTCATCACTTGAACCATGCGTAACTTCGATAATATTCCATACCGATTATGACCCTATATTTGTCAGTACCGTACCCCCGCTTGTGGTGTTTTCCGAAAATTAAAACTATCAAATCATTTTGGATTTCCCTTCCCATGAAGCTGACATACCTTCTTATAATAGTGAGTGAGCGAGTTTAGTTTTACGCCGCTTTTAGCAATATTTCAGCAATATCACGGCGGGGGACAACAGAAATAGGCTTCACACATTGTACATTATAATCGAACCTGGGCCTTCAGCGTGACGAGCGAACGCTTTAACCACTCGGCCATCCCATCGCCCTCATCTTATCTACTCTCAGATAGTTTTAAGAATGACTCTGAGAGTAGATTTAAGCCTAAGTGAGATTTTCATTGGTATTCGGCTGAAAAAGTATGTGTTAAAGATGGTTTCTTTTGTCGATGCCAATATGTAGATGGTTATCCAAATACTTTACTAAACACCAACCGAATAGTAATCTCCGAAACTACCATCCCGACTTATTTCTCTTAAAAGTTGTTTCCACGTCTATATTTTGATCGAACTAACAACCTGATCTTTTGGGCCCAAATCTAACAGAAGAAGTCCAATTAAGTCGTTACTATCATCAATTTTATCATTACAATTCAGGGAGAAAATGTACCCTGAATTATACTTAATCTCGTAGGACTTCAGATAATAGGAACGTATAAATACAACAAACAAAACGCATGGTTTTCGTGTTATCAGCTGACCCAGCTGGCTATGCAGTGTTCTTCAACGTGTCCTCCTCCGTGGTGAACTCGACATCTGACCTCTACAGAGCGACCTTGACCCAAACCATTCCAATCAACAGGCGGAATGTCAGAGACCTCACACTCGTCCTAACGGCAAGTAACGCTACAACAATGCGCATGCGTGACATTAACGACCATTGAAGCAGTTTTTACCAAAGTTAAACAATCGCTAATTATGTTCTTTTGTTTCTTGCCTCGAATTATTTGATTTTATCAACAGGCCAAGGAAAGGTCATCAGTTGGAATGTCTTCAATAGCCCTTGTATACGTGAATATTGGACCATCCAATGAAAACCCTCCTATCATTCGAAGTTCAACCAATAGCTTCACAGGATACATCAGAGAAGATGCGGAAACGTTTTTCTTCGTGAAAGACAGCCCTCTCCAAAGCGCTATGAGGTTGATATACAGTGACCGTGATGTTGTGAGTACCATATGACCTTTTTGTATATGTGACCTTGTACTTGTTGAGGTCTTGAACTGGCTTGACCACACTTCACCTTAATGTGTTCTGTGTTCCAGGTCCTAGGTGATCCTGTACAGCAGTACATCAGCTCAGTACAGGGCACCGACAGCTTCAGTGTGGACCCTGACGGTTATGTCCGACTGGCCAACACACTAGACTACGACACCCAGAACAGATATGTCTTCCAGGTACGTGTCACACATAGCCTCTGTCTACAGTTTAACCAAAACCGATTCCTACAATGTGTAGAACCCATTCATGGTATCCCTTGCCAGATTAATATAATCTGGACTATTGTCTTCAAACCTGTCCTCGTCTATTACATAGTGTAAGATTCGGGTCATTGTCTGTACCGTGCTCGCACGTCTTGCCGCATGGGAACCCCGAGGTCACGTGTGCCGTTGTTCGAATGTGTCTGGCATGACAAGTTAAAGACTAAGAATCCACGAATATGCCTCACATTGTATTGTGTTGGCGAGATCAGTTCCATGCTCGCCCTAGCTTGTACCTTTGTTTCCTGGTTGGTAAAGTCCACTGCCTTTTCAATCTCACTAAAATTGGATCCAGAATGTTCTTTCCGAATTTGGAGTCCACGTTTGTCAGTTCCGGATCTGGAATGAAAGTCGCCAGTTTGAAACTAGTGCCGGAAAGTTCCAGAAAGTTGGTTTCTGATTGGCTAATGTCGACTTCTTGTTAGTCATTTCATAGGTCGGTCAAAGTTCGTGACATGTCCTTCAGACATGACCCGGAAGAGGGTGTCTTCAGACCTTTGTTTAGGCGGGGCCCATCCCACTGGAGTTAGGAATGGTGACGCCTACTGAATGTCTTCCTACCCATAACATGCGAATATTTATTTGTCAGGATTTTCTAGAGAATGTTGCCAGAAGAATTATTTTTGGTTTGCTTTGATATAATTCAGGTGACTGTCAGCGAGAGAGACACGACCCTCAGGCGGTCAGCCACGGTGACCCTGACGGTCAGTGTCATCAAGACCCGGCCCCCCTCCACCACGTGTGACTGTAGCAAGCCCACGAGTGGAACGTTGGCTTGCACCGCTAGCAGGCTGGCTCGATATCTACCGACAATACTTCTTGTGATATTCATGAAACACATATAAATGGCTTTAATATTTTAGACTGTGATTATGTGATGTTTCCGCCCTTGCCTTTAAGTTATTGCATCATGTGATATGAAAAGATGAGGGAACACCTGTATTTCATAAAGAACTCGTTTCCATGTTGAAATGACTGTACTGTTGTCTTGGTTTAAAACATGTTCTCATACTTATGGGTGCGATGTCTCATTTATTGGTCAGTTGCATTAATTTGAATGACTAAATTATTATGTATGGTAAGTACTTGTATTTTAAGCCTCTTGTCCTCAAACATTATGTATATATTATTATGTTGTGTTGTAAATATTATAAATATAGATCACTATATAAGTACACATTGTCAACAAAATCATGGCTCACATCCCCACTCAGTGTCCCAACATAGATTATCCTTACAAAAATGAAGTGTATAAGATTGTACAAATGCAAACTAAGGCTTGGACTAATACACAAGGTTTTCTCAAGGCATGTGTGTGCGCGCGCACTCACGCACGCACGCACGCACACACACACACACACTATTTTGAAGATTTGTTCATGAAAAATCATGATGGTATTGTTTGAGGATGTAGTGTAAAGTCAGTTTCACAATCCATGAACCACATTATTTTCTCTTGTGCCATACCATTTCTGTAAATGAAGCAAGTCTAGATTTCCTCAGGTTCTGAATATCCTGTCTCTTTTTCAATATAAATGGAATTATTTTTTCTATCCAAATTATATATATTCACTATTATTATTCATTGACAAAGAGTTAGTCTATATGACGTAGGCCTCTTCTTGTTACATGGACATCTCATGTATGAAGCGTAAAGCTTATCGTTTATCAGCTTCATTTAATCATGTGTGAAGCCCAGTATTAATCACTAGATCGTATTAGTTCTGATACTGGTACATTGATACTGACAATTATTGACAAGTGATTTGCTCAAATCAGAGATATACTTTATTTTGTTTTATTTAAAGTTTACAAGTGGATTATATTTGAAATTAATATACAACATATGTGTATAGTTTTCAACTGTATTACTCAAATACAGTTGTGGAGATTTGTGATTAAAGGTTTATTGATGACAGATTGTTCTTGTTTTGATTGTACATTTCAGCCATATAAGGAGAATTATAACAGTTCATGAATAAGACTCCCTGTGAAAACAAATCGTACACCAGTCCTGTCTAATGCCCGCTAAATCTTGTATTCCACCAATCAAAGGTGATGGTGTGTGAACGTTGATGTGGACGATGGCTCGTTCATAGTGCAGCCTTGCAGAGGTTTCCCTTGCCTGTAATGTACGAAAATTAACATCAGTGAAAATATTCAGGAAATGTGAGATTATAATTGCCATAAAATCAAGAAACCATTTCTCTTTTCATCACATTTAATTATCAAAGTTCGTGTTACAGCTGGTCTTCAGTAACCCAAGCCTGTCATAAGAGGCGACTACCCGTGAAGGTCCGGGTTAGAATTGGCCTTCCACAGCCCATGCTTGTCGTAAGAGGCGACTAACGGGGTCGGGTGGTGAGACTCGCTGACTTGGTTGACACACGTCATCGTATCCTAATTGACTGGATCGATGACCATGCTGTTGATCACTGGATGGTCCAGACTACAGATTATATACAGCCCGCAGCCATACAGCGGGAATATTGCGGCGTTCAACAACACACCAACGAACGAAAGAGGCGACTAAAGGCCAGGAGCTCAGACGAGGTCGATGCATGCCGTCGTATGCCAATCCCAATCCGTCCGGAACAGGATTGTCTGGTCAGACCCATATAGAAGCAATATTGCTATGTGCGGCAGCAACAAACGACAAAGTAACATTGTTTGATCGGCATCCTAGAAGAGTCAAACATGAATCATACCCAATCGCTTCGTTCTTAACCAACCAAACCGAGCTACTACACGGATCAGCTCAGGACGGAGAGATTATCTTTCTATTTATAAAGGTCATTGATATGTCAGGACTGAACTCTCTCCAATCTTAATAGTTGATATGTTATGACTGAACTCTCTCCAGTCTTGATAGTTGATATGTCATGACTGAACTCTCTCCAATCTTAATAGTTGATATGTTATGACTGAACTCTCTCCAGTCTTGATAGTTGATATGTCATAACTGAACTCTCTCCATTCTTAATAGTTAATTGCATGACTGAACTCTCTCCAATCTTAATAGTTGATATGTCATGACTGAACTCTCTCCAGTCGTAATAGTTGATATGTCATGACTGAACTCTCTCCAATCTTAATAGTTGATATGTCATGACTGAACTCTCCCCAGTCTTAATAGTTGATATGTCATGACTGAACTCTCTAGTCTTAATAGTTGATATATCATGACTTAACTCTCTCCAGTCTTAATAGTTGATATGTCATGACTGAACTCTCTCCAATCTTAATAGTTGATATGTCATGACTGAACTCTCTCCAATCTTAATAGTTGATATGTCATGACTGAACTCTCTCCAGTCGTAATAGTTGATATATCATGACTGAACTCTCTCCAATCTTAATAGTTGATGTCATGGCTGAACTCTCTCCAATCTTAATAGTTGATATGTCATGACTGAACTCTCTAGTCTTAATAGTTGATATATCATGACTTAACTCTCTCCAATCTTAATAGTTGATATGCCATGACTGAACTCTCTAGTCTTAATAGTTGATATGTTATGACTGAACACTCTAGTCTTAATAGTTGATATGTCATGACTGAATTCTGTCCAGGATTAATAGCAGATGTCATGACTGAAGTGTCTCCAGTCTTATTAGTAGATATGTCTTGACTGAACCGCGCCCTTCTCCCCAGTCTTGATACAACATATGCAAAGGCTCATACATCCTCCAACAGCTTGAAGCATCATTCCACCAGACGGCCTACCTCTATTATGACCCTCAGCTGGGTGATGGGAGAAGGGTAAGGCAGAGGTGACGTCATGTGTAGTATGCCAGTGTACCGCGGCCCCGGTGCCAGTCTCGTGGTGAGGGTGAAATAGCTGGCATCACTCTCAGGTTCGGCTGAAGGTAAACAGGCCACGTTTTACACATGTAAGACACTACATGCACTGGTATGTATGTGGTTGTCTCGCGCTGTGTGTTATCGGAAGGGCCCGAATGGCTTAGGTCGAGAATCATCTGTGTATGTAAAGTACTACAGGAAGTTTGCAGGGTCGTGGTCATCCGATGACCAGGATATACTGGTCAGCCTAACGAAACGAGGGGATAGTTGGAAGGAAATATATGGATGTCAGCTTTATTATAATGAACACAGCTTCGGGGTACTGCCTCATCAGGTGAATGGCAGGTAGGATGTAGCTTATATGTGTATGTAGAAACATCAGAAGTAACAAGATAACGAAGGGAAGCGAACCAATGATTGGCAATAGCGATTACCAGTTCGAAACAACGAGTTAAATTAGACTAGTACAAAACAGACTGGTACTGGACCAAAAGAAGGCAAGGGTTATTTAGCACTGACTGGTGGTAGTGATGAACACATGGTGTGCACTTTCGGACATATATACTTATCTTACCTCACACATAAATGTCGCTTTCTGATTGGCTGAGCGCTCTTCTATCATTTTCAATGTACCCCGCTTACAAGCGAGTAACATTTCAATGTACCCCGCTGTCAATGGCAACTCATTCTGTACTTCGTGGTAGTAAATATTTACCTCGAATAACATTGAATCACGTATGATGTACCGATTGAATTATGAATTACCGATGTTTTGCGAATGCAAATCGATGGAAGGGAGATATTTCTAAATCTGTTTTTCTTGTCAGCAAAATCTAGCGATGGCTACAAAAGATTTGTACCCGTGCTTCAAACAATTCAAAATTCACATCAAGGTGTTCGGTAAGATAAATACGTTGTTCACTGGTCCCTCGGGGCCCATGGGTTGATGTACCCTCGATGTTTGCCGATGTTTATAAACAAACATCGAGGGTACATCAACCCATGCTCCCCTCGTGACCAGTGAACAACGTATAATGTATTTCTCTGATGATTCTGTCGTGAAGCTGGTCAAAACTCGAAACCAATAAAACCAATGATCCAACGAGCTAAGGATGCAGTTCAGTTATAATGCCACTGTCAACGTCGATTTTGTTGATAAACATGCTCAGCACATGCTCAGTTTCTAAAGGGAAGGTTCTCTGAGCATTTGTTGTCAGCTGCCTGAGGAGCACACAGTTCAAGCTGCTTTACTTAACGCTAGGAGGTTAACAGTTACATGACAATATCATTCCACATATAAATGATTTCCGTCTCCTCCCTATAGGTGAGGTCCAACATAACATGTTGCTAGATCCCCCAGTTTCACCAGACCCATTGAGCTACTAAGTACCAGACCCATTGACTTCTACTCCGTATGACCGAGAAAGTGACCGGTGATTCACAAGACCTATAGACTTCGTGTGTATGACCGAGAAAGTGACCGGAGATTCACAAGACCTATAGACTTCGTGTGTATGACCGAGAGAGTGACCGGAGATTCACAAGACCCATTGACCTACTCTGTATGACCGACAAAGTGACCAGAGATTCACAAGACCTATATTCTTCGTGTGTATGACCGAGAAAGTGACCGGAGATTCACAAGATCCATTGACTTACTCTGCATGACCGAGAAAGTGACCGGAGATTCACAAGACCTATAGACTTCGTGTGTATGACCGAGAAAGTGACCGGAGATTCACAAGACCTATAGACTTCGTGTGTATGACCGAGAGAGTGACCGGAGATTCACAAGACCCATTGACCTACTCTGTATGACCGACAAAGTGACCAGAGATTCACAAGACCTATAGACTTCGTGTGTATCACCTAGAAAGTGACCGGAGATTCACAAGATCCATTGACTTACTCTGCATGACCGAGAAAGTGACCGGAGATTCACAAGACCTATAGACGTACACTGTATGACCGAGAAAGTGACCGGAGATTCACAAGACCTATAGACGTACACTGTATGACCGAGAAAGTGACCGGAGATTCACAAGACCTATAGACTTCGTGTGTATGACCGAGAAAGTGACCGGAGATTCACAAGACCTATAGACTTCGTGTGTATGACCGAGAAAGTGACCGGAGATTCACAAGACCTATAGACTTCGTGTGTATGACCGAGAAAGTGACCAGAGATTCACAAATTCCATTGACTTACTCAGTATGATGCGGACTCACCTGTGGGGGTGACCAGCGTCGACAGGATCTGGCAGTACCTGTAGCTCGCCGTTCTGAATTATAAATATAGTTACCTTTTCACTCTTAAAATTATCGTTTGTTTAGTTTAACATATCACTGACTGTTATGGTTATATGGCTAGTGAGGGCGATATTGGGTTTCACGTCGCGTTAAGCATTATACACATTTTGAAATAATATAGGCTGAAAATAGAAACTCCTGAAATACGTCCAACCTGAGGATTGAAACACATCTATGATCCCCGTGTCAACGACATCCCCATTGAAAAACATTTCATGTTTGGTTCATTTCGACATCATCAGACATAGTTGTGTATTGTTTTTGCCCTGCTGTTTACATAGTTCCAGGCTAGGCTTTATTGGCGATTACATTAAACGTATCTTAGAGTTAACAAAACAGATGTCGAGACAGACCGTGACGCCAGCAGTGACGGAAGCGGTGTAACTTGGGTTGAAGCATATCCCATCATCTTTGATGCAGGACGGAGAGATAAACTCCGGGCCCTGGTCGACCCGTCGACGATGTTGACACTGATCGCGGTGTAGGCGTAATGAGAATTGCCAGACGAAGGGTTGTCCTGTGCATACAACGATTCAGCGAATAATATCATGGCACATGTTAAAACAAATACCTAAATTCATGCCATTGGCAATTAATTACTATAACCTGACACTAGAAAGCTAATACAGCTAATAGCTTTTGTCTGAGAGGTTAACAGACAATGTAATCCATGTCTGAGTCAGTGAATGAGTGAGTGAATTTGAACCTACACCGATTAACTGTGGTTCCTGATTTCATACTATTAAATGTGTTCTGTTTTATACAAAACGATTAATACTACGTTCAACTCATTTGGGGGGCGGTGGGGTAGCCTAGTGGTTAAAGCGTTGGCTCGTCACGCCGAAAACCCGGGTTCGAATCCCCACATGGGTACAATGTGTGAAGCCCATTTCGGGTGTCCCCCGCCGTGATGTTGCTGGAATATTGCTAAAAGCGGCGTAAAACCATACTCAGTCAGTCAGTCAGTCAACTCATTTCGGGCGTGAATATATACGTCCCGATCACATGCATCAAACCAAGTCACCGAGCCTGACCATCCGATCCCGATAGCCGCCTCATATCACAGGCGTGGGTTACTGAGGATCCATTCTAACCCGAATCTTCCCTGGGTTATTATTCTCAAAGTCTAAAAATCGGGCTCACGCGCTGGTCTTCATTTGGCGCATGCACCTTAGGAGAACCATGGCAACGGACTTAAACTGGCAAACCGAATACAGCAGGTTGTGTACCTTTGCTGCAACCTCCAAGACTATCTGTGTGTTTGGTGAAGTCAAGCGTTGACGACGTAACCACTCAAACGTTGGGGTCAGGAATCGAGAACAAGTCGGCACCATTAGTCTGGGGAGAAGAGCATTCACCAATGGAAGCTTTTAGTGGCATTTAGAACGTATATGGACGTCAACGTCTGAGGAAAGCGTAAGAAACGCCGCGTTCTTCAAAATAGTGAGTATGGTTTACGCCGCTTTTAGTAATATTCCACGGCGGGGGACACCAGATATGGTCTTCACATATATTGTACCCATGTGGGGAATCGAACCCGGAGTAACAGCCGGAATCTGTGATGTACTCATTGACATTTTGGTTCAGGAAATGTTTTAGTTCATCATTAATGTCATTGTTCATATGCTGAACCACTCGATCTCGGATAGTGCTGTGACTGTCTTCGGATCCTGTCAGGCTGTAACTGATGCAGCGGAAGTAGCAGTTGCCGTCGCCTTTGGTTCTGTATGTCCGTCGGGGAGCTGTCAAGTCTGTTGATCTTCCGTAATAAATATCCTTCGAGCATTTTGGGGGATAGGGTTGAACAAACGGGTTGACTTGATTTGTTTGGTAGTAAGGTCTGTATGGCCGCCTGACTCCAGTTCATCTCTAAATCTTTTTCGTTGCTTCGAATCACTGGGTCTTTCGGCGTTGTCGTTAGTGGGTGGGTCATTGGAGTAGATTTTGAGGTTACTGGCGTGGTATGTGTTGTTCAGGATCTTGTTGGTTTTCACGTTCTGTAGCTTCACACGACCTTTGGTCAATGTCTGGACGACGGAGTATGGTCCAGTCCAGCGTGGCTCCATCTTGGCTCCAATCCTCTGGACTCGTCGGTTATTCTTGATGTACACTGTTGACAAAGCACTTCGGACACGTCTTGACATATTCTTGCACGTCGTTCTTCATACCTTTCCAATAATAACGCGAGGATAGACCATCAAATCTCCCAAAACAATAATAGAATAATTCCACTTTTTACCATCTTAAAATTGTTATAAATATGTATATATGTTTTTTTAACTTTTTTTTGGTTCCACCTCATTTCTTAATAAGTGTAATTCCCCGTCGCCGAAATACCTTAGTTAAAGCAGATAAAGCAGATAACTAACTACTAACCTTGATGATAACAAGCGAACACTTTAACCACTAGGCTACCCCACCGCCCCTCTACAGAAGTCCTCCACCACACTCCTGTTATATTCGGGAATGAGCCGTTACGGTAAATCATCTCTGAAAGATCCTTCCGCAATATTTTCGGCATATCCTTCACAATCATATGCACAAAAAAACAATGACAATAATGTTAGTACTTCACCACAATCACCTTTCTTCACTATAAATAGTTAATGTAGCTAAACATTGAAATGTGTTTAGCTCTGGTTGTCAGTTGCTCATCCCAACATACCGATCCAGGACTTATATGTGATCCGTCCATTTTCACCCATGACACATTCTGTGGCAGATATAGCGGAGAAGACAGTTGTACCGCTTCGGGCGAGCTGAAAAAAGTATGTCTTACGCAAATATGCTTTTGTTTTTTGCGCTACCAACCTTTCTTAAGGCATGCACTCACTCGCAGGCACACACACACACACACACAGAGAGAGAGAGAAAGAGACAGAGAGTACGCCCACTTACAAGCGCGCACGCACACACACACACACACACACACACACGTGCAAACACCACACGCACACAAAAGTAACACATTCAAATAGTAAGCGGTCCGTCCCGTAAAGCTAACGTAGCACTGAGCTGATTGCAACTCCCATACGTTAACAAAGTCTTACGACTTGCTCTGTAGCTGCGCTACGATCGTTTTGTGGAACGGAGATAAGATTTGTAACCAGGTCAACACATGTACCTGGAACGTTTTTTAAAACGCAATATTTCCCCGACGGTGTACGGGACAAAAACACATTATATAAATATTCAAAAAGTACAACCATTTTAAATTTCCCCAGACCTCACTTTTCAGGACAGCGGGCATACATTGTTAACCTGTTGCAGGAGTGCTAACTCAGAACTGTCAAGAATTGTACGGAAAAATATTCAAAATGTGCAGGGTAGTTGTCTGGATTTCAACTTGTTCCTATTCTTTAGGTGTGCCATTTCGTTGCCTTCACCAGTCAAGCGTCATATTTTATTGATACTGTAACGGTTCAATGGGGGTAAAACGAGAAAAATATATTTTATTTAAGTAGCATGTCTGTTCTGTGGACCACTCTCACTTCTACCCTGTTAATTACAGTTTTTACCAATAAAAAGAAATAACTTGACAACATGAAGTTGAAACAATGAACAAGGATTTATTACACATAAATTTATCACAGTCAATAATGTCAAATATTATTTAAATCAGAACAAACTTCTGATTAAGTAAGTACTGTCTCAAGCAAAGCTTGGATATATTATACTTACATAATATTGTGGTGTTCTCGGTAGATACCGGTGAAAATATATATGGAAAATCTGCGACTCGCATACACCACAATCAGTCTAGAACTGTCAACTGTCAACTGACAACTGACCAGAACTACGTCACAATCCTCATGACGTAATTTGTTTACAATCAACAAGCAAAACATATTAATTTATTATTGGTGCAGAATAATAAATGTAGAGCGTCACAGGACTCATTATAATTGTGGAAATGTCTTTTGACCCTTAAAATACAGAATTTGCAAAAGTAATTTTGTCAACGAACTGTGTACACATAAACTCATGACGTCATCATCAAATATGGCCGCCTCCATGGATAACATTGCCGAAGCAATAGCTCTGACGAAACGACAGTTAAATATAAGTTCTATCAGGTAAAAAGGATATGGATTACAATGTACACAACATCGAGTAGTTTTTTAATGTTATTCAAACGGTATTACATCTCACAATCCAAAGACTGAGGATAAATGCAATGAAACTCACTGCCTATATACCGACGGGGAAAACTCGTCGAATGGAAACACACCGGAATTAACCCGAGGCCAAATGCGAGAAAAGATAATTAGGGCTGTATATTACAATACTATCAATAGCCCTTATCGTGTACCGAACTGTTTCAGAGTAATGAAAAAGAAATTAATATCTACTTTTGAACTCTCCCTACTCTCGAAAATAAGCTCTTTCAAGGATTGTTTTGCAATCTGACCTCATTGACACTGAAACTGTATGACACGTTGATAAAGGTGGGGAGGCAGTCGTTGGGACTTCTCCCAGGAAATGCTGCCTTGTCGAACCAACCAAGAACTTTCCGGAGAATATGAAGGCTCCCCAACACTGCAGCCTTCTGCATTACCCAGAGTGTCAGAAGGGCTGTGCTCCCGATGGAGAACCCGGGCACACTCCTGATCTGCGTCAAGAGATCGATGGGGAGTCTGACGACAGTGTACTTGGGATGCAAGCAAGACACTTCCCGAGGTGCCAATCACATGGACAGGTCTCTGATAAATTCATTACACAAGAATGGCGGCACTTCATGTTATTAATAATACTATTTTCTTTTCCAGACGCCCTGGATCACATTTGAGGCGATTGCGAGTCAAATGCCAAGTGACATGGTCCTGAGCAGCAAAAGATGTTGGACAGCCGTCAGTTTCACATTTTTAAAATACCAGGGCGACTGCGAGTCATCCAGCAGCAAAAAGGAAGCCCTCAGTTTCACATTTTAGACCAGGCGACTTCATCCAGGCAAAGAAGTCGGTTGGATTGCTATTCTGTTCCGCACACTGCATGTACAAATGATGCAATGGCTTCTCAGAAAGCTTCTCCACAAGAAGCAGACACGACTCTAAGCAGACTTGGTGAATAACTCCACCTGGTTTACTCCCATTGCTGTACCGTCCAGCAGTACATCGCCATCAACAAAATCAACCTCACATTTCAGACTGCGGTTTTCAGCATGACGAGCGAGCGCTTTAACCATTATGCCACCCCACCGCCTCGGAGAAGAAGTGAAACTCGAGACATTACCAGATTGCATAATCCCTATCCTGGAGAATATGAGTCTTGAGATCAAGGATGAAGTCATATCATTTCGTACACACGCATCTGAAATCAATGGATATCTACAATAACGCTCACATCAGGAACATGCTATTATATATATGGATGTTGTGGACATTTCTTTTTTCTGCATAACGCTTTCATGAATATGTTGGGTTTTCAAATGTTTGACATACTCCGCAACTAATGGAGGCAATAAAGAACTTTCATTCGTTCGTTCATTAGTTCGTTCTGATTTCTCTACTTGATGAAGCTTACCAATTGATGGTTGTCGGTACATTTCAGCGTGTATTCCATCATATTCTTATCTTCAAGTGGGGTAGCTCCATGTAAGCATGAAAACTCATGATTCAGTTCTACTACCGACAATGTTGTACTTATTACAATGAACTGCGGAATAGTACTGTGTGTACTGTCATTTGCAATGACAGTTAAGCTACAATGTCTAATGATCTAATAGGGCATTCTATTAGTTTTGTAAAGGAATACAGGGTAAAATGTATCCACTCCAGTTGGTAAACAATCAACATTCGTCTTCGGTGTCAGCATGGGGAATGTGCCTTTTAATATTTTTGCACTTACATCAGTTAAACGTTAACGTTTGCATACACCAAGAAGCTGTCATGAAGTTTCTCGTTATTGCTCCAACTGGTTAGAGTATTCGTTGGTTACACTGAGGCTGGTATTCCATTCCTTAGATCACTACAATGTGTAACGCCCATTCTAAGTGTTGAACGTGAAATCTAAGTCATTCTTTACTTCTCTCCAATCTTACATCTTATATTAAAGCCCATTATAAGTTTTTCCTATTCATACATATGTCACTATGTTTACGTTATTACTGAATTGGTATTATTAAAATGCACCGGAACTGTTTCCTTCATACCTCTGTCTATGTTCTTCAGAAAGTCAGAAAGTGAAACCTGTGCCAGTGGATGGACAACCTGCAGATGCCACGTGCTTACTTTCTATCCATCAGTCCGTGGTCCCTTGTTCAGGTTGAAGAAGGGGTTAATGTCCAAGAATGTCAGATCCTTATTGGTAGTTATTCCCAGATCTGCATCTTGGCTTTGCTTGTTGCCTAGATACACATCGTGCAACACGTAGCAGGCATTCACAAGGAACCGGGTGTACATGTAATGTGTTTAAAGTATGAGCGACATGTGAAATACAGCAATCTAAATTCAAATTGAAATATTTTCAGAGCTTTGTGTGACCCTTTTCTCGTCACAAGTGTGATATTTAATGATATCTTTCATTGTCGGATTATGTTATTCGAAAATATCCGAAGCAAACCCCGATTTCTAATTTAAAACCCCGTTTGGTCTGACATGCGTTGACTTTTGTTTGTTGATTCACGTCGAACTGAGTACTCTTCAAGCAATATAATGATCTGCACCAGACAGATATTATTAGCATCGGTCTATTTGCGAGGGTACTATGACACGTAAACAAACAAGTCGCCAAGTCAATCATCAGATCCTGCATGAGGCGACATAATCAGGTTGTTTGGGGAAAGTCTAATCCGTTCCCAGTGGACTCTGACGTAATTAGCTCAACGTCTGTAAGTCAGCCTCAGTTTGACATCAGTCACACTTACTCTCAATTTCCTGCAAGGAACTAGATTAATGAACGGAAGTTCGTAATGTCCCTTCGGCCGCGAGGTCGTAACAGTTTGCTGCAATAGGACCTACTTACGGGCCCTATAGACGATAAAACGATGCATATGTATGTTTATCGTGCCTCACACATAAATGTCGTTTTCTGATTGGCTGAGCGCTCTTCTATTATTTTCAATGTACCTCGCTTACAAGCGAGTAACATTTTCTATGTACCCCGCTGGGAATGCCGAACTCATTTGGTACTTTCTAGTAGTAATTCTTTATCTCGAATAACACGCATGATGTACGGAAATTACCGATGTTTTGCGAATGCAAATCGAGGAAGGGAGATAACTCTAAATTTGTTTTTCTTGTCTTGTCGTCTTGTCGTCTGGTACTCCATACTATGATCCGATACCCGTGCTTCAAACAGTTCAAAATTACCTTTGAGGTGTTCGGTAAGATAAATACGTTGTTCACTGGTCCCTCGGGGCCGATGGGTTGATGTACCCTCGATGTTTGTTTATGTTCCATCAGCCCATGTCCCCCTCGAGACCAGCGAACAATTTATAATGTATGTATGTGTGTGTGTGTTTGCATATATGTATGCATGCATGTATGTGTACGTGTGTCTGCATGTAGGTATGTGCGTTTACAGGCGTGTGTGTCACATACAGTATCTGTGTTAACAACTAAGGAAGGCCAGGAAGTTACTTTTTTCAGTTTCCACAAAAAACAACAACATTAATTACTTCTCCTCCTTTATCAATTGGCGATCGAGTCAGACTTTCTCTGTTCTCCTCAATACATCAGCCATGGGATTTTCAAAGCTTTAACTATGTCCAGCCGTAATGGTTGGGTATTATGCATACTCACTATAGACTTGGAACACTAACAAGAATGATACAAGTACAATGCCCTGGAACGGTGCTGCCATGATGTTCATGGTCAAGGACAGCTTTTCAAACGATTTTTCTTTACAAAGATACTTCATTGCAAAAGGGACCCGTGTCGTCATGAATATACTTCTACATACCTCCCCTGGTGAGATACGGTGTGATCCTGCGTTGACAGACACCGAAAGATTAACTCAACATAGTTGTGTCACAGATAGCGTAATTAATGGTTAATTAATGCTACCCATGAGATGGCAAAAGGCCATTGTTATAATTGGTAATTTGTTGTTCTTTTTCTGTGACCCATGGCAACTTCCAGAGTGAATTGAGACTAATCATATTAACAGTCTCGACAACCGTAAATCCCTGATAATCGAACGCGATTGGATCCCGAGGCCTGTTCCGTGTGATTGTGCGAGTGTATGTGTGCGTGTGTGCGTGTGTGTGTTCGGGTTTTTTGGAGGGGGGTGGTGAGGGGGAGTCGGTGTCGATGTCTTGTCTGATACATGTTGCTGTACACCAACGGCGTGGTTGGCTGCTCAAAATCACCGGATCGTGTGGTCCAAACCTGATAACTTACAGACTGACGTAATATAGCTGGAATCCTGCCCAGTAGAGTGTCTAAATTAAACAAATATATAGCGTCACCAGAGGACAACGCATCTCAAACATCTGCAGAAAGAGATTCCAGATGGGGCCTCAAAAAGAAACTAACAGTGGAAATCAAAATAAAAGGATCACTGAAAGTCAGTGTGGAAACCAGGTGTCACTTAATCGGAGCCAATTTCCAATTCGAAGCGATGACCAAAATAATAATGGCCATTTATAAAGCGCCTCTTTCCACGCACTTGTGCATCCTCACAACGCTGACAAAGTATAACCGTGGATAACCCTGTGAGGCGCTAGAAGGTTAACAGTGGGACCTAACCCACCGGGTACCCATTCACTGCAGGCTGAACAGAGGCATTTCATGAACTCACTTGCCTAAGGTGAAACCATATGTGTCATCAGATGCTAATGGCAGTTAACGCTTTACAGATCCGTTGCATTACCGCCTCAAAACCGAAATGAGATAAATGAAAATCAATTTTCTACCTTTTATTAGAAAAGAAGAACGCAAATTATACATATTTTCTGGACTTACATGTGTGAATAGACGTCATTGTAACTGAAACAATTTCTATGAAAGACAAATATAAATAAGTTTCATGATATATGAAGAGAAGTTATGTGTACATAAGTAATCATGTCAATGTACACAAATACATATAGGTTATAGCAAACTAACATTTAAACCAATATTATTTAGTGTGTTTCGGTATCGTTGTCATACATTCGGAACAGTAGTATCCAAACCTCACTGACAAAGAACTCGGGATAGTCACCCAGCAACGATAAGGGGGTTTCGAGAGCTCGGGAAAACTCGGGGAAGTTCGGGCATATGTCTGAGCAGATCCTAAAATGTCCTTTGTTGTGGTAGCAATGATTAAACATATTGTTTTCATTTTGTATCATATATTTACCACGTGGAATCACGGGTAATAACACAATCAATAGTCACACATATTATATAACATTATTCTTAAAGTAATCGAAAAATAGTTTAACTCGTTGAAATAGCATTACAACAATCGATTGATTACTATGTTTAGCTAATCGCCCTATTCATCATTACAAGGTGACTCGTAGCGAACTTTTTTTCACATCGAAAGACTGCTATCTGAACTATTTGGGGAACATAGGGAATTGTTTATTTCGCACGTATAGTTCGCATCAGTATTTTGTAAATTATCTTAAAAATGCCACGTTAAATGAGCTCATTTGCATATGTTTTTAGATTGTTATAGCAGGTATGTCGGATTTGATCATTTAATTACACGTGCCATTATATAATTGCGGTAATGGCGTCCTTAACGTTAGAATGACATAGAAACGACGGCCCTGTCGCCGTAATAATCGGACAGTTAATAGTTTGAATACCATGCTACCCTTCACTTTTGTATCTTAATCAGGGAGGCAACTCAAAAGTGTTACCAGTCTTATATGTTTGCCACTTTGGAAACAACCACGACCATTGGGATGGTGCTGACAAGCCTACAGACACAATTGCTGCGAAACAACGATCATAGAATCCAGGCGTGCTACGGGACGCAGCTCTACATCCACTTGCAATGCCGTAAACGACTTATGCAGGGGTCGCGATACAAAACTCTTATGGTAACATTGGCACATAATATGTGACCTCTCTGAAAGGAAATCCTTAAGCTCTAAAACAAATCATTCTTGGATGTCTCGTCGTTGGCACTGCTTTTTATTTCGAGCTTATGAGGAGAAAATATTATGTAATGTTTAAATTAATTAAGGCATTCTTGTGATACATACACAATGATACATATTTCTATATTTATACTCTTCGCCGAGTGAAAATTATGTTGCCTTCGAAATATCCTGAATTGGTACATGTAAAGGTACATATATAACGTCGATGTCTCCATTTTCCAATTATCTATATATGTTATCCATATGAGATTTTGTTCACTATTAATTATTGTCTTTAATGATTAGAAAACTTAAAAACCCGTTACGTTAAGGATAGCCAGTATCTATATGGTCCAATCATAAAACTGGTACATAACGGCAATATTCACAGGCAATATATACAATCTATCATCATAATGACAACAATTTTCCTAATAGTACACGATCTGGCCAAATGCATGATGAATCCCGTTATAAGGAATTCTGTGAATCCCCAAAGGAATTCACCAATTGTTGTTCTGGGGGCAGGCGTTTGTTTTTGGAGTCCAATATTTTCCTCAACAAATTTTTATTAGGACATGAAGCATGTCCATCGAATATATTTTGTGTTAAAGACAAATTATTTGTCCACGTTTTCTTTCTGGAACAAAACATTTTTCGAAACAATTCCAGGTTTCTGAATATTAACTATTGGTACAAAATCAACATCCGGTTTGCCAAATATTAAATGAACCGATGTAGAGTAATGTCCCTTTGTATGTAGACACTCTTAAATATGAAAGTCCGGACGTTTGGGGTTCCACTGTAAAAGCCTTTGGAGGCAGTTCTGTTTCGAGTAAAGCGTTACATCGGGTTCTACAGCGAACCAGTAAGAAATATGAAGAAGCTGGAACGCTGCATCTTCCACAGTTCAGTTCATCCCCTTCGAACAAATGGTTGCGGATGCACCTTCAATGAGGTTATGTCCCTTGACAGATAATCCTCCACCATGATGTTTCTGCTGCGAAGAGTCATCGGCAGTCTAACAGTGAAGTGATAAAGGAATCCCATTCTTGTCATATCAAAACTGACCACAGCAGAACTAATTTCGAGTGGAACCTTCAACTGTCTGAATATCGGTGGACTGTTGTACACTGCGGTGTATCGGTTTAGAGTTGCTTTCTGTTGTATTGACTTCACGTCGTACTCTGCTTTGGGAGCAGTGGCAGCATATATTTTCTTTATGTCATTTGATTTCTTATATAGGATGTCCCTGTGAAAATCACCAGGGGCGAGGGGAGTCTAAACTCAGGATACCTGCCGCCTGGCTGGATGAATGTACATATCCTTCTCGGGTACGTAACTGGGAGTGATTTTGCATTAAAACTACCATCGACTTTGAAGGAAACCACGAGGATCTTTGGTGGAGATGGAAGCTGCTGTCTTAAGTAACATTTCTTGTATCCCGAAATGGGCTTCCGAAGGCGTAATCTTAGTGTGTATGTGTTGTAATGAGGCTTAAACTGCCACTGTTGGTCATTCTGGGGGGTGCTGGTATCAACTTTCTTCGGTTTTTCTTTCACCCTCAAGACGTGTGACTTCTGGTATCTCTTGACTTGCCTCGGCTTAGGTGATGGTTTTGGGATCTTCTTTGCTTCTTCGGTGGTTTTCACGTATTGTTTTGGTGGCATTGGTGTTTGCGTTGTGGTTGGTTTAGGCTTGTATGTGTACGGTTGCTTATAGACACGTCTTCTTGTTGGAACAGGCTTGTACAGGCCACCTGGAATCACAGCCACGTGATGCGTCTTTTTCGGTACCAGCTGAGCTCTCTGAAAGTTGTTTGCCCATGGATTTCTTTGAGGTGTATAATAAGCTGTGGCTGTATGGCGAGCTGGATACCCAGAGTTAAAATAGACTGGCGGCATCCGTTGCCTCCAGTACTGTAGAACAGAATAATGTACAGGATTGTAAACAGGATATCGGCGTGAATAGTAACTAGGATTCTGGATAGGGTAGTGACCAGGAGTCCGGACAGGATAGTGACTAGGATTCTGGACAGGATAGTGACCAGGGTTTTTCACAGGATAGTGACCAGGGTTCTTCACAGGATTGTGGCCAGGGTTCTTCACAGGATAGTGAGCAGGGTTCTTCACAGGATTGTGGCCAGAGTTCTTCACAGGACTGTGGCCAGGGTTCTTCACAGGATTGTTGCCAGGGTTCTTACCAGGATAGTGACCAGGGTTCTTACCAGGATTGTGTCCATTGTTCTTTCCAGGATTGTGCCCAGGGTTTTTACCTGAATTGTGACCAGGGTTCTTTACAGGATTGTGACCAGGGTTTTACAGGATTGTGGCCAGGGTTCTTCATAGGATAGTGACCAGGGTTCTTACCAGGATTGTATCCATTGTTCTTTCCAGGATTGTGCACAGGGTTTTTACCTGAATTGTGACCAGGGTTCCTACCAGGATTGTGTCCATGTTCTTTTCCTGGATTGTGGCCAAGGTTCTTCGCAGGATAGTGACCAGGGTTCTTCGCAGGATTGTGACCAGGGTTCGTACCAGGTTTTGTGACTGGTTTCTGTATTTGATGTTGTGTTGTGTTTTTGAAAGCGACCTGTCTAGGATTTTGATTCGCATTTAGAAAAGGGTTTGTACCAGTCATTTGAGGTGGTTGTACAGGATGTGTCTGCCGGAAAGCTGGAATCCGTAGCCGGATTGGAATTCGTATACGATATAGTGGTTGGAAATAAGCTCTCCTCGTGAATGGTACAGACTGTCCATGCCGTGTGTACCACTCTAACATTGACGGGCAACGGTAGAAGCAACCATGTCTGGCTGATGTCATTCCACGATGAAGTGCCCGAGAGGCATCCACCTTATTTGCATCCCTAGCGACCGGATTAACTGATACCTTTGAGCGTATACTTATCTCTGGCATGCGATAGGTAGATTTCTGCTTTCTTTCGGTTATATTCTCTGCCTTTATTCGAATTTCTTTCGATGAACTGTCTATATTCAAGTCTATAAATGGAACAGCTGTTGTTGTCGAAGCAATATTGATTGGCTTGCGAGTTTGTGTTAGTTTTGATAAGTGGGGACGTTTTCGGGTGTTGTACGATATAGTTATCTTCGGCACTGGCGTTTTCTTCAGAACAGGTTTTGGCGGCTGGGTCGGTTTCCTTGACTTTATGATCCTACGGATCTTTTTCACCCTTCGTGACTTTTTCGGTTTTCGTGAACTTTGTCCCTTCCGTGATCTTTTGGTGTATATCCTCTTCCTAGATCTTTTAATTGGCCTTGATGTGATGGACACTTGTAATTTCTTTGTGCTTGAAGATGTTGCTATGGGAGTAGTTGGTGCGGGAGTAGTTGGTGCTGCCGTAGTAGTGAATGCTACTGTGGGGGTTATTCGATCCCCCTTTGAATGCCGATGCAACATTTTAACCATTAACGACACGGGCTTACGTCTCTTCTTCTTTTTTCTGGATGGACGAACTTTCTTGGACATTCTCTGCGTTGGCACCGTGCTTTCTGTGGATGTCGACATTCGTGTTCTGGATTCAGGTGCAGTTGACTCTGTTGCCGGAGAGGTCGTTGTGACTGAAATGGATGCAACATGAACTCAGTATTCAACCAACACATTATGCCTCGGTGAGTGAGTGAGTGAGTTTAGTTTTACGCCGCACTCAGCAATATTCCAGATTTATGACGGCGGTCTGTCAATAATTGAGTCTGGACCAGGCAATCCAGTGATCAACAGCATGAGCATCGTACTGCGCAATTGGGATACGATGACATGTGTCAACCAAGTCAGCGAGCCTGACCACCCGATCCCGTTAGTCGCCTCTTACGACAAGCATAGTCGCCTTTTGTGGCAAGCATGGGTTGCTGAAGACCTATTCTACCCCGGATCTTCACGGGTCTTATGCCTCGGTGAAACATTGGAAGTACGTGTGTAAGATATCATTATGAGAAAACCTCCTTATGGGTGACGTTTTCATCATAGTGATGCATCACTCCATTTCTCATGTCTCTACATTAAACTCAAATTTATCTCTATGTTCCCTAAGGAGTATACAAACCGAGCATTTGCATGAGGCGCTAGAAGGTTAAAGTCTTCTTTGACATGATATTGACAATATGCATGCAGTGTATGAAATAAGGCCCGTCCGACCGCCCCAGACGGGTTAGATTTCAGACGGACGGTCTAGATTTACAGCTAGCCAGCCCGATGGTCTGGTAAAACATTGAGACGTTATATACACCTGAGGCCCATATTGGTGTTTGGTCTGGTTATATCAATTTTGGACTGGTAACAGTTTGAAGTTACCAGCCCTGATGTCTGGCTGGGGTTTTGGCTTATTTCATACACTGATGCATGGACAACCGGTATAGTCGGCTGCGACCAAATAACACCCGAGTTTTAATAAACTCAGCACTCTAATGATTCCGAAACATCTCATGGGTTAAACACAAAGGGCATATTCCTACAATAGGCGTCTCAATAGCCAACCAGTCTTATAAACAAAAGACCAAAGTCACTTTGTATGGGCAGGGAAATTCATTCTAAACTTTCCAACAATACAAGGTACCTGACCCACAAAGTATATATACTCACAATCATTAAACACGGTACTTGATCATAAAAGTACCTAAACTCTCAATTGTAAACATAGGTACGTCAGCTGAACTAGACAATCAAGCTGGTTATCCACGGTTCGCTAAGAAAAACGGACTATGACCAAAAATATAGCTAAGACGTTTAGCTCAGTGCACGTGCCACAAGAGTAAGTCAGAACCCAGATTTAGCGATGGAATGGTTCTGGAACTATCGGGACAACGAGCTGATGCACCTTGTTCCGTTTCCAAGGTGTATGGATCGACGTTGTGTCTTTAATGACCCCAACGCCCGCGTTCCCCGTGCACGAATCGTCGTTGTTTGCATCGGACAACACAATATCCATAAAATGCTATGACTAGCGATGAACCGCACATGAACCGCACCTTGCACCTTGCCCCGCACATGACGTGATAAGGAAATGAGCGCGTCAACGTTATAAGCCGCAGAATGTTTTGGCTGAAAATGTCCAGGCAAACGGTGTCGTGTAGACTTTGTCACATCGGCATTTGTAGACTCGTGCGCAGTATGCCTCATGGAGTAAACCATTGTTTGACAAATCATACTGGTATTGCGCACTACTGATTACATACTTCCCGTTTTACCTTGTTGGTTGGTGGATATAACATCTATCGTTATACAACCTGTGAAGATCCGGGTTAGAATTGATCTTCAGGAATCCATGCTTGTCGTAAGAAGCGACTAACGGGATCGGGTGGTCAAGCTTGCTGACTTGGTTGACACATGTCATCGTATCCCAACTGCGTAGATAGATGCTCATGTTGTTGATCACTTTATTGTCTGGTTCAGACTCGATTATTTACCGACCGCCGCCATATAGCTGGAATATTGCTGAGTGCGGCGTAAAACTAAACTCCCTCACTCTACCCTTACACTCTATAAACGTCTTAACATTTCGTTTCATACAACAATTACTAGAAACCTATAATTAAGAAACAATCACAACTTTCCAAATATTAAGCAAATCATGCTACCCTTACATATTTACAGAGTATACAATATTTAAATAACACACCTTCAGTGCACACTTTCTTCATGAACACACTGTCTTTCTTGTGGGAAAGGGGCGTGTCTCCTTTGAACAGGTAACAAGAGCGGCTGTAAAAGTCAAACTCTGCAGCAGTGCACCACGATTCGGAGCTGCAAATCTCCTTACAGTTGTCAGGATTCGCCATAAACTTGTAATCTCGCCAGTCATCGTTATTTCCCGCAGTATCAGCCAACCCAGTGAAGGTACAGACTTGTTTACCTGGAAGTATGTAATCAGCGTTACATTTACAATGCACGAATATAGTCTAATGTAATGAAGAATGGAAAGGATTCACTCAGTTCAATTTCCAATCATTATTGTTAAATATGTCCGTCGATCAGTTACACTATGTCAAATATACACGTTTGGACAGTGTGTTACATCTACTTGGATGACATATCACGATTACGATGGGTGACAGTGTGTTACATCTATATGGATGACATATCACGATTACGATGGGTGACAAGGTGTTACATCACGATTACGATGGGTGACATTGTGTTACATCTACTTGGATGACATATCACGATTACGAAGAGTGACAAGGTGTTACATCTACATGGATGACATATCACGATTACGATGAGTGACAGTGTGTTACATCTACATGGATGACATATCACGATTACGATGAGTGACAGTGTGTTACATCTACATGGATGACATATCACGATTACGATGGGTGACAATGTGAAACATCTACATAGATGACATATCACGATTACGATGATTGACAGTGTGTTACATCTACATGGATGACATATCACGATTACGATGAGTGACAGTGTGTTACATCTACATGGATGACATATCACGATTACGATTGGTGACAGTGTGTTACATCTACATGGATGACATATCACGATTACGATGGGTGACAGTGTGTTACATCTACATGGATGACATATCACGATTACGATGGATGACAGTGTGTTACATCTACATGGATGACATATCACGATTACGATGGGTGACGATGTGTTACATCTACATGGATGACATATCACGATTACGATTGGTGACAGTGTGTTACATCTACATGGATGACATATCACGATTACGATGGGTGACAGTGTGTTACATCTACATGGATGACATATCACGATTACGATGGATGACAGTGTGTTACATCTACATGGATGACATATCACGATTACGATGGATGACAGTGTGTTACATCTACATGGATGACATATCACGATTACGAAGAGTGACAGTGTGTTACATCTACATGGATGACATATCACGATTACGATTGGTGACAGTGTGTTACATCTACATAGATGACATATCAAGATGACGATTGGTGACAGTGTGTTACATCTACATGGATGACATATCACGATTACGATGGGTGACAGTGTGTTACATCTACATGGATGACATATCACGATTACGATGAGTGACGGTGTGTTACATCTACATGGATGACATATCACGATTACGATTGGTGACAAGGTGTTACATCTACATGGATGACATATCACGATGACGATGGGTGACAGTGTGTTACATCTATATGGATGACATATCACGATGACGATTGGTGACAGTGTGTTACATCTACATGGATGACATATCACGATTACGATGGGTGACAGTGTGTTACATCTACATTGATGACATATCACGATTACGATGGATGACAGTGTGTTACATCTACATGGATGACATATCACGATTACGATGGGTGACAGTGTGTTACATCTATACGGATGACATATCACGATTACGAAGAGTGATAGTGTGTTACATCTACATTGATGACATATCACGATGACGATTGGTGACAGTGTGTTACATCTACATGGATGACATATCAAGATGACGATTGGTGACAGTGTGTTACATCTACATGGATGACATATCACGATTACGATTGGTGACATTGTGTTACATCTACATAGATGACATATCACGATTACGAAGAGTGACAAGGTGTTACATCTACATGGATGACATATCACGATTACGATGAGTGACGGTGTGTTACATCTACATGGATGACATATCACGATTACGATGGGTGACAGTGTGTTACATCTACATGGATGACGTATCACGATTACGAAGAGTGACAAGGTGTTACATCTACATGGATGACATATCACGATTACGATGGGTGACAGTGTGTTACATCTACATGGATGACATATCACGATTACGATGGGTGACAGTGTGTTACATCTACATGGATGACGTATCACGATTACGATTGGTGACAGTGTGTTACATCTACATGGATGACATATCACGATTACGATGGGTGACAGTGTGTTACATCTACATGGATGACATATCACGATTACGATTGGTGACAGTGTGTTACATCTACATGGATGACATATCACGATTACGATGGGTGACAGTGTGTTACATCTACATGGATGACATATCACGTTTACGATGGATGACAGTGTGTTACATCTACATGGATGACATATCACGATTACGATGGGTGACAGTGTGTTACATCTATATGGATGACATATCACGATTACGAAGAGTGATAGTGTGTTACATCTACATGGATGACATATCACGATTACGATTGGTGACAGTGTGTTACATCTACATGGATGACATATCAAGATGACGATTGGTGACAGTGTGTTACATCTACATGGATGACATATCACGATAACGATTGGTGACAGTGTGTTACATCTACATGGATGACATATCACGATTACGATTGGTGACAGTGTGTTACATCTACATGGATGACATATCACGATTACGATGGGTGACAGTGTGTTACATCTACATGGATGACATATCACGATTACGATGGGTGACAGTGTGTTACATCTACATGGATGACATATCACGATTACGATTGGTGACAGTGTGTTACATCTACATGGATGACATATCACGATTACGATTGGTGACAGTGTGTTACATCTACAAGGATGACAGTTACCTGCCCACAAAATAATTCAATAGTCCAAAATGTGAATGTAGACACGAGTTTCATCACTATGCTGCTAATATGGTGAACATATTTATCAAAATGACCCCATGAAAATTCACTTGCCAGTCGGGCCAGTAACAGTGGCGATTAACTGGCACGGGCTGGCGGGCAAGTGGCTATTTTGCACACTGGCTATGGATGACGATGTGCTACAGCTACATGGATGACCTGGAATGATCATGGTGTGTGACAACCTGTTACAGATGCTCAATCACACTTGTTTTTGAATCCATTCGATGTAACAATGGCAAATACTGATGTTTGTCTAAAGCACTTACATACCGCAACATATTGTAGCAGCCAGACACAGCAGTGCTAGACACAGGTTCCGCCTCACGTGATCATGCATTGGTCTGAAAACAGAAGCTCTGTAATTATTGCGGCGTAGAAATAGGAGAAGGTTTATATAGCTAGCAGTCGTGATCTTCTTTGCTCAGAAAATAAGTTACTTGGCGTAATGCCGATTATTAATATCAAAGAAAGGTTACAGTGAGTGAGAATGATTATATGCAGTTTTTAGCAATATTCCAGCAATATCACGACGTGAACACAAAAAATGGCCTTCACGCATTGTATGCATGTAGGGATCGAACCCGGGTCTTCTGCTAGACGAGCAAACGCTTTAACCACCAGGCTACCCCAGCGCACCGCCAGGAAAGAGGTGTAGGGTAGACCTTCTCACATCGGCATTTGTAGACTCGTACGCAGTGTTCTTTATGGAGAACTGGAATGTTTGACAAATCATGGCGGTATTGCCCACAAGTGATTCAGATGCGTCAATGTATTTGTTCATCTGAACGTCAATCCAGCGCTTTTAAGTATACTTGCAGTTTTCAGTGGTATATTCTTACTTATGACGCTTGTTCAGGTTTTTAAAATCATCTGATGCCGCCAGAAGAGGGCTCCGAACACATAGTACACATAGCAATATTCCAGCAATATCATGGCGGGGGACAACAGAAATGGGCTTCACACTGTACCCATGTGGGGAATCGAACCCGGGTCTGCGGCGTGATGAGCGAACGCTTTAATCACAAGGCTACCACACCACCCATGTCAAAGTGAAGATGATTGTTCTACAAATATGACCCTTGTAATTGTGCCAGTGTTTAGGAATACCTTCTACACACAGTCGTTTTATATGAATGTTCCTCCCCTCGTACCCGTGAAGGTCCGGGTTAGAATTGATCTTCAGCAACCCATGCTTGTCGTAAGAGGCGACTAACGGGATCGGGTGGTCAGGCTTGCTGACTTGGTTTACACATGTCATCGTATCCCAATTGCGTAGATAGATGCTCATGCTGTTGATTACTGGATGTTCTGGTCCAGATACGATTATTTATATGTATTGAATATTGCTGAGTGCGGCGTTAAACAACAACCAAACCAAAAACCGAAACCTACCGCTCAGATGCTATGTTGCTTTAATGTTTTATAGCTTTCTCATGGGCGTTCTCGCTGCATGGCCGTAGACATGCTTGCATCAAACATATATCTGCATCTTACGTGGGCGGCGTCGTCGAGTTACATTTTCCGAGAGGGACCTTGAGTCAAGAATCTAGCACAGTTTTAAACAGGATTTGACCTTTAAGTGCTAACCTCTTGAGACATGTGCTCATGCATAAACCTCACCGCCTTTTCTTCCGCTTGAATTTGCCTTTTATATTTACCATATGATTACATGACTTGTGTCTTTCAGCCTGTTATCCTCTAGTCTTTACAAGGCCTTGTAAAATAGATTATTGACAGAAATCTGATCCAGACTATTTTTGTATCACATCTATTTCAGTCAGCAAATAAAAGTTTGGTTAGGAGCATTGCATTTTCGAAATGCTTAAAGAATGACGTATGTGTTCAACACAGCTGAAAATGTGTTTGTGTCACATAAAGGTAATTAATAGAAAAGACATCGCACAAACCAATAGGTTTGTTTTTCTTTGTGAGTAAAAGTAATTTATGCCAGATTAAAATTCACACTTGGTGAAGAGTTACTTTTGTAGTCTGGAATTAGGGTTTTTATCAAAGGCTGTATGCTGAAATACCTGTGCATGTTACTGATAGGCCGTTGATGCGTACGATGTTGTGTTGACTGTTTTGGAACCAATTTATCAGCCAAGTCATTATTCGCATGGCCAAAGGCATTCCTTTGGTGTTAGATGTAGCGTCGCTAGAGCAACAGCTATGGGCTAGATCCCACTGTGTTATGTTCGAAGTATATGGCAAGTTAACTGCCGAGCAAAGGAAGGTGGCTTAAAATGAAACAAGGAATGGTTGATCAGTGGTGATGTATCTGATAGGGCTATCACACTTGTGTTTTGGAGTCTTCAGCTAATGTTTTCAGCTAGAATACCTTTTATAACATTTTTATTGTCTTCGTTATATTTTTTTTTCGAGTGTACACTTGGGATTTTTATAGTTATCCCCTCAACCCTCCCGGGAGTTATTGTTATTCGGCGCAAGACAGTTCTGACATATCATAAAATTAGTGAGTGAGTGAGTGGTTTTACCCCGCTTTTAACAATATTTCAACAATATTGGGGACACTCGAAATGGGTTTCACACATTGTACCTATGTGTGAAGTCGAACCCAGGTCAGTGGGCGACCACTAGGTTTCTTTAAATACTCTTCAGGTGTGAGACAAGGCTGCCAGTTGTACGCATTTTGTTTTTATTTTTCATCAATGACATTGTAGATGAACCGGAATGTGAAGCTTTAGAATTGTTCATTTTGTTCTTTGCAGATCATAACATGTTAATGGTTGCGTCTGATGTTGTCTGATACCTAATCCACATACTGCGACAAATAGAGTAACAATTACCATTGATGCTATTTCTTTTTTAAAGAAATACGTTTACAGCTTAGTAGAGCTTGTACTCAGCGCTCCTGTGAAACATTCAATATCATACCCTGTAAATGTAGCTGCATAACGGGCCGGTAATATCATCATCCTTATCCCAAGTAACAACTAAGTAACTCTCAAATCTCATAACATAATCATTTTTATAAAGAAACATGTCTTGTTTCTCTGACCTGGGTAGCAACTTACTTTTAACACATATCGTGAGAGTGACGGACACTAGGCCTTGTTTACCCTTTTCGCGGGCAACGGTCCTCATTATCACTGCTAAACGCTATCCATGGGTATATTTCGTCGCAACTTGTCTGTATGATTTAAAGTGTGGTTGGTCAGTTTCACATGGCAAATATGCAAATGTAATTTAAGACTTTTAGCGCCATGAACATGCACAAGTGCGCGGATACAGGCGCATTATAAATGTTCATTATTATTATTTAAATCTTAAAATTCGATGTCTCCTATGCGGCGTTCTATCTAAACTCATTCACACCGACAAATCAAAACATAGTTAACTCACTGGCAGTTCTAAAATATATCATGCATGTGAAAGTCACTTGAATAGAGCCGATACGGTTTCTAATTCTGGTTTCATATATTTCCGTGCAGCGCTATACAGTCCTCATCTGGTGTGCTAGGAGGTTTCCGTCGGGGCTGGAGCTCAGAGTCAGAACCAAGATGTCAAGGAGAGGCTAATTAATTTGTTTCCGAATGATTTTTCCATTAACAAAGCAGTTGAATTAGGGCTTCCGCATGTGTCAGAGTATTTTTAAGGTCGCAGTAATCAGCTGAACACATGTTTGAGTCTCAAACACAGCTGTAAAAATGCCGCCTGAAACATTACTTTTAAAGGGTTTTAAAGCTTTTGAAACAACATTTAAAAGCGTTTCAATAAATGAGTGCCCCCAGTGCATACTTCGAGATGAGGACACTGACTGACTGACTGACTGAGTTTGGTTTTACGCCGCTTTTAGCAATATTCCAGCAACATCTCGGCGGGGGACACCAGAAATGGGCTTCACACATTGTACCCTTGTGGGGATTCGAACCCGGGTCTTCGGCGTGACGAGCCACGGCTTTAACCATTAGGCTACCCCACCGCCCCAGATGAGGACACAGTTATTAATCAGTGCTATTGTTGGTATATTACACGAAAGATTGAAAAACTGTTGTAATATCTTTTGAATGTATTTTCACAAAAATAAATTAAACGCGGCAAACGTGGACCAACGACCTATTTGTCCCCATGGAAGAAAGAGCCAGCGTAAGTCACACAAAGGCATCTTTGCGTACATGGAAACTCATCAACTGTAAACATAAGCGGAGAACGTTGGTCGCAGACAGACCTATCTGCTCCCATGTATAATCAATTAACCGACAAAGCGTTGCTCATCTTGCAGCACGCCTGCCCTGGGATAATAGGTGTAAACTACATGAAATTACATACTTGAAACCTGAATTTGGTACAGTTACTAAACTTACATTATGAAACCGCTACTAGGTAAAATGTACAACTGTGATGTATCAAATATAATTCCATCAAAAATACATTTCTCGTGAGTTGTCTTTTTAGCCACCAAACTTAGAGTTTTTTGCACTGCAATAAAGTGCATGACTTATGTCAGTCGGATTAGGACAATGATTGTTTTGACCTTGGAAACAAAACATTAAATTTTCATATCTTGAATATGCATCCGTTCATCTGTTAGGAGGCTTTTGTTGTGTTCATGCTGATGTTTGATCTCTGGTTGTCTTGTGATAAATTCTTGTCATGAATCAACATAACCGGTTATTGTACATTCTTCTATTAATACAGAGTAACTTTGGTCACATTAAGGAATCATGGGGTCCTTACCACAGGTCCTCGTGTCTTTGCGAGAATTAAAGATTTTTTTGGATGACCCCCGAAATGCTTCACAGCACAATACATCATGACAAGGTACTCCTCGCAAAGATCTGTGGTTCGTATGACTACTTTCAGTTAGTATATAAAGTGTTTGTATAATGCTTTCCATGAAAAGTCAAATTTGTAACAAGATTTATCCCATTTATACAAGTTCATAGAGGTTCAAAATGGGTCCGTTGCGCAAAGCGATCGTTAGCGTAAGCCAATGTTTAAGTGTGTCAGGTTAAAGAGTTCCCCTAGTTAACTAAAGCGACCGAACCCTTTCGACTGTCATAAGTCTATTGTAAGTATGGAAGTTACCCAGCTAACAATTTCACATTGTCACAACGTTGTGGCACGTCATTTTACGTCGAGACAAGGTTAAAGTTATTTGATGTTAACGTGTTTCAAGTCGTCTTAACGTTCTATTTAACGTTAATAGTCGAATAGTTTTCCCAGTAGTGTTTCGAACAGTACATTAGAAAACAAAGCAGAAATTCACTTCAATGTTTATTAGCCAATTTGCATGTTGTTTTTGGTCGTGTGTTTTACTGAAGCTGTAGCTGTATAGTGAAGAAAGAATATCGAAGCGAACAGCTTTATAGAAAACTCTAACGTTGTTTTAACGTTTTGAGGAGCCCAAAGCATAACGTTTCTTCACCGTAAATTTGAAACGTTGTAATTACGTTGTGACATGACGTTATAAAATGACGTAATTCTAACGTTGTGACAACGTTGTGTCATGACGTTAGCAATCTACAACCCTCCCACATCGTTGCGAAAACGTTGTGTGTTAGCTGGGTACAATACACGTAGCGCTACAATCACTTTGAAATGGAACCTCGACCTTTCTGTGGACGTGATACATGAGCACTACCTGGTGCTAAAGATAGGATTGAGTGGCAAGTAGGGGTGAGGTTAGGGACCAGTTTGATTGTTCATTTTGTTCTAAATAAAATTGTTTCTTTGTTGTATGGATGAGCTATTGCTGACAACGGCTGTAGTCACAGAATTCACAGATGAAATAATATAATCACGAGATTCGCTGTGTTCACTCGATTTCAAGGTTAATTAAAAATATTCGAGTTGGTTATATTTTTGTTCTACCTTATCAATCGATAAAAGAATTACAAGAAAACAAAGATCGCTAAAAATAAAAGTTTTTCGCACGAAAGAATTTTTGACACAAAAGTGTGTCAATGACAGTAATGCTCTCACGTTACTTATAAGCGATCACATATTGTTCGATATACATGTGTGTTTTGCAATTACATGACGTTTCATCTCAACAACACTGATAACATGAAAACCGTCAAAACAGACAATGTAAAAACTTAAAACTTAGTAATTCCCCCTTTCAGTCCCCCTTAAAGATCCGGGTTAAAATGGTCATTGTACACAATAATATAGCTGATTGCTGATTACAGCATTGAACGACAACCAACATGTTGACGTTTACGGTTAACCGCTAATGGACTCGAATAAATAGTCCATCACTACGGGTTTTCAAAACTGATTTCGAGCTCTTTTTCGATTTAAATGAATATATATTTATTATCCATTCGCTACTTATGGTACGAAAAGTACAAGCAGATTGTGCTTAAAGAGGTTTTGAGAAATTTCCATTGTCCCTAAAGGCTTTAATTTATGACTAGTATCATGTGAACACAAACGTTGTTTATGTCATTACGATGATCAATAACTACTACTTGATGAATGTCAACAAAACGGGGCGGTGGGGTAGCCTAGTGGTTAAAGCGTTGGCTCGTCACGCCGAAGACCCGGGTTCGAATCCCCACATGGGTACAATGTGTGAAGCCAATTTCGGGTGTCCCCTGCCGTGATATTGCTGGAATATTGCTAAAAGCGGCGTAAACCAAACTCAGTCAGTCAGTCAACAAAACAACGCCATGTAATTTCGCATCAATTGGCTGGTCCTGCTAATTGCCCCCCAGCGTCACTCTTTCTTCAGTAAGAACTGCTGCTCAAAACCAAGTACACACTTAGAAATAAGATTCCAACAAGAAATTGCAAACATTTTTTACAAGAAAAATATGCAAAACACAACTATGACATCCATTAAATATTATAACTGTTTTTCCTTGGTTTCAGTTGTAGCCACAATAAAAAGGAAATAAGTAAAATAAAAAAAAGTAAATATTTTGTATGTCCTGACATTATATTATCATAGTAAATCTACGATTTATACGCGGAAAGTTCCATGGATGTCATTTACTACATTCCATCTCTGAAACATGTTCACTTCACATCTCGAAGAAATCGTTGGCATTCCGGGTTCGAATAAGATCCCAGTAACCTATCCTGGAGGGATCAGGGTAGATAACCTAGCTGATGGCGTGTACCAGTACCCGAACGTCGGGGATGGTATTCATGTTATCATCCATTGGTTTGTCTGGTTCAGATTGTGTTCTTGTAGCCCGAAGTGATATAGCTGGAGCATTGCTCACTGCGGCGTTCAACAACAAGCATATGGATGTAGTAACATCAAGGTAATTCACTCTAAATGAAACGTATTTTATCCATGTTGTAATAACATACACCTGCAGGTCGTTATCGGCTTGTATATTCTTAGCCTACTTTAAACATGCTGCTATCTGGCTTCAATTCAAGGTTACATGACCCAGGAGTACAAAGAACGCACCCTCCCAACCCCCCACCACTCCTGTATCTGACTAAGAACCTCTTCTCAAATGCAAAATTACCTTCGTCTATGTATGTATGTGTCAGCGTGTGTCAATGAGCCACACAGAAGAATATACAGTTAACGGTAATGGTTACGAATGGCCCATTTCAACGGCCAAGTGACGTTCTGAATGTTAATGTTTGTAAATAATGACAGCTGTCTAAACAGAGGCCTATCAATTACATAGCAAAGTTAAACTTTGGTTTACAAAGTTACGCTTTGTAATATAAACAAAACATGTATCTGCATTGTCCGTCCAGGTTATATGCCTTATGATAAAGGGGATTATGGAACTTGGAAAGTTATATGACTGAACCTTGTACATGATTGCACATCGATGTATTTTTTAACGCCATTGAAGTTCCATTTCCCGTTCCCCTCGAAACAGCACGTAATATAAAATACAAACATATCTGACAATATAAGAGTCAAAAATACATTTGACACTGAACGTTATGTAATAGAGACATTGTCAAGTCGAATTGGCTTTCTTACCTTGATAACACGTAGTTCGTGGTCTTAATGTCCTCCAACAACAACTAGCTGTGAAACTGTGTGTATTTCCTTTACGAAAGTGAAACCCACTACTAGCTGAGTTCCTGCAATGTGAGTCGCTATGGATGTGGTTAGGGCTAGACTTACTCCTATGTGTATAAGCATCATTCTGTACCTAACAGACATTAAGGACGTCCTAGTAATTGGGTCGTAGGTGTTGTGGTCCATTTTGAACAAGAAGTATTTATAAGGATGAAGACGTGTATGCTGATACACTCTTGACTTGTCATGTCCGGGCGTTCGCTGACTATTTGAATGAGTGAGTAGTGTTTTACGCCGCTTTTAGCAACACTCCAGCACTATCAGGGATGAGGAAACCATAACCAGGCTTCACACAGTGTATCCATGTGGGGAGCCGAACCCGAACCATCAGCGTGACGTGCAACGGCTTCACCTCTAGGCTACCCAACTAACGTTTCAAATTATTTTGAACAGAAGTAACTAATACTCTTTAAACAGTTACTTACTGGTATTAGCCTCGCAGGAGAAGGTAGAATCGGCTTGACGTTCTGGACAACAGGGGCCACAGAGATCCAAGCTAGAGTACAGAGTTGCCTCCCTTGGTAGCGTCCGGATCAGTCAATCGATGGTCGGAATCATAGATTCAACATGATTATGACTCTTGGTTTGTCTTCCCATACCTGTGCTCGGCGGTAGTAACGTCCTACATCAACTTTACGCGCCGTCGCATAACTGAAATGGTGTTCAGACCAGTGTATGAATCTCACGTTTGACATCTGCTGCCAGACAACAACGTATCAAGTCTCTATATCCCGTTCCTCAGTCGAGGGGAACCATAACTATCAACACTTTCACCTCATTTTCTCGTTAAACAGTTTCACAGCTTTTTGGACGTACACATTTTTTCCCGGTACATAAAGGATGGGTTTTCTCCGGTTGCATCTATATATACTCTAAAAGAAACGGAAGTACGTTGATACTGACTGTAGGATGCGGATAAAGCACAGCGTGTAACGGTTCTCCATCAGATGTACAGGCAGGTATAGACAGACCGATCTATTTCGTGGCTCTTCGGTACAGTGGCATCGTGGAGCCAGATTTTGTAGTGAATCTAATTAGATATTACATATTTTGAATTCTGTTTATGTATTTTATGTATCATCTTCTGTCAGACATTTTGTAGACAGAAATTGAAATTTGAGAAGCATGTGGTTATATAAACTTATCAAACAGTAAGCGTGGGGAACCTTTGGAAATAACGCGTCACCGTTAATTGTTTATTGTTAATGTCGTTAATTAATTTGTTTTCGTTTTGGTTAAACACCACAGGCAGAAATCTTCCGACAAAATGGACCAAACAATCCAGTGATTGACAACATGAGCATTGATCAGCGTATTTTGGTTACAGTGACATGCATTAACCAAGTCAACGATTCCAGCAGCCGCCTCTAAGAAGTATGTTTGGCTGAGGATCAACTCTAAGGAGGATCTTTACGAGAGTCTTGGTGTATGATATACACATAAAGTGTTTGTTTGTTGTTTGACGCCAAGATCCACATTATTTCAAGCGATATCACTTCCACCTGTAATAATCCAGTCTAGACTACGCAAGGCAGAGGCTGATAACATGACAAAGTTCGATACACAAATACATGGACCGGGAAGATCCGGGTTAGAACTGGTCTTCAGTAACCCATGCTAGTCGTAAGAGGCGACTAACGGGATCGGGTGGTCAGGCTTGCTGAGTTGGTTGACACGTGGGTGTGTGTGTGGTGGGTGGTGGGGTGGGGTTGGGGGGGTGGTGTGGTGGGGGTGGTGGTGGTGCAGTAATACTTCAGGCACAAATACTTGCTTCGTCATGCAAATGTGTAAGTGGCGGATACACGATTAGTCTTTTTATGGACACCTGGTGTCATTACTGATATTAACCGATTCATACGTGATAAAATTTCACCGCTCTTTTACAGGCCATTTCGAAATTTCTACGGCAGATAATCCGCGAGACAGGTTATTCGCCAGCGGTGACATTGTGTGTATATTTTGTGTATGAAAATAACGGTAGTTTAATACCCTTTTGAATCATATTCAATTAAGAAACTATTCTGAGATGTACATATACTTGCATCCATCATGCATTGTATCAATGATGAAAACTGATCCTGGTACTAGTACGTATGTGTAGCATGTTCAGTGATCAAATCGCTATCAGTGTTGCGCCCCGTTGTTTTTAAGGATCCGCTGATGGTGGTTTGAACCACCAATTCACCATAATCATATTAAGTCTTTGTTTGTCAACAAATAGCAAATTGTCACGAGTATTGTAAAATGGACAAACGTCTATGATGTACACACCCATTTTGTACGGACTTATCGTCATCCATTTGTGTCAAGATCGTTTAGTTGAGGGTCAACATCGGGTTTCAATCGACTTGCAGAAATAACAATGAAGAAGTAGGTGTCATGAGTGGTGGTCGATAGGCCAATTATCCGTGATTATGTTTACATTAAATTTTAATCGATTGCATGCGATGGTAGCGTAGCGATCGACAAAGCAGTCGGGTTGGGTACACGGAAGTGTCCGGCCTTGTCATGATGTATTGTACTGTGCAGCATTTCCTGTCGGGGGGTCATCTCAAATGTTATATGATATGTTAACATCTTTAGTCCTCGCAAAGATACGAGGGCCTGTGCTTCGAAGTAGTAATTCTTTATCTCGAATAACATTGAATCACGTATGATGTACGGAAATTACCGATGTTTTGCGAATGCAAATCGATGGAAGGGGTTTAACTCTAAAAAAATAATTTTTTGTCGTCTGGTACTCCATACTATGATCCGATACCCGTGCTTCAAACAGTTCAAACTTACCATTGAGGTGCTCGGTAAGATAAATACGTTGTTCACTGGTCCCTCGGGGCCAATGGGTTGATGTACCCTCGATGTTTCTTTATGTTCCCCTCGCCCTTCGGGCTCAGGGAACATAAACAAACATCGAGGGTACACCAACCCTTCGGGCTCAGGGGAACATAAACAAACATCGAGGGTACATCAGCCCATGGGCCCCGAGGGACCAGTGAACAACTTATATCATACCGCTCTGAAAGCCTTATTGTCAAACATACAAATTGCTATGAGTCCCTGGTCCCAATCCACAAAGTGTTCGTAATATTACGACCTGTCGTAACTCTATAGTTTATCATAGGCTTACGAATGTCGTAGCACGTCGACTGTCGGAACCTCCTATACTGTAACATCGACTTGCGACTGCCGTAGTGCTACGGTCGCTTTGTGAAGCGGGGCCCTGATTTAACAACACGTTAATGGAGCCGTGAAAGCTTCTTCGTCTGTAACCGCCAGACTGTGCCCCGCTTCATTAGAACCCCAACACCAGCAGACCAAGCGAGCACAGTTCTCGCAGCGGAAGAAGTGTTTCCTGCCTGTGTAACGTTTGTTGAAGAGAGGACCACAAGGTCGGATGTTGATCTGCTCCTGGGTCACCGCTGTAGTCAGGATACAGCGCCCGCGTCACCAAGGCACCACAGCAGTGACGCATGTGCACACCTAGACTGACGCTTAGTCTCTGAATATATATAATTTAAATAGAAACAAAGAAGGTAGATTAAATTGACAAGGAGCCCCATTGGAATTGACGATTCAGAAGCTGAAACCTGGGGAAATCTAGACTTGCTTCGTTTAGGACTTTGCATTGCAGAAAGGGCTGGGCGGATGGGAAAATAATGCGATTCAGGGACTGTGAGACAGGCTAGTACATACAGTGAGACCACAGCTTTTAACGGCTAAACTGACTTCAGCAAGAGATATGGATCATCCTGGCAAGTGCCTAAGGTGCCGTAATTCACTGAGCAGAGTTGCGTCCCTTGTACATGGCAACCAATGATCGTTGGATGAATCCTAGACTTCCCGGGATAACGTTTGTTGATGTTTCCGTAACCGAGAAATACTGTTAAAAGGGGCGTTAAACTCATTCATTCTCTTCTGGTGTCATTATCAGAAAATGGATGTTCGAATGCGGTGGAGTAGCCAAGTGGTTAAAGCGTTCGCTCGTCACGCCGAAGACTGGGGTTCGGTTCTCCACCTTGGTACGATGTGTGAAGCCTATTTCTGGTGTCCCCCGCCATGATATTGCTTGAATATTGCTAAAATCGGCGTAAATTCACTCACTCACTCAATGGGTGACAAACCAGGTGAACTTGCGAGCCAAGATAGCATATTGACATTGTTCTGATTAAGATACTGCTGTAAAACTCACTCGAGCAACTTATGGTCTGGCGTTATCGTGTTGAAACTTCACTATAGGGTCGTTCTGTTGCATAAACGGTAAAGAGGTCATTTACAAAATCTCGTCTGGCTACCTGGCAGCATTTATCTTCCCCTCAATCATAATCATTGGCGTCCTTGCTGCAGCTGTTATCCCACCCCAGGATACAACGCCATCACCTCCAAAACGACCCCCTCCCAGAACACTTGACTTGATGTAACGTTCACCAGCGCGTCTGTTGACACGTTTCCTGTCGCCAGGTCGGTGAACAAGCACATCTTACTCACCGGTGTCGAGAACTCTTCTCCACTCACCTGACTCACGTGCTCCCCATTGGATGTTGTCTGCTCCACTGGAGACGTCGGCGTCGATGCTCGAACGTTAGAACTGGCCGTCGGACTGATCTCGCAGATACACTTCTGATGTTAGGTATGTCACGGGCTATAAGGATTGCTTACCCGTGAAGATCCGGGTTAGATTTGATTTTCAGTAACCCATGCTTGTTGTACGAGGCTTCAAACGGGATCGGGTGGTCAGGCTCGTTTACTTGGTTGACACATGTCATCTTATCCAAATTGCGTAGATCGATGCTCATGCTGTTGATCACTGGATTGTCTGGTCCAGACTCAATGATTTACATAAAAGCTGGAATAGTGCCGAGTGTGGAGTAAATATAAACGCACTCACTCACTATAAGGATGGTGGCTGGAACCTGTTCGAATTCATTGGTCGTGGCGTGGTCACGTTACCGGTGGGCGGCCACTACCGGGGGATGGGGGCGGTTTATAACTTAATTGTTTCGCTGTAAACGTGGACATAAGTGCCTAATGGTGTTTCTACGAATGTTGGATCGACGAGCAACGGCAGGCTGCGAGGCAGGAGACAAAACCGTACCTATAGCTCTCTATCTGTCATTTGCCCCGAAACATCGAACGTACAGTTAGAGTGAGTGAGTTATATTTTACGCCGCCTTTAGCAATATTCTGGCAATATCACGACTCGGGACACCAGACATTAGCTTCACACATTCTACCCATGTGGGGAATCGAACCTGGGTCTTCGGCGTGACGAGCGAACACTTGAACCACTACGCTACCCCACCGCCGACGTACAGTTAGAACATCAACTGCGTGGTTGCGTATCTTCGACACATAACCCATTCCTATAACACATTCCTATAACACACTCTTTCTCTGGTTCCAACCCTAAAACTCATTCAAAGGATTACCAAAGATTATATTACGTTTGCTTATGAGTGTATGTACAAACATTATACAACTCGGCTTCTTACCTGGTAGGTTATAGATAAGTGAACCCTTCATGTCGGTATAAACAACAAAAACAAAAGTTGTTGTGGAAACGTGTATACATTCAGAATTTAAGAGAACATCTAATCACGACCCCCTTCAAGATCGGTACATCCGGGTCCATCACCTGCGTAATCGGCATTCCCTACCAACCGTGACTGCCACAATAAATACCAGGTTTGAGGAGAGTGTCAGCTCAAACGATTAGGAACCGTCTGAAAGAAGCGGGTTTACGTGCCTGTAGACCAGTTGTTGGACCTGTACTACGCCCCTACTATCGACGCCGACGACTCAGGTGGTGCAACAACGTAAGGATACGGACTTTACAAAACTGGAGGCGAATCTGGTTTTCTCTGATGAATCACGTTTTCTTTTGCAACG